ATTAGAATTTCTTTTGGCGTGTCTATGTATTTACTCTTTTTGTTTAACCTTTATTTTACTCTAGGTCTATTTTTTTAGGGTTTTCTGGATAAAACCACTTCTACCTTGCTTTACAAAAAAAATGATTATTCCTCTCCGATTCTTTTACATATAGTTTTTTTTCTCTCTTTTGATTTAGAAAATTTTGAAGAATATTCCCAATTTAAATTTTTTTTGTTGTTGTGTTTCTTTTTGCGTTTGACTATGATAAAGACCCTGTGTTTAGAAACACAGCTGGCTCAAAATTCTCGTCATGAAATTTTCGCGATGATTTTTGTGGGAAAAAAGAAAGAAATTTTTTTCCCTTTCGCTAATTGTGCTTCAAAAAAAAAGAAGTCGAGAATAAATTAAAAAAAAAATCTTTTTCTTTCTTCTTTTTCTTTCACTTTCCTATTTCTCTTTCAACATTAGTATTTAACTTATTTTAATTATGATTCAATTTAAATTTAATTAAAAATATATACCGTAAATGTTGAAATAATGCCCCTCTCTCACATAATTACCCCCACAGCGAGAGGTCGAAACGATAATTACCCTGGGTAATTATTTTAGCAAATACGGTATTAAAAAAAAAAGTTTAAAAAATAAAAATAATTTTTCCCCCAAATTTAGTTCTTTGTTGATTGATTGGATTCTAATTTTTTGGCTTCGGCTATTGTCTGTCTTCTGTTGGTTATAGAAAGTAAGTTTAATATTTAAAAAGTCAAAAAAAAATAAAAAAAAGTTTTTTTTATAAAATAATAAAACAAGAGATATAATAAATTAACCTAATATAATTTTAAAAATATATACCTATATATAATTTGAGTGTAATAAATACATACAAATTAAAAGAAAATAATAATAAACAAAATAAAATTTTAAATCAACAGAATATTTAAAAGTAAAAAATCTAAAAAAAATATATGGATGAAATAGAAAAAGGTACTAATAAGGGTTTTGAGGCAGTGGCGGAAAGAGTTAATGCCCTTGGGCAAGAAATGAATAAAGCTAAAGAAAGGATTGAAAGTTTTAGAAGTGAACTAGAAGGTAGGGATAATCTTGAATATGATGAGTTAAGAAATAGTGATGCAAATAGGTTTGTCAATCAAAATAAGCGACCAGAGCAGATTCCTCCGCCACCGCCGAAGCATGCTCAATTGGCTGGTTCGTTTAACCGAATAGACTTAGCGACAAGCTCCCTCGGGAATAAAAAGGGTCAAACACAAAGTAGTACTAATAATAATCAAAGAACAAAAACCACAAGTTCTAATTCTGAATTAAATGTATTAGGTGAAGGTACCTCCTCGGTAGAGCTGTCCGAGACTCTTGGTCTTGGTCTTGGAACCAAGACTTTTCTTGGTTTTTTTTCGGTCTTGGTCTTGGTCTTGGGGTGTTTGTCTTGGTCTTGTCTTGGTTTTATTTTTTGGTCTTGGTTTTTTCGCCTTTTTGGACCTAGTGCTTGGCCATCCAAAATCCTTAAAATTTTCGCCTGCGGCGCAGAAAATGGAAGAAATCTGGCTTCTTGAGTCCCAAAATTCAAAAAATTTTCGCCTGCGGCGCTGAAAAAGTGAATTTTTTTGGCATACGGCCTTCCAAAATTCTCAAAATTTTTGCCTGCGGCACAGGAAAAAGAAGATTTTTGGCTTCTCGCCTTCATAATTCCCAAAATTTTCGCCTGCGGCGCTGGAAAATGAAGAATTCTGGCTTCTTGGCCTTCCAAAATTGTACAAATTTTCGCATGCGCGCAAAAAGATAGGGATAAAATAGATCCAAGGGCGTAGCCAGGGGGTCGATTTCGAATGGGGGGGGGCTAACGTTGGGTATCGCCAAAATTTTGGCTTTACCTTGGCGTTCCAGACGTAAAATCCCACGACATCCCTCATAATTCACTAAATCCCACAGCAATCCCTCTTAATCCTTTGATATCACTAATATCCCGTTAATCCACCCAAATCCTCTGAAATAATAACCTATTTTATTGATTTTCCACACGAATAAATTCCCCGAAATTCTTCGAATTTCGCATAAATTTTTCGAAATTATAGATAATTGTGCTAAAGTTGACTGTGATCGTATAAAATAACAAAAAATAAACCAAAAATTTGACCTATGGGATTTAAAAATTTGGTCTTGATTTTTGGTCTTGAGTCTTGGAGTTTTGGTCTTGGTCTTGAGTCTTGGTCTTGGAAAAAATTTTGTCTTGGGTCTTGAGTCTTGAGTCTTGGAAATATTTTGGTCTCGGACAGCTCTACTCCTCGGGATCCCATTTAGAATTATTTAATGGAGAAACTGCATCCTCTTTTGATGACTGGACAATTAGATTTCTAGATTATCTTGATGTATATGGAGCAAACTGGACAGAATCTGATAGAATAAATAGACTAAAATTAAACCTAGGTACGCAAGCTCGACATATTTTTGAAAGTTTATTGCCAAGCGAACGAAGTACCATAGAGAATGCAATTAAAAATATTAGAGCAAAATTAGACAGTCCACATTTTAGAGAGCTCGCTCATAAAAGGTTAGCGGCATGTTACCAAAGGGAAGGTGAACTGGTTAGTGATTTTATTAAGCGCTTAGTACCTTTAGTAAACGCAACCACGCCTCATATACCGGTAGAAGTAAGAGAAGAAATATTGTGTAGATGCTTTACAGAAAAAGTTAGGCCTGAATTTCAAAAGACCCTTCAGATGGTAGGCCCATTAATTGGACGTAAAGATTTTGATAAGCTCACTGCCTATGTGCAGGAACTTGAAGTTGCATCTGAAAGGGAAGGAAGAGCTGGTAATGATGGGATCCATGCTATCGCAGACATGTCTAGTCAGCAGTTGCCTAAAGGGAGATTCACAACTTGGAGACCAATAAGTACAAATAATAGTCCGCAAGCCTCTAGGGGATATAATGGGAACGTTTCAAACGGATATGCTACATTTAGCAACGCGCAGAGATTAGGTTATGGAAGCTACCAGGCAAGAAATCAATGGCGCCCGCAAAATGACAGAAGGTGGAATAGCCGACCTTTCTGTCATTTTTGCCGCAGAACAGGGCATGATCAATACAATTGTAGAGAACGCAGGCAAAATAATTCTTTTAATAATAGAAATAACTATCAGAGAGATAATATAAATAGAGAAAATAAAGAAATTAGAGAAGTACTAGATAATTTAGCAATTCAAATGCATGAAATGAGAATGAATGCAAACCATGCTTCGGCTAATCATCAAGGGAATATAAGGTCATTGCAACCAGTACAGTCTAGTAGCACACCTGAAAAAACTAAGAGTACTAATGAAAAGGGTTAAGAATACCATCGCTTATGGGAACCACTCTTTTGTTAATTGCGATGTTTTGCAGTACATTTGCGATTAATCCTGTATTAATTCCCAAGGGACCAATGATATGTCAAACACATAAACGGGCAATAATTTGGGAAATGCCTGAAATTCCTAGCTGTCCCATGGTTAATTTAACAGCTAAGCATACTCCGGTAGTAGAAAGAAGGAGAATTTATGTCCCAAATAGTATTGAATTTTCAACCAAAGCGTGGGCCTGTAGAAAGATAAAGAAAAATGCGAGAAAATATACAACAATAACAGGAATCCCAGTTGAAGTGAAATTAATTCATGAGGAGCTTGATTTGTCTGTAGAAGAGTGTAATCAAATGATAAAGCATCATAGTTGTAGCTTCGGCATTCTTAAGGATAATAATAAGCTTTGGCAAACTGAAAATAAAATTGATTTAACTCCTAGGATGTGGTTTATGGGTTCATTCTCCTGGAAAAATATTTCGAATGAAAACTGTTTCCTATTTGAGAGCAGAATTGATTTGCATTTTGGTGCACAAGAGGTTGTAACGCCGCTAGGATTAACTAGGGACTGTCCTTATACTAAGGGTAATTGTATATTGGAAGATAAAACTGTTTTAATTTGGGAAGTAGACAATCAAAGGAAATGCAATTTTATTCCCATTGGTGAAAAAGAAGGTAGATGTATGGGTCCGATTTGGCTATCTGACGATGGTCGGCTTGGATTAACATTTGAAAATGAAACATTCGTTCATGATTGTGGAAAGAATATTTCAGTCTCTGATCAAGGTCTAGGATCGATAGTAATCTCAACCTCGGAACTTACTAGGAAGAAGCGAAGTGCGGATAGATCATATAAGCGAACATTTTCTGATGGACTTGTAACTTCTTCGCAGTTAGCGTCGCAGCTAACTTATTTAGATGCCGCTCTTACTAAAGCAGTCAATTTTGCGTTCGCGCAATCAATTAGGTCATTTTGTGAATTTACTGAAATGGTAAAGCATTGGGTAGAATCGACTTATATGTCTGATCCAACTGACCTGGCTCGCTCGCTCTTTTCCAATTCTTATTTAGTTGCAAAGAAGTCAGCTAGATCTTTAATGAAAGTTTGGCCATGTGTACCTCTAGAAAAGGAAGACTATGAATTTTCTCCTACTAAATTAGACCAATGTTTTGAATTCTTACCAATTATTTTAAAAACTGAAAGCAAAGAGCATCTAGCTTTTGTTGATCCGGAAACAATGATTGTTTCCCCAACATCTAAAAAGGTTTCCTGTGAAGAGTTTAGGAACATAATTATTCAAGTTAATGATCAAATCCTAGAAGTCGATCAAATTGAAGGAAGAATTACTTCGGTAAAACCAAGGATATTTTTATGGCCTGAAACCAAATTTAATTTTACTAACATGATTCCAAATATTGAGTCGCATGCGTTTCATCAACTAGTTCTATTGAACATGACAGATATTAAGAACCATGCTTTTGTAAGTAATTTAATAAAAGTAAGTCAAATGACTTACCAAATTCACGAAAAAGATTCTATTATATCCATGTGAATGTCCAATGAGTGGCAGGAAGTTGAAAATCAAATTGAAAAGGGAATAATAGGGGACTACAAAAGCATTTGGGAAACCATTATCTCAATTCTAGTAGTAATTTTAGCACTAGATTTTGGAATAATGTTCGCAATGATTATTGCTGAAATGTATGCTGGAAATGGACGCCTAGGTAGACTAATATTTGGCCCTGAAACACCAAAAGCTCCGATTCCACAGAGAAGATTGGACATTCAACGTGTACCAGAACCCATTGTAGAATTAGATAACATTCATGAAGAACCGGTAAATAGGCCACTGCCAATCTCTTGGCCCCCATCAATAAGGAATACAGTAAATGCTAACACTTTACCAAGAAGCACCATAAGCACAAGACCTAGGTCAACTTTAGGAATTAATAGAACTAGTGGATTTATAGGAACGCTGGGAGCGAGTGCTAACACAGTAATAGTTGATATCTCCTTAAATACTGTACCTGTAAAATGTTTAATAGACACTGGAGCAATTACCTCGGTAGTCAACATTGCTTTAGCTGAATGGTTGGGCACAAAAATTTTTCGAACTGAAACGTACCTCCAAAGTGCCTCCGAGCATTCCATGTGCGCAAAGCAAGCGACTAGGGTGCAATTAAAAATTGCTGGAGTAGTAGTTGAAATTGTAATACATCTTTTTAATGACAAACTCCACTGGGATAACCATGATTATCATTTTATTATGGGGTGCGACGCACTAGCGCAGCTGCCTCCTTTTATAAGTAAACTTGAAAAATAAAATGTTCTGTATAGAAGGAAATCAAATTTATATTGAAAATAGAGTAAATAGACCGCTAAAAAAAAATTTAAAAATACATGCACTAGAGACTTGTGAAATAAGACCTAATGAGCAAAGTGTAATAAAGCTAAAATAAATTTCCCTGAATTGCTTAGGCATAATATCTGGATTCACTCAATGGATGATAGACTTGAAGAAGAAGATTTAAGTTTTGTTCCAGTAGTAACCAATCCCAAGGATGGTGTAGTGCAAATTATTTTAGCCAATCCAACAGGCACAACTAAAAGATTATTTAAAGGAAGGACCCTAGAGCTAGCAAGTGAAGTACTAAAAACAGAATCTGAAAATATTTTAGCAGAGACTAACTTTAGTGAGGAAACACAAGAAATATTTTCTCTAGGGAAATCAGGAGTAACTATTGATCCAACTTACAAAATTGATTTTGAGAAAGCCACTGTTAAGGGTGAAAACCTAAATAAATTAAAAGAACTTTGTGAAGAGTTTGAAGATATATTTAGTAAAAGCCAGTATGACATAGGGAGTTGTACAGCAGGCGAGCATGACATAAATACAACATCTGAGGAACAAGTTGCCTCTAGGCTTCATCGAGTACCGTTTAAGTATCGAGATGAGTTGCAAAAGCATATCGACCAGCTATTAGCCTCAGGAGTGATGGTTGAGTCTGATACCCCATGGGTATCGAACATAGTATTAGTTCAGAAAAAGGATGGTGGGCTTAGGCCATGCATTGATTTTAGAAAATTAAATGAAGTGACAGTACCTGATCACTTTCCTCTCCCAAGACTTGAAACAATTTTAGAGAAAGTTGGAAATTGCAGATATTACTCATGACTTGACCTTGCTAGCGAGTATCTGCAAATAAAGCTTAGTGAAAGGGCCTCAAGAAAATGTGGGGTAATTACTGAAGATAAAATTTACCAAATGATAAACTTACCATTTGGACTTAAAAATGCTATTAGTGCGTTCGCGCGCATAATGGCTCATGTAATTATAGGACTTGAAAATGTGATTGCTTATGTTGATGATATATTAATTTTTACTAAGTCTGAAAATTTTGAAGAACATATTAAAGCCCTCAGGAGTGTCTTCGAAAGATTTAGGCGGTTTAATTTAAAATTGAGTCCCAAAAAATGTACATGTCGCTTCGGCAATTTTAAATTTAAAGGAACCAACCTCAGTAAAGGAAGTCAGACACATAGTAGGGATGGCGAATTTCTTTAGGAAGCATGTGCAAAACTTTTCCATAATAGTTGAGCCATTAACTAGGTTGACTAGAAAGGAACAGCAATTTATTTGGGGCGAAGAGCAGCAGGAAGCTTTTAATAAAGTAAAGAAAATTCTGTCAAAAAAAAATTAAAAAATATTTTTGGCCAAGAATGCATTCAGACATTATGACTTGGCATAAACAGTGTATCACATGTCAGCTTACGCATTCTCCAAATCCACCTTATAGAGCAGAGATGTGCACACCACCTGTAAACACACTTTTTGCCAAAGTTGGTCTAGACTTAGCGGGTCCTTTTCCGAAAACCCAAATTGGCAACAAGCATATTTTGAACATTGTGTGTTGGTTCACGAAGTTTGTTATATCTGTTCCAATCCCAGACGCAAAAGCTTCAACCATTGCTTCGGCATTTCTCAGGAATTGTTATTTACGCTTCGGCGGCTGCACGGAATTAATTACTGACAATGCTTCGGCATTTACTTCAGAGTTTTTCAAAAGTCTTTGTGCTATGTTGTATATCAATAAAACTTATGCCATACCTCACTAGAGCCAAGGCAATGCAGTGAATGAGAGGTCATTCAGAACCTTCCACAATATTCTTTCGAAGTATATAACCAAAGACCAGCCAGATTTCGATGAACATCTGGAATTCGCCAACTTTTGTTATAACACTTCGGTCACCAGTCAACAAATGAAACGCCATTCTTTTTGATGTACGGCATAGATCCCATCTTTTGCGTTGATTTAGTTCTCGATCCTAAAGTTAGAGATCCTATAGCATTAAATGACGAACAAGAAATTAAACAGAATTTAATAGTTTCGCTGCGAAGTGCTTGGAAATATGCAGCAGAAGCCAATTTTGAAGCTCAGCAAAGGTCTAAAACATATTATGATAGACTTATTAGGAATCCCACTAACAATTGGAGACAGAGTTCTTCTTCGGAATTATGCTGGTAAAATAGGCTCATCCAAAAAGTTTCATCTTCCTTGGAAAGGTGTCTTTAGAGTGATTGAAATTAATGGGGTTCATGTAACCATATCAAGTTGTAACTCACCTCAGTCTAACCCAAGAATCGTTCACATTAATCAGCTTAAGAAATGCATAGAGCCACTCCCGACTGAACCGGTTTGCACAACTCCTAGGTTAGAAGCAGAAGAGTTGGAAGCGTTAGAAGAATCTGGTGCAGAGTAAATAGTTAACATGCCAGTATTCTCGCAAAGTAAAGTAGCTGAGCCAAATTAAGAAGTATCAGAAGGTAGTCAGGTTGAAGTAGTAGTTCGCCAGGGACTAAGTAGATACAATTTAAGAAAAAGCCCAAAAAAAACAGATAATACTTATAATTGCTTCGGCTATCAAATGGATTTAAAATTTAAATTTAATTTAAAAAATATATAAAAAAAATATATAATATTCCTTTAATTAAACAAATTTCCTAGATTTTCAATAGTTTTGAGATGTGCTTAAACAAAGTACCGGATCCTGAATTATGGAAGAAAGATGAAATGGAAGAAGAAAATATTATTAATGAGGAAGAAGAAGAGCCCAGGAATATTGAAAATGACGAAGAACCAAGGGTCAACATCTTCAGAGAATGGATTGAAGTTGTTGAAGAAGATTGGCCAGAAGAGATGGAAATGAATGAGGTTGACGAAATGGGTAAAGAGGATAAAGGAGAAAAGAAGAAAGAAGAAAATAATGAGGATAAAGAAGAAAAAGACGAAGAGGAAGAAGATGATGATGAAGAGATTGAGCTGGGAATTGAGGTGACTGAAGCCCATTTTGCAGTGGGAGTTGTTAAAAAAGATAAATCTTTCCCAAGTTCAGTCCTTCGGGAATAAAAAGTTTGATTTTTGGATAAGTGTTAAGGTTATCAATGTTCAGGAATGTAAAGAACAGGGATTTTGAGCAAGAGCTTGAAGATGCAAAGGATGGTGGTTTTCTTGTTTGTCATCCGTTAATTTTTAAAGGTCTTGAAAGTCGTAGGGAATGTTTTGAACAGCACTTACAATCGATGTTGTCGGCCCAGTGTATGAATCAGGGCAAACACCTCTGCGCCTTAATGGCTCACGAATTTGAAACATATTTTGAAGAAGAATCAAATGCTTAGGCAGTCTTCACTCGATGTTCATCTCCAGAGCTTGCCCAAATGCATCCAATCAGGTTTCGGCCTAAAGAGCATGGTTGAACAAATTGTCTTGTCAACCAGGGTTCGACACGCAAGACTCAGCGTTTGTTACAGGATGCATCCATTGATTGTAGAAACGGTTTCATTCGCTTCTTACGAAAGGCATGGAGAGTCACTTGAACCAGGGAGAGGTGCTGAAGAACGCTCACTTCTTACGACCTCTAAATTTCCACCGTCCATGCAAAATTGTCCCATTGTTCTACTTAATGTTCTTGGAACTTGTAGACAGGACAATACTTCTCACTCGTTATGTAATGATGAGCATTCGGCTTTGGCCATTAAATTGATTTCTGCGTTGTACGACAAAATTTCCACCGATATTTCTCTGGCTGTTATTTGTTTATGTACATTTCAGAAAGAGTCTCTCCAGAAAGAGTTTGAGAATTTGGGTTGCAATGTGTTGGTAGTCACAGTTTTTGAGTATCAGGCCACTGGCGTTGAGTCGTGCTAAGCACGGTCTCCTCGTTATAGCTGACGTTGAAACACTTCGATGTGGAATTGTCTGGAATCGGTTCATCTGTTGTGCAACTGAGTTCACTCAAATTGTCGGTCCGGAATATCTTCAAGTCCTCCAGTTGGGTAGTTGTATACGAGATAGGTTCGGTCAATTGTTGTCTTCGTCGGGTCGGATGGTCGTTGACTTTGTGGATGAGCAGTATCCCCAACAGCAACAACAACAACAGCCTTCAACATCTTCATATGGTTTCGGCCGCACTTCTGGATCAACTAATAATTGGAGCAGAAATGATAGGAATTCTGGAGATTATGAGTGGTTTGAAAAAGACTTAAACTTTAATAAAAATAATATAAATACTAATATTTCAAATTACAGGAAACGACCAGCTGAACAGAACTGGAAAGAATATGTTATTACCACATGTGAGAGGAGCAGGACCAATACATGTTTCAACTGTGGGCGCACTGGACATATTGCTTGAAATTGTAATTGGAATACTTGAAGGAAGAATGAGAGTTGGAGAGGCAGAGGAGGAAAATATTAAATTTGTGTTTTTAATCAATTAAATTTTTTTTGTACTCAAATACACATTCTCACTTCCTTTTAATTATTTTAAACTGAATCTTATTCATTAATATAATGTCAGTTCCAAACCTTTCCCAATTTTTGTTTTGGTTTTATTAATCTTAATTTTTTTATAACATGCCTTACCTGTAATTTCAATTCCTTCACTTAATCAAAATTATTTAAATTTATTAATTCAAATTTAATCTTAGTTCATTTATTTATACATTTTAAATGTCAATCAAAATGTTTTCCCAATATTTCTTACATATTGCCAATATATACTTAAATTTTTTAACTTTATGCCAATTTGTATTAATCCACATATAATTACATTTTGTCATTTTTTTTATCAAATTTTTACCCTCACTAAATACATTTTATAATTATACTTTTAAGCTTAAACTCTCACTAATCCCATCAAATCTATTACATTTATTAGTTTCAAATTTTAAATGTTTAAATTGTCAAATATCACTTAATTTGTTAGATATTTATGCAATCATATTTTTAAGACTCACAATTAATTTACTCCCATACAAATTATTTACATTTACCCTATTAATTTTTAAAGAGTCTTTCACAATTACATTCAAAAATATCCCAAATTCTTTTCTATAAAATTATTTACATCTTACTATTATATAATTCTCAATTTCAAAATTGTTTTTTATATAAAATTTTACCCATTTATACCCAAAAATCAAATGTTATTTATGTCAAAACTTTTACATTAATTTTAAATGTTTATTCAAAAGCCTTAAAACTTTTTCTATTAACCTTTCAACCAATCCATTTATACCCAAATTCATTTTTCTACATTATTTTTAGAATATTCCTTTTCCAATTCTCTAAAAAAAAATTTTTTTTGCAAGTTTTACTCCACTCATTTATACTTCAATTTTGTATTTTCAAACACTTCGGTAGTTTTCTGGATTTTTTTCTCTAAATTTTAGTTCAATCTATTAATTGATGAATTTATATTTTAATTCTACGCGTTACCACTTAATTTATTTTATATACTTTCACAAAATGTTTCAATGTCACAATTTATCCTTATTTTCCATATTTTGAAATTTTTATGCATTTTTAATCATACCCACATTTTTAAAACAAAAGGAAACATACTCACCCGAAACCTTAAGAAATTTTTAAACACAACCCCAACTAGACTAAACAGACTGAAATCATACAATTACATTTATATCAAACCCCACTACTTAATAATGACCAAGAGAAATTTTTCATGAAACAATTGATAAGCACTAATAATGGACCAGGGTCGGTCCAAAAAAGGAAAAAGGAGAGATATGCTCGAAGAGCACACAAAGAAATGAGATAAATAAAGAAGAAAATTAAATTAGGTTCGCCTACTCACCAGAGTGCTTATCGATTGAGAAAATAAAAGTGAATGGTCATTATTTAAGTAGATTAGGAAATGATGAAAAATAAAATTTTGAAAAATTTAAATAAAGTCTGTTAAGTCTAGATTAAGACCAGGGACGGTCTTGATGGGGAAGGGACGTGTAAGGGTCAAAGGTATTCTCGGAGTTTGTTTCCTATAGTTTATAGCCATTTTATTATTATTCATTCCCTCCCACTTTTCTCACACATTTAAAAGGATTTGTAATCACCTTACAGGTGTCTTATTATTCTTTCACTTTAATAAAAGAATTAAATAAATGCTTTAATATTTGGATTTAATAAATATATAAATTGTGTGTTCAATTGTGTATGCCTGGTGCAGGAGATCAACTGGGGGCCTGATCAACCCTTAAGTTTATCCTAGGAAGTCCCGGGCATATTCCCTCCCGTATTCCATTATCTGGGGTTTGGGTCCACCGCATTGGTTATATCTTATTCCGGGGGTCCCACCTCTACTGTACTCGAATTCAAATGAATTCTCGAGATGAAAAAATAAAGCAAAAATTTGTTGCTTATTAGCAACTCAAATCAAGTACTCGAATTCAAATGAATTCTCGAGATGAAAAAATAAAACAAAAATTTGTTGCTTATTAGCAACTCAAATCAAGTACTCGAATTCAAATGAATTCTCGAGATGAGAAAATAAAACAAAAATTTGTTGCTTATTAGCAACTCAAATCAAGTACTCGAATTCAAATGAATTCTCGAGATGAAAAAATAAAACAAAAATTTGTTGCTTATTAGCAACTCAAATCAAGTACTCGAATTCAAATGAATTCTCGAGATGAAAAAATAAAACAAAAATTTGTTGCTTATTAGCAACTCAAATCAAGTACTCGAATTCAAATGAATTCTCGAGATGAGAAAATAAAACAAAAATTTGTTGCTTATTAGCAACTCAAATCAAGTACTCGAATTCAAATGAATTCTCGAGATGAAAAAATAAAACAAAAATTCTTTGCTTATTAGCAACTCAAATCAAGTACTCGAATTCAAATGAATTCTCGAGATGAAAAAATAAAACAAAAATTTGTTGCTTATTAGCAACTCAAATCAAGTACTCGAATTCAAATGAATTCTCGAGATGAAAAAATAAAACAAAAATTTGTTGCTTATTAGCAACTCAAATCAAGTACTCGAATTCAAATGAATTCTCGAGATGAAAAAATAAAACAAAAATTTGTTGCTTATTAGCAACTCAAATCAAGTACTCGAATTCAAATGAATTCTCGAGATGAGAAAATAAAACAAAAATTTGTTGCTTATTAGCAACTCAAATCAAGTACTCGAATTCAAATGAATTCTCGAGATGAGAAAATAAAACAAAAATTTGTTGCTTATTAGCAACTCAAATCAAGTACTCGAATTCAAATGAATTCTCGAGATGAAAAAATAAAACAAAAATTTGTTGCTTATTAGCAACTCAAATCAAGTACTCGAATTCAAATGAATTCTCGAGATAAAAAATAAAACAAAAATTTGTTGCTTATTAGCAACTCAAATCAAGTACTCGAATTCAAATGAATTCTCGAGATGAGAAAATAAAACAAAAATTTGTTGCTTATTAGCAACTCAAATCAAGTACTCGAATTCAAATGAATTCTCGAGATGAGAAAATAAAACAAAAATTTGTTGCTTATTAGCAACTCAAATCAAGTACTCGAATTCAAATGAATTCTCGAGATGAAAAAATAAAACAAAAATTTGTTGCTTATTAGCAACTCAAATCAAGTACTCGAATTCAAATGAATTCTCGAGATGAAAAAATAAAACAAAAATTTGTTGCTTATTAGCAACTCAAATCAAGTACTCGAATTCAAATGAATTCTCGAGATGAGAAAATAAAACAAAAATTTGTTGCTTATTAGCAACTCAAATCAAGTACTCGAATTCAAATGAATTCTCGAGATGAAAAAATAAAACAAAAATTCTTTGCTTATTAGCAACTCAAATCAAGTACTCGAATTCAAATGAATTCTCGAGATGAAAAAATAAAACAAAAATTTGTTGCTTATTAGCAACTCAAATCAAGTACTCGAATTCAAATGAATTCTCGAGATGAGAAAATAAAACAAAAATTTGTTGCTTATTAGCAACTCAAATCAAGTACTCGAATTCAAATGAATTCTCGAGATGAAAAAATAAAACAAAAATTCTTTGCTTATTAGCAACTCAAATCAAGTACTCGAATTCAAATGAATTCTCGAGATGAAAAAATAAAACAAAAATTCTTTGCTTATTAGCAACTCAAATCAAGTACTCGAATTCAAATGAATTCTCGAGATGAAAAAATAAAACAAAAATTTGTTGCTTATTAGCAACTCAAATCAAGTACTCGAATTCAAATGAATTCTCGAGATGAGAAAATAAAACAAAAATTTGTTGCTTATTAGCAACTCAAATCAAGTACTCGAATTCAAATGAATTCTCGAGATGAAAAAATAAAACAAAAATTTGTTGCTTATTAGCAACTCAAATCAAGTACTCGAATTCAAATGAATTCTCGAGATGAAAAAATAAAACAAAAATTTGTTGCTTATTAGCAACTCATAAACATACATATGACTCATAGAAAATTTTATTTTACATTGCATTTATACGTTAATCAAAAATTTTATTTTTAAATATAATTTATTGTAATGTGTAATTTATAAAAATATTGCTAAAATAATTTTTACCTTCCAATAAATGCGTTCTTTATCATTATTTTTGCTTTAGATTAAATAAAAACCGAACAAGTTTTAACCTTTAATTCCTTTTGATTTAACCTTTTTTGTTCATATCACCTCTAAACTTATTTTCATCTATTTAATAGATTTGAATGCTTCACTTAAATTTACAAATATTCTCCTTTTATGTTCTTACTGGAAATGGAAATAAATAATTTTATTATATTGCCTACTTATTTCATAATTTTGATAACAAATGCGATTACATATTGAAGTAAATACAACCTCGATTATTTATGATAAAAAAATAACTCCTCTAATCATGCAGAAGGCTCGTGTTAAGGTTCTTGGCTCAACTATTGCAGATAACAAACACATGTTTTATAAGGATGGCTCCCTTGAAATGGGAGACTCCGGGGGTCCTTTGGTGTTTGAAGATTCTGGCAAAAGAGTTATTGGCGGTATTCATCATGGAACTGGAGTAATACATGACAAGTACAACAGAAAAAAAAGAAATAAGTTTATTTGTTCGTATGTATGATCATGTTAACTGGATAAACAAAAAATGTAAGTATTTCTAATGTTGAAGACTTTTATTTCTATAGATGTGCGAAACTTGTTTGGGCGTGTTTTTTGTTTTAATGAAATATGTATGTAGTACAAAAAGCAATGAAGTAAATTATTTACTTCTTAGTCAGTATCAAAATCTAAAAAATTAAGGGGAATACATAGCTCATTGGATATTATTTTATAGGAAATACGACAAATCTAATTGAATTTTTAAATTTTAAAAGATATATTTAGACGTTTTAGGTAAAGCTAAAAAATTAATTAAATTACATATACACAATCTTATTTAATATTTAGGCATGATGACCTTTACTAAATTGGTTGGGAGTATAAATTGGATTATAAATGTTAATAAATAAGAATAAGGAACTAAAATTATTTTAAAAGTGATAAAGGATCCATATAATTTAAATTTCTGTCTACCTTGAATTAAATTATTTGTACATATTTGTTAGATTAATTGGCATAAATAAACTTTCTAATTATTAATAAATCAAAAATAACTTTTATAAATCATCACTGCATTTAGTTAACAAATTTATTAGATTCCAGAGTTTCTAATCAACTTTCTCCTCTTCGAAGGGACAAATTTCTAATTTAGTTGGATTATTTTACCTTATTTCCTAGGAAATATCTTTTCTGGAGATCACGATTAATTGATTTTTCTTAGAGAATTCGGTAAAATATGTATAAAAATACTTGCTCTAACAATTATTATATTGATTTTAAAATAATTTTGAGTGACTATTTTAGCCTAATTTTTTGCTTAAATTTCAAGTCTCAGTATTTTTAGTCAATATTATAATCGAATTAACTCTGCTTTTCAAAACTATTATGCTTATTTTTTCTTTTTTTATAGCCTAGGGTTTTACTTTTATATTCTTTTCCTTTTAAATTTTTCTTGAAAAGGGTATTTTTATTGTTGGAATGTCTCTCTAACAAAACAAGAAAGTGCCATTTTCTGTGGCCACAACACAAATACTGCTTACTATTTTTTAACTTACTTAAAAGGGAGAGAAAGCAGGAATATATAGCTAGAGGGATACCCGTCAGAGGGATATAGAAGAAAATGTTGGGGGTATATAGAAAATATATCTAGCAGTAGCAAGCGTGCCAAGAAAAGAGAAATGATGAATTTTGCTTAAAAAGCTACACACACTTGTTTTTGCCATAAAATGCTTTAATGACAACCCGAAATGTTGTAGTAATATTTTTAATTGAGTTAGTATTTACTTGCTCGAATTTAACAAATTTTAATTTAATTAATTGAATTAATTGTGTTATTTTTATTTTAATAAAGTGAGTTGTATATTTTTATGATTTAGTATTTTAACAATTTAAAGATTAAATTAGTCTAAAATTATTTATACTATTGTTACAGACAATCCTGGTAACGAGAGTAAGAGTTGTAGAAGTTTATAAATAGAAGCTCTATTGACTAACTACGGGGCGCCACTTACACCTTCCCTCTTAATTGGGGTGCCACTTTTATTTTAATTTTATAGTCAACCGGACTACTTTTTTGTCCCTCGAGGGACAGAAAATCATCAAAATCTGATAAGTTTCAAGATAAAAGTTTGAGAACTAACAAAAATTTTTTTCCTCTATTAGAAACCAAATGGATCCAATTCAACAACAACAGCAATCATTTCAAGAAGGTCCCGATTCTTTATTCTCCCAGCAACCATTTAATACCGAAGAAGTACCTTGGTGGAAGAAAAATTTTCTTCTTCAACAGCCAACTTTGGTTAATGCTTGGAATGCTGTATTTCCAACTGTTATAGTTAATATATTTGGAATTGTTATTTTTCTTCGTATGGGATGGATTGTTGTTAGTTTTTAATTTTTAATTAGTGCTGTTGGGCATTTGACAATGGAAGTTAGCTACTGGGCCAGCTAAAGCTCATTCTTATGAATGTTCAAAGACGGGCTTTAAATTAAAAGAAGCCGGCTTGAATTCTATCAATTCAGAAGCCAAGTTTCAGTTCCAGAGTTCCGGATCCGGACCTGTAGCTCATAAAAGATAGGATTTTTATGAAAACAGGAACTGGAACCAGAAAAATGTCAAATATCCAGCACTCGATTTTAACAATTTTTTAAACAATTTTCAAAAGGAACAATTTTAGGGGACAGCCGGTTTCTTTCAAGCTATTATAGCACTTGCCTTGTGCACTTTATTCTCTTCTGTTACAGTTCTATCAGCCATTGGAATTTGTGAGAGATGCCAGGTACTGTAGAGACACGTAATCCTCGTAATTAGGGATGTCGGTTGGTTGCTGGGAAATCTCCGGATATCCTGAACTGAACTGAAGAACCGAAAGAAAAATTTTCAGTTCGGTTGTGATTAGACAACACTACTCATGACTCTCTCTTTTTCCGAGCCCTTTAGAAGACTACAAAGATATTTTTGAAATTTTATCTAGTGGAAGTCTTCTAATGGCAACCTCTCTCTTAACCTAAATAATAATCTCCATTAGAACATTAATAGTGAGACCCTCTCTAATATTAGGTCCCGGTTGATCAAAAATAAATATACAGTAAATCAAATCACAACCTCTCTCCATTCTTAACACAATTTTCATTATTTCAAAGGTTCAAAGTGGAGGAATCTATTTTCTCGTCTCTCATGTATTAGGAAAGCGTATAGGAGGTGCTATAGGAATTATTTACACATTTGGCCAAGCTTGTGCTACTTCTTTAGTTGCTCTAGGCTTTGGAGAGTCTATGGCACAATTAATGGGAATAGATAGCCCTGTAGCTATGAAAACATTTTCTGTTGTTATTTTGCTTCTTTTGAATGGTTTTTTGAATTTTATTGGAAGTTTAGTTAATATTTTGTAATTTAAAAGTTTTGAATTTTGCTGGACTTCATTTTGTTATTCGCCTACAATTGTTGTTAATGTGCTTTCTTGGAATGGCTATTGGAGACTTTCTGTTTGGGGCATTTTTATTTACACCTTCTGACCCTGGTAAAGAGTTGTTGGTATTTTGGGGTTGAAAAAAATTTTCAAAAATTTTTCAAAAAATTTTTTTTTGAAAATCCAGAGGCCGGTATCTACCCACTAACTGCCAAACAACTCTCAGCTAATTGGTATTCAAATTATGGATCTGAAAATTGCAGTGACAGAGCAACATTAGCCCTAGGTGCTGCTGAAGATCATCAACAACAATATTATGAGGCTAATAATTTCTTTAGCGTTTTTGGCGTTTTGTTTGCTAATTTTATTGGTGTTTTGGCTGGTAATAAAAGCTTTTTTTTAAATTATTCTCTCAATAACTCACCTTATCGAGAATTTTTTTTTCTAGGAAACGAAGGAGGGGAACTTTGTGGTAGAGAGGAACTTGAAGTAGAGAGTTCCTCTCTTTTCTAGTAGAGAACAACTTGGTTGATGGTACCAAAATTTAAAAATCCTGGGCCTGTTCTTTTCTCAAATTTAAACCAGGAATTAAATTGAATACAGGAATCTCAAAGAAAACCAGGATATTGTGTAGGAATAGGCCGATCGCTTTTACCATACCTTAAAAAAGACTTTTCAAACTATTTATATAAAAATATTTTTTATGTGTTAACATGAGCGGCAATTTGGTTGATCCGTTGAGGAATATAGCTGAAGGTGAATTGGGGGCGCTTGGATTTAGTTTTGGTCTTTGTTTTGTGTTTATGTTACTTTTGGGTGCTTCTGTTGACAGGTAGATAAATAAATTAATCGAGGAGGGAATTGAATTAGTGATTAGAATTACAAAAAAGAAGAATTTCCTCAGTTCCTCTTCAGTAAAAAATTTATTTTTAAAAGAAATGCTCTTCAATGTGATGCAATGATATCAGAAAAATTATCATTAACCAAACTTGTATTTCTTGGAGGTCTTTACATTTCTTGTTTGTCAGCAATACTTTCTTCTACGTTGGGTACTTCTAGAGTAGTCCAAGGAATTGCTAATGAAGGATTGTTTCCTCAAATGAGCAAATTACTTATTGAGGTAAACAAATAATTGAATTATTGAGAATTCTTATAGAGGGAATTGCCCACTTTTCGAGAAACACCGGATTTATCAGAGCCCAATACCGCGGATTTATGAAGGTCGGATATAGGACATTTTGATATTTTATATTATCTTTTCAACTGCCTTGAATGGAGGCTTATTATGATATTTTAAACGACGTTCGAGTCATTTTTTCAGGCCTCATTTTTATCGGAATGGACCCATCGAGTCTTTTTCGAACCAAAAATCAAAGCCCGATTCTCTTTCGAACCGAACCGGACCGGCAACCCTACTCGTGATAGTGAGGCCCACTTCCTTATTAACCTAAACTCACTGATCTCCTTGATAATAGTCCAGAATGCTCTGGGGAATGTTTCTTCGTTTTCTTTTTTCCCTCTTTTTTGCCCATTCTACATATAAAAATTAAAAAATAGGAATCTTCACCAACCCGAGAATCACACCGTGCAACAGTTTTAGTTACAGCATTTGCTATAATACTTTTATTGCTTGGAGATTTAAATCAAATTGCTATACTTTCTTCTCTTCCTTTTTTGTTTACCTATGCTACTGTTTGTTTCTTTTGAAATTTAATTTTTCTTTAAATTAATTTAAAAAAGGTCAATTATGCTTATGTTTCTCTTTCTATGAGTGATGACTTGGAGGTTTTGAATAATGAATGTGCTGCTGAAAATGAGTTTGTAAAAAAGAGAAATTATGCTGTAATTGGTCCAATAAGACTTTAGAAAAGAGAAAAATCCCTCCAATAGACGCCCATTAGTCTCCTAATGGATGTCATCTCTAATAGAAGCCCCCTTCTTTCCTATAGATTTTCAGTGTTTAGCTGGAAGCCGGTTTTTTGGTTTAATTCCGGTCAAGGTTTAGCTTACTCTTAAACACAAATATCCCTCTCAATCCCTGTGAAGATTCACTCTCAAATGACTGATAGTCTGATCTCGAAACAATACCGATTTCCTAGATAATATAGATAATACGTTCTCCGATTATGCCCACTTTCTATTGGAAATAAGGGAAAAATCTTTTCCAAAAAATTTTTTTGGTGTTTTTTCTTAAAAATAAAAATCTAAAAGCTCTTAAATCACAATAAAATTAAAGAAAATATTCTAGTAACAAACAACAAACAAGCTATGGAACAGTACAAGACGGGGCGGCCATTTATTCATCTCAGGGCCAACAAAGAAAATCTTTAGATGCTTTGTTTGCCCAAACAACTGAGGGAATTATCGGATCCACAAAACAAGAAAATGTTCAAAAAGCGTGGTATCAACATTGTATTAATCGTTATGTCTCTTTTGGAGCTGTTAGTTTTCGGAGAATTTCTCTCAAAAAATTTTCCCATAAAGGCAATAATTCACATACTTGTGGCTACTTTTGTTCATCGTTGGTTTGCCCTACTACACTTTATTGCATTTGCAGCTCTTTACCTTTATTTGGGGGGAACGTGTTCAGCACCCTCAGATCAAGGCAATAAAAATTAAAAAATATTTTCTTCCTGGGATCCCTTAAAATTGAATGTGTTAATGTTTGAGAACCAACTTCCACCTCTTTAAAGATATTCAGACGAAATTTTAGATAGAGCTACATATTTATAAGTAATTTTAACCGTAACACCAAACACTTCACATCCTTAATTGATCATTAAAAAATATTCTTTTAGGTGTTTCCCGTTTCTCCATAATGCATATGATTCGAGTAGCTATGTCAACTCAAGATACTCCAGACCTGAACTCTTCCCAAAATTCTGCCAGGCTTGTAGCCCCTCCCCCCTCAGCTTTATTCCAACCAGGAAATATACAACCACCACAGGCTTTGAACGCTCAGAATCCCGATTATGCAGAAAGAAAAAATTATCATCATGCTGAACAATTGGGGGCTGCTAAACAACATACTTAAATTGCATAGAGAGGAAGGAGAATTAGAAAACGTTCTCGATCCACCCATATGTTTAAGATAAAATTTTTTTAAATAGACCCAGTGATAAATTAAAAAAAAGTTAATATAAATTATTTTCAACAATTATGTAGAATTTCAGCAAATTTTAGTGACACCCATATCACGATCTTTTTGATTTCCACATAAAATTGAATTATTGTTATTTTTACAAAAAGGAAAATAAATGTGAAACAAATTCGGCCCTATATGAAAATAAGGGAGGAATCGGTTTTTCAATATTACATAATGGCCAGCTTTTTCTTACTCGTTCAATTCCATAATGTATATTTGCCTGTGCCTGAATCAAATGAGAAATGATAAAGAAAAGGATGAATGGAAAGGAGAATGTCTCGTTATTTGTGTTAAATTTTGGCCTTGCGTTACGTTTTGCGTAAATTTGGCCAAAATTAGGGCAAAAAACGCAAGAAATATACCCAATATGAGAATAAAAATTGAAAGAAATCCCTTCTAAAATTTTTTCTAAATTTTCGCTTCCGGCGGTGAAAAAGTGGTTCCTTGGCCATCTGAATTTCTCAAAACTTCCCCCTGCCAAATTGAAAAGCAAGTTCAACTGTCCTCACCCTCAATTAGCCATGCTCAAATGACCTTAACCGTTAAATTTCACTTCGCCAAAAATGACATTTAGACCCAAATCTTGTCTAATGTTCTCCTTCCCTTTACTTCTTATTTTTATTTTCTCTTATTTTTAGGGCTGTACTTTAGCCGGTTCTTTCGGGCTGTACTTTAACTGCGCAGGCCCGCTTCAATTTCAGCAGATACTCTTAAAGAATCTTGCTGAAGATATCAACCAAGTGAGTATACACATTATAAATCCCTCAAATAGTACATAGACACCAAAAATTGTAATAATTTAATCTTTGATATAATTATGAATCTGGAAAGAATTTATTATTTTTTAAATTTAGGTCAATTATCCTGAACCGTTCACCAATGTTTATTTGGATTATGAAAAGAACATAATGAAGAAAGCCAACGACTACCAGGCAAACCAACACCGGAATATGTCCTCTTCAGTGAACGTCATGTTTCGAGCTGTCCAAGTCATAATATTGCCTTGCACATGTTCGGTGGACAAGGTGATATTCGAGAACAAGGTTATAATTTAAGTAAAATATGCCTATAATATTTTCTTATTCAGCTAAGTCTAAATGTCAACGTGACGTTCGATACGGCTTGAATCTGCTTGGTTGCCTAGAAAGATACTTCCAAACATGGGTTAATTATTAAAGAAAATTATTTAATTTTAACTAAATTAATTTTAGACAACCACCGAAAGTTGCATAAGATGTTCCAAAAAGCAACTTCCAGCAAGAGCTTATCTTTGGAATATGCCTTCCATTCTAATCATCCACTTGGGACGATCGAAGTAATTAAATTTAAAAATTTAATAGATAATTTTAAAAATATTTTAAACAGGGATGAGGAAAAGAACGAGCGATTTGTTGATTTCCCACTGGAGAATCTTGACATTTCCTCGTATCTACACCCGGACTCGCCGGTTAATGGATTGAAGAGAGAAATGTGCTCTATTCACTATATGGAATTCTGGTGAGTAGCAACCCTTTTAAATATACGTGTCAAACCTTTATTTTCAGCAACATCATATTGTCGACCAATTAAATGGACACTTCACGTCAAAGGTTAAGAACCTCGAAACTAATGACTGGATGTTATGCAACGACACAGTATTTTCGGAAATCAATGTTGCTGACGTCAAAGTATAAATACAATTAAAATAAATTTTGTAAAAAAGAAATTTCAGACGTCTGACGCTTTCATGCTCTATTACAAGAGAATGGACAGGCAAGCTTTTTTTAAATTTTAATAAAATTTAATCAAGAAAATCTAAAAAAATATATACAAATTATACAAAAAAATGTCAAAAACATTTAAAAACAAAAAAATAGCGTAAAAACAGACAAATAAAAAAACAGTAACGGATAATTAAACTTACATAGAAACTAGAGGTCGGCGCGGGACGGGATCCCGCGCGGGATTTTGCGGGATCCCGTCCCGCAATCCCGCACTTTTTTCAATTTGCGGGATTTTGCGGGAATGCGGGATTTTGCGGGATTTATCCCGCGGGATCCCGTCCCGCAAAGATTTAAAAAAAATTTATCCCGCGGGATCCCGCAAAATTTTTTGAATTTTGCGGGATTTTTGAAAAATGGAGGATTTTGCCTGCTAGCCTTCTAAATTCAAAGCCTGCGGCGCTGAAAAAGGAAGGAATTTGGATACTTCGCCTTTTAAAATTTTCGTCCGCCGTCCATGGAATCATCTTTATTTCATCAACAAGATTGTCCAAATTGTTAGATCACGATGTCTGATCTAGTGTTCGGCACGGTACGGTATACCGCGGTATTTTTCCCGGTATACCGCGGTATTTTTTTCCGGTATACCGATACCGATACCGTACCGGTCAAATTTTGAAAAAAAACGGTATTTTTCGGTATCGGTATTTTTTCGGTATACCGATACCGAAACCGTACCGGTCCTCGAAAAAATACCGCGGTATTTTCCGGTATTTCGGTATTTGTGATACCCCTATCTGCGTCGCAATAAGGAAGATTTTTGGCTTAAGGATCTTCCAAATTTCTCAAAATTTTCGCCTGCGGCGCTGAAAAAGGAAGACTTATGTGTATATTGCAGGATGTGAATGGACTTGGGTGGATTTTAGTGATAGTCGGATATTTCAAGGGAAGGATCTGGCCTTCCGGAACCCGGAGCCCGGAGCCACATTGATCATAGGCGTATCATGGAGTTTTGTCGGATTAAGAGGGATATAGGCGGATTAAGAAAATAAATGGGATTTGGATGATAATCCCCTGTATCACTGTCAACAAATGCCCAATACCCAGCACCGACTCGGGTTTTTCTCAAATACACGGACTCGAACGTACTCTAGTTTGAATCCTGATACAGCGGAAAAAACGTTTTTTTTCAAATAAAACTTTACCATTTTTAAATTACAAATATTAAAATTATGTTCATTTTTCGAATTTTAATGTTAAGATTTTAAAAATAAAATTTAAAAAAATTTTATAAAATTTTTAAAAAATACCGAATACCGGCCGGTATACCGAAAATATTGAGACGGTATTTTCCGGTATCGGTATTTTTCCGGTATACCGATACCGATACCGTACCGGTCAATTTTTGTAAAAAACGGTATTTTTCGGTATCGGTATTTTTTCGGTATACCGATACCGAATACCGGAAAAGGTCATTTGCCGAACACTAGTCTGATCCCATTTGTTCAGCTCAAGTTATTCTAATTCGTATACTCGAATTTTCCGACCAATATGTTACGATTCTTTGATAATTGGGGACATGGGATAAGTGATTATAATTTGTACCAACTTGTACTCGTAATTTGGTACAAAGTACGATACATGTACGAGCAACGAGTACGAGTTAAGAACCCGTTAATGATTAGGAAATTGATTTTTTTCAATAGATATTGATAATTTCAACGATTTTCGAAAAATCCCGCGCGGGATCCCGCAAATTTAAAATGCGGGATTTTGCGGGAATGCGGGATTTTGCGAGATTTATCCCGCGGGATCCCGTCCCGCAAAGATTAAAAAAAATTTTTATCCCGCGGGATCCCGCAAACGCGATTTTGCCGACCTCTAATAGAAACAGAAACATCAAAACTTCAAAATGCAAAAACAACGAAAATATTTCAAAACATCAGAAACAAAACATAAAATATTTGAAATACTAAATATCACAAACGACAAAACATAAAATGTCAAAATGACAAAATCCCTCTTAAAAAGTCCCTCAAAGGTTAAAGTTTGTTTCGGTCTAAATCTTTTTTTAGAAAATTTCAAAAATTTTGTTGTTTTCAAAATCATAAACTTTATTTTCATAAATTAAATAAATTATAATTTTTTAGAATTTCCCTTATTGTAATTAACAACAACAACAAAACTTTCAACAAAAACAACAACAAAACAAACAACAAATACATATATCATAATAATCGCCTATCGTCACCTTCAATACCAAATTCAGCTCCAATTGTAATTTTTCCAAAATTCTGCTCATGTTATTTTTTACTTGGTATTCCTCACTAAGGTACTCCTCTCCTTTTATGTAAACCTATGTTTTTGATTAAGCACAAGAGAAATGTGCTCCTCGTAATATTTTTTAGTCCATGATTTTTAGTTTCAGCCCCATCTGTGAGATTAAAGTGTAATTTTTAATTCATGTTTTAGAAAATTGGTCAGGTTGGATTTACTAATTTTGCCAATTCATGTTATTGCAACTCAATATTACAAATACTTCTACACACGCCAAATTTTGCAAAACTTTACGCTAGCAACACGATCAAAGACCAAATCAACGAAAACAACAACAGAAATACCAAAGGCTATATCATCTACCATTCTTGGAGACCATTACAATGGTGAAACTCAGCAGGCTTCGCTACATTTCCATGAGCAGCTTTTAAGGGCACTTGCTGAGGATGTTAACCAAGTGAGTTTTTAAAATAAAATTGAATGAATTTAAGGCCGGAATAGGTCCCTCGAAAAATAGAGTTTAAGATATGAACAGAATTATGACCCTAAAACGAATTTCCTATATATTTTTTAAAATTTAGGTCAACTTTCCCGAAGACTTCTTCAACATTTATTTGATTGATGTGTCAACTGCTGCTAATGACTACGCTGCAAAAAAACGCCGAAACATGTCCTCTTCAGTGAACGACATGTTTTGCGCTGTCCAGATCACGGTTTTATCTTGTTCATGCTCATTGAACCAGACAATATTTGAGGACAAGGTTTTACTTTAATAGCATAAAACTATAATATTTGTTTACTCAGATCAGTCTAAACATCAACGTAACGTTTGATGCTTCTAATATTGACCTGCTTGGATGTTTGGCAAGACATTTTCAAACTTGGGTTAATTATAGAAAATTAAAATTTAAACGAATTTATTTTAGACTTCCAACGTGAAGTGTCATAGCTGTTCTAAGCCCCAACTCCCAGCGAGAATTTATTTTTGGAGGTTGCCACCCATCTTAATCATTCACTTGGGACGATGGAAGTAATTAAATTCAATTTAATAGATAATTTTAAAAATATTTTAAACAGAGATGGGGAAAAGAACGAGCGATTTGTTGACTTCCCATTGGAGAATCTCGACATTTCGCCATATCTCCACCCAAATTCACAAGTTAATGGAATGGGGCTTTATTCACTATATGGAATACTGGTGAGTAGAAAACGTTTTAATTACACGTGTCAAACCTATATTTTAAGCAACACCACATCGTCGATGCTGAAAATGGACATTTCACAGCAAAGGTGAAGAACATCCAGGCTAATGACTGGATGTTGTGCAACGACACCGTAGTTTCGGAAATTAATGCAGCTGACGTCAAAGTAAAAATACAATTAAATTAAAATTTTGTAAAAAAGAAATTTTAGACAACGGACGCCTTCACCCTCTACTACAAGAAAATGGACAGGCAAGCTTTTTAAATTATAATAAAAATTAATTAAAATCTAGAAAAATATATACAAATTATACAAGAAAATGTTAAAAACATTTAAAAACAGAAAAAATAGCGTAAAAACAGACAAATAAAAAAACAATAACAGACAATTTAACTTATGTAAATAGACCAAACAAAGCTTCAAAATGCAAGTTTGTTTCTCCAAAGTTTTTAAACTACTTAACCTTTTAGACTTCTTTATATGTCCTCAACTACTACTACAAAATTTTCAACAAAACAATTAACGGTAATACTTTGGTTTAGAGGCACTTCAATTGCACAATTACATTGCAAGTGTGCAGAAAGTAGAGAAACTGCAACACCTCCAGCACTCAATTTGAATTTCATTTTATTGCTTATTTGCATTTTGAAGACGTCTTTTGGAATTTGGTTTGATTTTATTCTTTTGTTCTCATCAAAAAAGCTTAATTTCGTCAACTTTCTGGTTAAGGTGATTTTGGGTTATATTTATTTAATGTCAATTAAAACCAGAGACCGATCCGTGATGAGATCTCGAACACAAATACATGATCAATCTTGATTCTCGTATTCCCTCACAGTCTTGTCTCTTAATTAAAACCCTGTAGAAAATGGACTGACATCAAATGGAACTAGTAATTTGTAAAAATTGTCCGCAAGTATTGTCCGCAAGTTCCAAAAATTTTTTTAGATAAAATTTATTTTTCTTGCCAGTGTAACCCGATAATTTACAAAAAAATTTACTTTCAATTTTTAGATTCGGCACAAAACTTTCCTCGTGATTGCTGACCTACCAATCCAAGTAGTTTATTGTCTGATACTAGCAAATAATGCAAAAATTTCATGTAAAATCTTGGTGATATAGCTTGTAATGCTCTTGTTATTGTGCAAAAGAAGTATTAATTAAATGATTAAATAGACATAAAATGATCTTTGTACTTTTTTTTTTGATTTTTTAAAATATTCTGAATAAAACTTTGAACGCGAGTAGCGGTAGTTTTTATTTGAGTTTCTTTCTTATTTTGAGGTAATTAAATTTAATTAGTAGCCTTTGACTCCTTAATCTTTTTTTGGCACTGTATAGTATTGTAATTGGTCACCTAATTTACAAAATTTCGGTATAAAAGTAACATACTACAATTTTTATTTAAACACAAATTTATTCGGTATTGTTGAAATCTGATACTATTAAGGACAACTTTTTCTTCTTTCTCCACATTTTATTTATCTTCATTTATTTCTAATTTCATAATTTATTAATTTTCAAATTCGAAATAATTCTTCTAAAATTCCCAATGGGAGCAAACCATTCAAATATTAAAGAGGATCACACAAAATTTCCCTTCTGGTGTGGTTATTTTCCTGATGCTGATGCTTTGGAACTTTTAAAGAATAAAAACGAATTTATGTTGCGATGTTTAGAGAATGATTCTTTGAGTTTGACGCTTTATGGTGGTCCTGAAAAGGTAGTTTTACAATAAAGAATACGACTCCAGGACATTTTTGGGTCCAAATATTTTGATGGATATCCACTTTTTTCAGTTCTCATTTTGGGAACTAGTTAACGGAGTTCATTAATTTCTATCTTAAGTCCGTTAATGTTGCTATTTTCAGATATCAAATTTTGTACTTCCAAAATTCTGGATGGCATCTAGCAGGTCGAAAATCAACTGAACCAACATCTAAAGAATTGGTTGAATTTTATTGGGTTTGTTTTCAGTTATTTTTCAAAAATTTTCTTATAACATTTAAGTGCACAAAACCGGCAATAATTCTTAAAGGAGAGTGATCGTTCGGAGTCTCAAATTCTTCGCCCACATTGGTTACTTTCTTCAGCAAAAGTTTGGTTTGGAGACAAACTTGGCGAAGGCGCCTATGAAGTAGTCTTAAAGTTAGGTGAACTACCCTATACCGTGTTCAATGTAGATATAAGCCAAAATGATATTAGCGCGAAAACACGTGGATATATGTTGCAGAGAGTCAGAAATACGTCTTCTATGGTCTACGACATATTTGGGTCGTTTGCACTATAGTGATTCCCTGCTCTTGTCCGTTGGAAAAATTAATTTTCGAAGAGAGGGTTAGAAGTTAATTAAAATTAAACTTAAATATTATTTTTTCTATAGATGAGCTTGGACTTAAGTGTGACAAGCAGTGAAATACCAACGGATTTAATGAGCTGCTTATCCAGCCATTTTCAAAATTTGGTTATTTAGAAAAAATACGTTTTTAAGCAGCTAATTTTAGGCCTAGGATCAATGTGAACGTTGTGGAGATAAATGTGTGCCATCATCCATTTATATTTGGTGTTGCCTCAAATTCTGATTATTCACTTTGGTCGTATAAATTAGTAAACATTTATAATTATATAATAAATAATCGTAAAAAATAATTAATTTATAATTGCAGGACAGGACAAAAAATAGCCGATACATTGATTTTCCAATACAGGATTTGGATGTGACCCCATAAATACATTCGAATTCTCCAGATTTATTGGAAAAGGAAAATTTAGTTTATGAATTATATGGCATTTTAGTAAGTAATACATAAAACATGTTTAGCTAATTCATAAAATTTAGCAGCATCATGAGTACCCGTTACCAAGACATTTTACTTCTAAAACAAAGAATCCCGAACCGGGATTTGGAGTTTATTTAATGATACTGTAATTTCGGATTTGAATTTATGTGAATTAAAGGTAATGGAGTTAAATTTACAGCAATTAATTAAACAAATTTTCAAAATAACGATGCGTATATTCTATATTACCATCGAAAGAATATGAAAATAATTAAATGTTGTTGATGTTAAGGTAAGAAATATATAAAATTCTAAAAAATGAGTTAAACAAGAATTAAATGTTTAAAAAATATCAGAAACATAAGCTTAATTAAGGAAAAGTAAAAAAATAGTTTAGTTAGATTAAAAGCTAAAAAATACAAACAAATCTTAAAAAGTCAAAACAAAAGCAATATATTACTTACTATAATATATGTACGTTTTCGATTTAGAGGGTACACATAAATGGGACCTGGATATAATTTATTAAATTAATAATTAGATAATTTTAAATAGGCAAAAGGAAGAGCCGGATTTTACAACGTCGCAAACAGTTGCTACTGCAACGAAGTTTTACAGATTCTATTGAAAACCCCAAAATTCGCTACAATGTATGCCGATAGAAGTATTCGACAAAAAATAAACGAAATAAATCAAAAAGGGACAAAGGAAAATTAAGTGGCTGGTTAAGCGCAATTGCAAATTGTCATAGCTCAGAACATTATAGAGTTATTAATACCATTGAGATAATGGTACATAGATCCTTTTAAAAATCTAATATTTAATACTCCTTTATCTAAAAATTATTAAAGATTCCCCTAGAATTTGAAATTAAATAACCGCTTAATAGTCAGTATTGTCAAACAAAAGAAACTTGACTATAATTTAAAGAAAATTGAATAATTTAAAATTTCTTGTAACTAAGATAACTTGTAAATAACTGAGAAAATTTTAAAAAGAAAATAAGTATATCCAAAAAGAGCTTTACAAAATGAATAAAATTCTGAAAAAGTTATAACTGAAAATTTGATTATACGAATATTTGAAGTTTTCCATTAAATTATGCCTTATTAATAATAATTTTAACAAAATTCCAGGCTTTCTTAGCTACCATATTTGTTGACGACTTTAATGGTTTTTTGCCGCAACACGCTTTCAAGTTTCAAGGGATGCTTTTGGACAAACTTGCTGAAGATTCAAATGAAGTATCGTTATTTTTTAATTGAATTTTAAAAGCTAATTCTCATTGGAGAGTTTCTCAAATATCATTCTCTAAAATTAGGTTGAATTTAAAGAATAATTATAATAATGAAGATGAAGATAAGATGCTTAAAAAATAACTATTTTTTACTTTAGAACAACTATCCTGAAAACGTATATAATGTATCCCTAGAAGCGTTGACTACAGCAGCAACTGATTATTTTGCAAGGAAACGGCGAAATATGTGTTCTTCAGTGAATGACATATTTCGGGTAGTTTATGTGATAATAGTTGCCTGCCCTTGCCCGATGGAAAAAATAGTTTTCGACGATCAGGTCTAAATTTAATGAAAATAAACCTAAAATTTTCTTATTCTAAAGATTGATGTCGACTTAAATGTTTCCACAGACGACAATGACACTGATTTGAAAAGCTATCTAGATAGCTATTTTCAAATTATGCAAACGGACGAATGCCAACGATGTGGAAACAAAAATGCGCCGGCTTTAACTTATATCTGGCGTCTTCCTGATGTTTTAATTATTCATCTGGGACGTGTAAAGCCGTAAATATTTAAAATAATTAATCCCAAGAATTAATCTAAAAAATAAATTATAAATACAGGGATGGAACAAAGAATAACCGTTTTGTCGATTTTCCAATACAAAATCTCAATATGACCACCTACCTCCATCCAAATTCTCCTGATTTGATGGAGAAGGAAAATTTGATGTATGATTTATATGGGATTTTAGTAAGTAATAAAAGCCTTTAAAGTAGATAAATATTATTTCAGCAACACCACGAAACTTCATCCCCGGGACATTTTACTTCGAAGACCAAAAATCCCGAAACAGGGGTTGGAGTTTATTCAACGATACGGCAATTACAGATTTAAATTTATGTGAAGTTAAGGTAATGAAGTTAAATTTTTATCCAATAATTATGCAAAAATTAAAAAAATAGAGTTTAGTTTAGCATTTAAAAATACAAACAAAAACCTCAACACAGCAAAATAAAAATAATATTTCAAAAAGTTCATAAGGCATTAAAACATAAAACGTTGGTTTTACAATTTCTATTGGTTTTACAATTCTTCAGAACATCTAAATCTTTCGTCAAAAACTTCATAAGGCATTAAAACATAAAACGTCCACCCAACAAATTGCCAACAAGTTTTTAGTCATTTAAGGTTCCCCTTCAACCCATTCAATCATTAACCTGTTTATAACATTGATGTTGGGTTTAAACCTCTTTTTCTTATCTAATTAACATGTTATTTGACAAAACGACTCGATTTGTTGTTTTTAATATTTTAACATTTTTAGTTAACAAAAACTACTACTAAATTATTCTATTGGTTTCACAATATTATTTAATTATCATGAACTTCTCTTTTCTTTTATTGATAAATTAATTGGATTACTCTTTGGCAAGTTTTTAAAAATTTTTATAAATCTTTTTTAAATTATAATTTTTAGATTTTTTGCTGTTATTTGTATTGCTTTTTTTTAATTTTTTTGCTTCTTTTCCTTTTGGTTTGGATATTTTTTTAATGGCTCTATTACAATTTATTTTTAATATAAAGAAATTTAAACAAAAATAATTCAATAAGATCTATGAAAATTTATTTCTGTAATTAATTTTTGTTCATTAATATTTTAATTGATTTTGTATATAAAAATATTAATTCTTAATAACTCAAAGTTGTGAAGATATTTTCGTCTATAATCATCCCTCAAACAAGAAACTTTTAAAACTTACTTTTTCGCCCGTTTTTTTGCCTCCACAACCAAGGGTATAGTATAACCAAAGCTTACCTCTATAAATAAGTAGTACTTGCTGATAACCAAATTTAACCTTCCAATACATATAATTTTAATAATTATTTATTCAAAATTTAACCACGCACTTACATTTTAATGAATAAACAAAGTTTTTTCTCGAAAATATTTTTTTGTATTTAGAAAATTATTGGTGTGAAACATTTTAATAAAAAAATATTTACATTAATTTTGAGTTTTTTGTCGTCTAAATAATTATTATTTACAATTAAATAAATTAAACTTTTATTCATTAAAAAATGTCCTTCGATTTACTAAATATTTTATTTAAATTTGATTATTTTGTTTGTATATTAATTGGTTTTCCTTTAAATATTATTCTGATTGTTTTAATTATTTTTAAAACACCAAATGAAATGAAAACACACAGTCGAATTCTGATACAAAATTGTGTTTTGGATATTTTAATCTTGATTATTCAATTATTTGCTCAAGTGGTAATCAAAAAATAAATAATACTAATTATTCATTATTAGGGACTCACAAAATATGCACTGAACTATGCAGAAGTTCCTAAAATAAGCACTAAATATACAACGAAAAATACTCAAAATCTACTTAAAATTCATAGTTTAAGTAAAAAACACTAATTTAGCTCAGGGCTGTTCTTCCCCAATTTCCAACCGATATGCAATTCGTTCCCTACGAAAGGAACGAAATATGAAATATTTATTTAGAACAGGGTCCTAAATTGCTCAAACCAACGTAAAATACCACTTTTGTTCTCATTTCAAGTGATATATTAACATAGTACAAAAAATGCATTTTGTTGAGTACCGTATTTCCTTTATTAGAATGCCACCCTCTATGTGAATGCCACCTTTGAAGGTGATTGAAAAATAGAATGCCATGGCATTCTAATAGAGGAGATACGGTATTTTTTGTGAATTTTTATTTATTTATAGTTTTATCTACCTGATAAAGATGGAAATACGGTCATAATATTTACTAATGGAATTATGCTTAATTTTGGAAATGAAAATTTTAATCCACTTATAAGTTATATTATTGCATTATTTTGTTATTACCTTGTTTATTTTAATATATATGGATTGTGTGTTCAATTTATTTACCGATATTTAGTTTTGAATAGGTTAATTTATTTAAACATTCCCCCCAAATAAATCCATTAGAAACCTAAAAATTAATTTTCTTCGTTATTTATCAATGTTGTCCGTTGCTTTATGTGTGACGTTATTTTTATTGTTGAACACAACTTTGTTCGGCAATCCATATTCCTTTGGAGGTATTAAATATTTTGATGCTTTTAACAAAACATTGCCATTTGTTCAATGCAAAACTGAATCGGTAATTTAACAAGTTTCAATTATTATATTCAACTTATATTAGATTAATAATTTTTCAATTTTACTATTGTCATTAATTCAAATATCTCCATATTTAATAATAATTGTTTGTGGAATAAAAATGGTTAGATATGTCAATTTAAACACTAATTTTGATGGAAATTTAAAAAGATTGAATAAACTTTTAACAAAAGTTTTGATTATTTTGGTGTGTTTATTTGATTAAATATTTCTTTTTAATTTAAAAAAATACTTAATCTACTTATTTTTAAAAATTTCAGGCTGTTGTTCCATTTATCAACCAAGCAGCAAGATTATTTCTTGTGTTTTTTATGTCAACAATCAACGATACAACAAACATTTTTCGAATATTATCTTTCACTTCTTTTCATTTAGTCCCTGTATTTAACCCAATTATTTGCATTTTAACAAACACTCCATATCGAAATGCTATTTTTAATCGTGCACAAATAACCCCACAATAATTGAATAAAGATTATATTTTTCTAATTTTTTATCCAGATTTTAATCCTTTGGTATTCAGCTGCCCACAATATGTGTCTATATAATAATAATTGTTATGTGTCCTCTTATAAAAATCAAAAAATAATGGAACTATTAAATAATTCTTAGCTGAAAATTTTCAAAATTTTTGTTTTAAAATATAAATTTATTAGCATTAAGTCTATTGTATTCCCAGTAAATCTTTTATCTCAATAGAGAGCTCTATACACCCAGAATTAAGGTACACACGAAAATACCGGACCAGAGGTCCAAACATTAAGAGCTCCGTGCATGGCAAATGTCTTTGATTTGCATTTTCTGGTCAAACAATTATTAAGGAGATAAAATTTTAAATATTAACAACTATGCTTAATACATCTATGCTTAATACACAGCTCGGACTGTAATTATTAATAACATTATTTTTGTAAAAGTCTAAATGCACTTTTTAAGTTCTTTTGAAATTATCAATCAAAATTTAAACAAACAATAAAAATCCCACGACTTGTTTATGTCTAATAATTTTTAATGTAAATATTTAAAAAAATTTTCTCAAAAATATTTTTTGTATTTAATGTGAACAATGAAAGATTTTCAAAATTGTTAATGAGAATTTACAGTAGAGGCCGAACCGGGACGAGTTCTCGATCAAAAATGTCGGTTAACGAGATCGAGAATTTTTCGAGATCTGGATCTCGATTCTTTTACGACACTCCCATTCCGTTCTCTAATTTACAGACAAATTTAACAATTATTTTGTTTAGAAATAAAAATATTCTGAAAAGATTTCTTTCCTTATTTTCTGAATTTTTGATTGAATTTTGATTGAAATTTACTTAGCAATTGGATTTTTAACGATTTAATTCGGTTTTATCCAAAATACAAATATTTATATACATTTTAAGCAAGAATAAATGTTAATAAAAAAAATAATCTCTCATAATTTTAAAGCAACGAAATGTCTATTAACCGACATAAATAATTAAAAAAAAACAAGAATTAAAAAAATTAAAGATTTAAAAAATATTTTATATTTAAAATGCTCTTTCATTCGCAAAATAAAGCAAAAACTGGGATGTGTAATATGTAAAATTCAAGTAGCAGACCATAGTATTTGTATGTCGAGCAAATTGGTTAACCTGGAAAGGTTGAAATTTTATCAGAAAATTAAATCAGAAATTTATAGAAAAATAAACTTAAATCAGAATTTTGAGTCAGAATTCAGAAAATCAGAATTTAAAAAATTAAACTTTAAATTAATAAAATCAGAATTTTCAATCAGAAATTGGAATTATTAAAATCAGAATTTATAATTACCAAAAGTGCAGCATTGCAAATTAACAAAAAGAATGTTCCAAAGAAGCGGACAAGAGCTGACCGTTCTTCATAACGCATTGTTGAACCATTTTTCCATACAGAACCGGCCACACTATTTTTATAAAATTTAATGAATTTTATTTAAAAATAAAATTTACATAAATGAAGATGTGGACAATAAAATAGTTGCACACATTGCAGCAACTAATGCAGGGATAGAACGATAGAGATCGGCGAAAACACCGTAGAGAAAGAGAGAGACAAGTGCTAATGCTGCAAAATTGTTAAGTTAATAAAAATAAGCTTGAAAATAAATCAGAATTTATTAAATCAGAATTTAAAAATATAAACTTGAAACAAAATTATTTACTAAAAATAAACTTGGAAAATAAGAAGCAAACACAAATCAGAATTATTAAAAAATAAACTTGAAACAGAATTAAAATAAACCAGAAAAATCAGAATTTAAATTCTGATTATTTTACTTGTCTAAAATTCTGTTTCAAGTTTATTTTCCACTAATTCTGATGTGCTTATCAAAAATCAGAATTTTAAATATTAAATTAAAATCAGAATTTTTCAAAAAGAAACTTACTAGAAACAGTTAGAGCCACCCACCATTTCCTTAGTGAGCGGTAGAAAGAGAGAAGATAGGCAATATGTGAAAGGCAAATAAGCATTGCACTTAATTCTAATTTTTTGGGGAAAACAGACCAACTGTATAAAGCAATAGCTTAAAAATAATTTTAAAATTTTTAAAAATAATTTTTAATTTATTAACCAAGTGTAAAGAAGGATATAGCTGTTAATAATCTTTTCCTCCCAGGCATTCTAGTCCATAAAGTAAACCACCCTAAAACAATCACTGGTAATGCAAAAACAAAGGGAGCATTGTTTTGGAAGCCGTCAGTGGCCTTTAATATAAATTTATTAAAAATTAAAGAAGAAAATTTCAGAAAATAAACTTAAAATCAGAATTTAAGAAAAATACGTATTAGAATCAGAATTAAGAAAATAAACTTGAATTTCAGAAATTAAAATCAAAAAAGAAAATAAACTTAAAATTTACCAAAAATAAACTTGAAACCAGAATTTTCAGAAAAAGTTTTAAAATCAGAAATTAAACATAATCTTGGAATCAGAATTTTAGAAAAATAAACTTAAAATCAGAAATTCCAGAAAATAACCAAAATCAGAATTATATATTCAGAATTTTCGGGAACATAATTTTAAAAATTTGTAATTTCAGAAAATAAACTTAAAATCAGAATTTTCAGAAAATTTATTTAAAATCAGAATTTAAAAAATAATAATCAATTTTACCCACCAAATAAACAAACACCACCAATGCAGCATAAATTAGAAACACCTAAAATTAATTAAATTATTTTTAATTTATGCTGATAAAATACCTGCAGAGGCATTAAAATAATATTTTTCCTTCAATATTTTCCAATTTTATAATTTAATTTTAATTAATTAATTTATTTTTCGTTCCTAAAAATTGTTCATTAATTTTTTTAATTAAATAAAAAGTAATAAAAATGATAAAACAGAGGAAAGGGATTTTTGGAAAAAAAATAAAAATAAAAATGGAAAAAATAAATAAAATTGTAAAAATGATGTAAAAATAAATACAAAAATCACAAAAAAAATATTCAAAAAAAAACTAAAACTAAAAATATTTTGTAGAGTGCAATCTCCGCCTGTCACTAAAAGTATTTTATTCACGTGAAAAGCAACAAAAGCTTTTTTGTTTGAATTTTTCTTTCGATTGCTACTGCTACACACATTTATATAAAGCATTGACAAAACAACAACATTAATTTTAAAGTGTAAAGTATATTAAACATAGATCAGAATAAAGTTAAAAGAAATAATTCTGATTTTAAATAAGTTTAGTTTTATTTTTAAATTCTGATTTTTTCAGAATTTTAATAAAATTCTGATTTTCAGCAAAATTCTGATAATTGAAGAATAGAATTATGATTTTCATTTTAAATAAAATTCTGATTTTTCAGATTTTTTAATTCTGATTTTTTATTTTAAGTTTTATGAAAATTCTAATTTTTAAAAATAGAATTCTGATTTTCAAGTTTTGAAAAGATTCTTATTTTTTTAACAAAATTCTGCTTTTTGTTTAAATAAAATTCTGATTTTTATTTTTTATTTAAAAATTCTGATTTCAAGTTTTAATGAATTTTAAAACAAGATTTAAAAGAAAAATTTAAATTCTGATTTTTGTTAATACAAAAATCAACTAGAAATATTCTGTTGAGTGCAGCCAATCACTACTAATTTATCAATCAAATAAATTAAAGATTTAAAATAATTAGAGATTAAAAAAGAACAAAAATTGAACTAGACAATTTACAATTTTTTTACTAAAAAATATATTTTTAAATTTTATCAGTCTTTTTAGAAGCCGATTTAAATTTTTGTTAACCGATTATAAATATAAAGAAATTTTTTGTATTTAAAAAAAGGTGAGGGGGTGTAAAGAATATTTAAAAGATCAAAAACCTTTGAGAATAAATTTAGAAAACTTTTTTCAGAATAAAATAGAAAAAAAGGTTGCAATAAAATATTCTGAAAATTAAATAGTAGAAAAAAAAACAGAAAATAAACTTTAATTCTGAAAATTAAAATTCTGATTTTCAAGTTTTAAAAAAATTCTGAATTTATTTAAAGAAAATCAGAATATTTTAAATTAATAAAAATCAGAACTTAAAAAAATTTCTTTTTCGATCTTCTGGGTAGCAAAGTAAATAAAATAATTTGAGGAAATAATTTTAAATGATGAAGCTATGAAAAGGTTGCTATCAAATTTATTGATGTTTATAAATTGAGAAAAAAATTTTTGGAGAGAGAAAAATCGAAGAATAATATTAAAATAAATAAATAATTTAGTCAGACCTCTTTTGTTTTTAGTCAGACCTCCCCCCCCCTCCCTCCCTCCCTCCCTCCCTCCCTCAGTGATTAAATAAATGTATCTATCAGAGGTGTATCTTAAATAGAAGGGTATCAGTTAATCTGCTCTCTCTCTCCACGAGATGGCCTACCAACCTTTAAAAACTGTTCGGAGAGGGGTCATTTTGGATTGATTGTATTTACAATAGAGATTAGAGAGTGTTCCTAATTGAGATAATTTTTGAAAGTTTTTTTGATTTTTGAGATGATTTTTTGAGGAAAAAATCATTTAATTTATTGAAAAAAAAGAGAGATTTTTTTAAATAAACAAAAAATAAAATCTCCAAAAAATTTTTTTAAAGTGAACAGTCGTCGTCAAGTCAATATATTCTCTTTTTAAACTAAAGTACAAAAACAACAACACAAAAATATTTTAGAAAAGTGTGGAAAAGAAGAATAAAGTAAATAGAGGAAAATAGACAAAAAATTGAAAAGAATTTTTATTTTTTTTATTTTTCCGTCCAAAGTTCAGTTTTTTTAGTAGAAAAAAAAGAATTGAGTAAATATTTAAAAGTAAAAATTAAAAAAAAATCTTTTAAAATCTCAACATTTTCAATTGAAAATAAAGAAAAAAAATTTTTTGTTTAATTTAAAGAGGGACGGGGGGGGGGGGGGGATTAAAGGAAAGGAGGGAAATAAACGATGAAAAAAAAATAAACAATGGAGAGGAAGGAAAATTAAAAATTAAATTTTGAAAAATCGAGAGAGTTGATTAAAATAAAATTATTTTAATTTAAAAAAATATTTACATAAGTAAAAAATTGGATAAGAAATAATTCTGGGAGTCTCCCCAAGTCGTTGTTATTCCAGTGGTTTTTTGCTTGATTAAACATAGCTGGGGAACAAGGAGGGACCTACTTCATTTTAAAAAGCAGAGGGCAGAAGTCGTAAGAAATCGGAACAAAATTTAAAAAAAATGAGAGACGGAGCACGGAAGCGGAAGGGACAAAAAATTCGGAATTCTGAGAAGATGGAGGCGGAAGTGGAAAGTAAGCCCCTGTCCCCTGCTAAAGGAGGGAATTCGCCCCAATTTTTTATTAGAATAAAGAAATTTTGTAAAAATTTAAAGAAAAATAATTTTTTGGTTAGAAGGTGACTGGTAATAAATAAAGAATTGAGAGGACGCAAGTTTAGAAAAAAATAAGCTAAATAAAACAACAACCAACCACCAAACAACTGTGTGTGTGATGTCTGTCTCTCGTATTATTTTTATTAAAATTCTCTGTCTGCTTAAAATGAAGATATCGAACGAGTAAATGCTGGCATTAAATGAAAACAAATAAGCAAAAATAAATAAATTTATTTTTTTAAATTAAACAAAATTTAAAATATTTAATTTTATGTGTTAGAGATAATGGGAAAAGAAGAGATTTTTCTTTAACTTAAAAAACCTTAAAAATTGCTTTTCGTGCTAGATTTGATCTAAATTATTGAAAAAAATTTTTGATTATTTTTTAAACAAAAATAAGGATTTTACGAAAATACATATAGTCAGAAATTTATTGTGTAAATACAGGATTGAAAATTTGTATTGTAAGGCCAGCTAGTTTTCTCCCCCTCCCAGAGAATGATCAGTCGGTGATAGGATAATTGAGCGGTTAATAATTTTACAACTCTCAGGCTAAAATTTTAAGGAATGGGGTGTAATTAAATAAAGGGGATCACTAAAAAAGTTGACTCATTCACCACTAAGCAACCAAATTTAAAAAATGTAACTATATGTAAATTGATTGTGAGATTCGAGTTTATTTTTAGAGAAATCCGACTTTAGATATATTTAAAAGAAATTTTATTTTGAATTGAAAGAAATTTCAAAGTTAATAAAACTTGCTTTTAATCAGCCCCTTTAAGACAAAAGAATTCCCCCAACAATTTGATAGACTCAAGATTAAAAATAAAATTAAATGTGACATAAAAATTGTTAAGAGAGAACACGTGGGAATTAATGAGGCAAAAAATTAAAAGTTCTTTGAGGCCTTCTTTAATTTTTTTTAAAAATTTATTTGAAAAAAATAAAAATAATTTTTGAACACGAGGAAATAAAAGGATGTCAATTTAATGAATTAAGCAGTAATTGAGGGTTGTGTGATTGTGAATGACAGGGAAAGCCTAAAATGACACAAAAAGCAATAAAATATTTAAAATGGATCAAAAAAATTTTGAAGATTAAAAATAGATGAAGAAAGGAATTGAAGAAGTAAAGGAAAAAAACAAGGAAGGAATAAGAAAATTAATTTAAGGAAATAATTTAAACTAGGATTTATTGGTAGAATAAGAAGACATCTGACTGGACCCAGGACCGGGTTTTCGGAGGGAGTCCTAAGCTCCTAAACCTCGGTATTTTGATAAAATTGGGTTTGGAGTTAAGAAAAGAATTAAAGACAGCTTTATTGTTAGCGTAAAGTGTGTGTCGAGTAAGGTTGGCAGTTCTTGATATCCAAGGATTTCCCAACAACCGACAACATTAATGCGAGTTCAACGACGAGTAGAAAATATTTATGGGATAGAGAGAGTCCATATTTGGGTTATAAAATTTTACAGAGAATTATGTAGGTAAACTCTTTTTTGTGTTTTCAAAATTTAATTTTATTTTTACCAAGAAACTTTTGTTTGGCATAAAATACGCATCAAAAAAGGTACCCCACATTTATAAGGAAATATTCTGTTTAAGTTGCTATGACAGCATGGAGAGAATATTGAAATGAAAGGAGAAAAATTAATACATATTCAAGAAAAAAAACGAACAATTTTCTAAATTAAAATATAAATAAATGTCTACAACAACAACAACAAAACATCTCAAACTAGAATGGCATAGCAGTAAGGATTTGTTAGCCGTTTCATCTATTAATTCAAATAGTGGAGGATTTATTAGTTTCTTCACTAAAAAGGTTTTGTTTTATCAGAAAAGGGACTTGGAAAATTTCCTTTTGATAATTGAATTTAACTGTTGGAACGAGGAAAATGATATTTTTAAACAGAAACATAACCGAAACTAAGATTTTCTGACTTGGGAAAACAATTTTGAGAACACGCCGAAGTCATCTTAAGGTTGAAAACCCCATGAAATTTAAGCCTATCCGAAGTACACAATCAACAGTTGGGATGTCCTACTCGGAAACGATAATTGGTTTTATGAGCATTCATTACCTTCTATACTACCCGGAAAAAGATTTTTATTTAAAAATTTTATTTCTTAAAATTTAAAAATAATTTCTCAAGGGTGGAAAGCCTTTCTTCTCTTCAAAAGTACGAAATCAAAATTCCCCAACTACCTTTTGTTGGCATCCTACAGAGTCATTGCTTGCTATAGGGTGGGAAACTGGACATTTAAGTTTGGTAGATCCGACAAAAAGAACTGGTAGGAATTAAAAAAAATATTTTTAAAAAAATATTTAAAAAAATAAAAGAAAGTAATGATTTGGATGCGGGATTAAAACGTTGTTGTTGTATTTTATGGGATATTGAAGGATTATTGCTGGTTGCTGCAGATGAGGTAAAATAAAAGAGACGGGCTATAATTTAAGTTTAAAGAGTTGAACGGGATCTAGGGGGGGGGGGGCTTTTTGTGTTTTTAATTTTTTTATTATTTTGTTATACCTCTTGTTTGCTTTTCTTATTATAATACACAAAACAAACAATAAACTTTTAGAAATTTAAACTGTTAAAAATAGTAAATATTTTGTTGAATACGGCACTGTCCGGCATTTTTGAAAAATTCTGGATTTAATCAGACTAAACTTATTCGTGATTAGATAATAAATGATAAAGGAATATACATATAAAATTAAATTTAAATAGATTGGTGATATTCAATGCTTCAAATTCGATAGTAAAGAGAGCCGTTTGGAACATTTATGCAGTGTCAAATCAAAAGAAGAAATTCCAAGGGTTGTCTGTTTTAAACAAATACCAAGGCAATTTAAATATATGAATTTTATTAAATTTCAAAAATAAATATAGAAAATTATTACAATCTGCAAACACAAAAGACCGTAAATCTGCTAGAACATCTTCTGCAGGCAAAAATTCTTCAAGCCGCCAAAATTCAGCGCCTAAATCGAGTGAAGAAACTTTGACAGAATTAATAAACAAACATAAAAGAATAACTGAATTGGTTTGTTTTTTATTAAAAAAATTTTTTTGTGAACTTTATATTTTCCTTCTAAAATCGTGGATTAAAAAATCATCAAGAATCTTATTTAAAAAAATCAAGAATCTGATTAGATACATGATTGAATAGTATTCAAAATTTTTACTCAATCCATAAAATATCTAAACGATACTTATCCCATTTAAAACATCATACATTCGGAACTCACTATAAGATACTCTCTATACTAGATATCTCTCAATTTAAGGCAAATTCTTAAAATTTGGTTATGGTAGAAGAAACTTCCTAACTGGATACTAGTTAGAATTTTTTCATTTGCAAGGATTTATATAAAATTGAAGATCAACTGTATAATAAAAATCATTTTTTAATTTAAAGCAAAGCTTTGGGGACGATAACAACACTAAAAATGGGCGTAAAGGACGTAGAAGATTTGCCATGACTGAACTAGATACTATACCTGTTTTTATATTTGGAATGGAACAGGGAGGTGTTTACTTATTTGATCCGGCAAATAAACAATTAAATAAAATATTTCAAGTGGAAAAATGTAAAATTTTGTAAAAAAAATATTTTTAATTTAAAGGCGGATAGTGGAATTAGGCAAATATTAGATATGCCCCAACAAAATTATTTTCTAGCTATAACAGAGGAAATGATGTTTTATCAACTAATGTGTGACGATAAATTAGTTAATGACAAAATTAAGGTACTAGAAAGTTGAAGAAACGATTCTAGTCTAACAGACATTTTATATTTAAAAATATGACCCATTCAAAATTTTTTAACCCTAGATGACGATGAAAATGTTAATAACAGTTAAAAATATTTTTTATTAAAAAAAGGTCAAACTGGCAGCAAAATCCAAATATTTTCAAATGATACGTGTTGGGTTTGGAACTGTGGCCTTTGCTTATGGCGACAGGGAAATCCGTGTTTGGGATTTGGAAGCTGAAGATAGTGCTATACTTAGATTGAGGGCAGATAGGGGATATGAAGCAAGTGATGAACAAGTATTGATGTTGTCTTATCTGCCAAAGAAAGGTACTACATAGGTTTGAAGTTTAAAAATATTTAGTGTTAACTAAAGAAACCAAAAAAGTGTCCAACTTAGATTTTTAGTCTAAATTTAAATCTTTATTTCAAACTTATTTTCAAGTTTATGTTTGAGCAATTTCAAGTTTGTAAATTCAAGTTTAGTAAGTTTCAAGTTTACACTAATAAATTCAAGTTTGATCTTGAATTATTAATAAACTTGAGTTATTTTGAACTTATTCACTCAAGTTCACAAACTTGATTTTTATTTTTAATTAAAGATAGTATTTGTGGAATGACCAGTAAATGGCGACTGGCAACATGGAGAAGAGTACAAAACAATAATTTAGATGAAAATAATACAAATATAGCTAGATCGTTAATTGACCAACAATGGAAATTAACAAGTGCAATTTCTTTAAATATCCAACATGTACATAAAATTAATTTAAAAAATAAAAAATTTAAATAAAAATAAAAAGGTTATTGGAATGGCTTGGTCTAACAATTCAGCAGCTTTTGCATTAAACTCAGGCGACTCTGTCCAAATATTTTTATCCCAATGTATTGAATTTTTTGTGGATTCTAATGTAAAAAATCTTTTTTTATTTTTTAATAAAAATTTTTTAAAGTATGCAGTCATTCAAGTAAGCGCCCAATTGCTCAATCTAGTCAAGATTACGGATCCAATGGAAACACAAGAATTACAACTCCACTCAAATATTCGTGGATTTTTTGTTACAGAAAATTATTTAACTTTGTGGGATGATACAAAGGCAATTGAAAAGAGTTTTTAATTTTAAAATAAATTTATTAGATCCAACTAGACCAAATCCATTGTCCCAAAGATGCTCCAATTAAAATAGAAAATGTTGCCTCGTTTGAGGTAAACAATATTAACGAAGCAGCTTATTTTAATCAACATATTTATACACTTGCAAATGAGCAATTATTAGTAAGGACATTACAGGTAATTTTAGAGGAAGTGTTTTTAAATTGGATTTTGTCGATTATGCTGAGGCTAAGATAGAAACCTTTAAAATGAAAATAAAACTTGAATTTAAGTATAAACTTTAATTTTCGAGTTTAATTTATTTAACTTAAGTTTAATCTTAAAAATTTAAGTTCAGGCTTTTTAAGAACAAACTTGAATATTTAAATAAACTTACTCTCACAGGGTACAATTAAACGCTCAATTACCTTCCGCGAAATTGAAGGTAAACCCGAAATGATAAATGTCAAAGGATGTTGGTTTTGTGTTGCATCTTCTCTAGGCTATATCCGTATATACGATCTCAGTGAAAGGTTGGTAAATTAATTCGGAACAGATTATTTTTTAAATTTTCTAGTTCAATGAAATTAATTTTTCGTTCTTCTAATTTGCGAAATTCAATTCCGACATTTTTTAAATGGCAACAAATACGCATAAATTCTGCGGGGAATCGTGTCTGTTTCACATTGCGGAAGGTAAGGAAAATAAATCTAAGGAGAGAGAAGTAAACGTAAATTAATTTATTCAAGCTTAAGCTTGAATAAAAAATAAAGTTGAATTATTAATAAACTTGATTAATTTTTAAATAAATTCAAGTTTAAATTTAAATTAGCAAGTTTGTAAACTTGAATCAGTAAATATTATATTTATAAGGTTTAATCGGGCTTAATTAAAGGATGATGACGAACAAATATCTTCTGAACGTATTTATGTTTGGGAAGCAGAGAATGACTCTGTCGGATATTTTTCTTTTAATTCTGGAATTACTGACCAACAACAATATGAGCAAGACTCTGTTGCTGTAATGCCGAGCACTGCTAGGCCGAAAACTGCGGCGATTAGGTAATTAAATTCTAATTAATTTTTTAAATTTTGTTCAATTTAATCAATTTAAATAAGTGTTCTTTTAATTTTTTAAAGGAAAATTGAATTAGAACAATCACGCTTTCGTTTACCACTTCACGCGCCAGGCAACTTTTTTTGGGATCAAAATGATCCTCGCCTTTTGATATGTGAGGCAATTAGCATTGGCAATAATAACGATGGATTTATGGTGAATAATAGATTAAATGTTGGAATTTTAAGAGGATTTTTAATTTATTTTTAGCCAAATCCCTCCTATTTATTAACAATGTTTGTGACAGCAGAACATGGCATTCAAATGCATGATTTGCAGCAAAAATCGGCAAAAACAGATGCTTTAATTTTTGTGTCTGTTCCGTACATTTATTTCTTAAAAAATGTAAATTTAAACTTATATTTTAGTTGATATTCAAAAGAATTTTTAGATAGAGGCGGATGATGAAGACGAACCTGGAGGTATAGAATTAAGCATTTCTCGTCTTGTAATTCGCAGAACCCTTCGGGAATTTATTGGAATTGATGTTGGGGATAGAGAAGCAATACAAGCAATGCTTGATTTTAGTTTCTATTTGTGTATTGGGCAGATGGATAATGCTTTTAAGGCTATTAAATTCATCAAAAAGTGGGTTTAATAAATTAATTTATAGCTAAACTTTTTTTAATTTATTAAAGTTTAAGCTGTATATTAACCAAATAATGAAGGTTCAAGCTAAGCTAAAAAATAGGTTTAAGCATAATTTAAGTGTTGATATTTTTTCAGATTTATAAGTTAACCTCGTGTTGCAAAGTGTAATTTGGGGAGGGGGTAATTAATAGAGTATATCCTAAGTATACGGTATTTAGTATTCAAGTTTAATCTTAAGCTTTACTCGTTTCTAAAATTTTAATATTTTCAGTGAGAGCGTCTGGGAGCACATGGCAAGTCCTTTCACAAATTAACCCTTTTTTTAATAATTTAAAAATTATTTTTAATTAAAATTATAATTTTAGGCCAGAATGTGCGTAAAAACAAGACGTATAGATGTTGCTAAAGTTTGTCTTGGTCATATGGCAAATGCTAGAGCAGCCCGAGCAATAAGGCGAACTATAGAGTTAAAAGAGTTGCCCGAATTGCAAATTGCCAGATTGGCTGTAGAACTTGGAATGAATGTAAATTATACGAGAAAATTAATTTTTTAATCCAAAAAAATTCTAAAAAGGAAGAAGCTGTCCGACTTTTAGAAAAGGCAAATCGTTTTGACCTAGTCAATCAAGTTTACCAAGCACAGGGCAAATGGACAGAAGCATTTGCTGTAGTAGAGGAACATGATAGAATTAATTTGCGTCACACTCATTACAATTATGCTAAACAATTGGAAAGTGTTGGTGCTTTTGAAAAGGCTATTGAAAAGTAAAAAGAGATTGATTAAGAAAATTCTTAAGATTGATGAATTAAGAAAATTAAGCTTGAAAATAAGTTCGAACTTACAATTCATGTTTAATAAATATTAAAGTTCAAAGTTGGGATTTTAAGTTCAAATTTGAAAAACGTTTAAACAAAGTTTGAGCTTAATAATTAAATTAAATTCAAGTTTAAACTTGAACTGAAGAATGGTGATTAATTAAAATGTATATAAAACTTAATTTCAGTTACGAAAAAGCAAACACCCATTATTCTGATGTTCCTCGAATGCTTTGTGATGAGCCAAAAGTTTTAGAATTTTATACTAAAAAGAAGGCAGAACCAGAATTATATAAATGGTGGGCACAATTTGTAGAAAGTACTGGAGATATGGAAACAGCAAAAAGCTTTTATCAGAATGCGAAAGATTTTCTTTCTGTTGTTCGCATTCTTTGTCATAATGGACAGTTTGAGGAAGTGAGTTTGGAAAAGAATTTTTTGCTTGCAGTCGGGTTCATTATTGGATAATCCCAATCTAGATACTCCTATGTACTAGGTAGAAGGAGCAGTCCAAGCGATAATTTAACATACAACTCATTGAGAGATACAATTTTTAGTTGGTGATACCCGTATATATATATAGTGATACCCGTAAAATTTATAAAACTTATTTTTTTATTCCAGGCAACTCTATTAACCAATCAGTCAGGTGACAGAGCAGCAGCATTTCATTTAGCAATGCAATTCGAAACTCAGTCCGAGTCTGCCAAAGCTGTTCAATTTTTTACACAAGCAGGGGCATTTTCAAGTGCTATTCGTTTAGCAAAAGAAAATGGAATGGTGGACAAAATAGCTAATTTAGCTTTAATGGCTGGGGGTTCTGAATTGGCTGAGGCAGCTGAATATTACAAGAATTTAAATGGGCATGCTGATAAGACTGTTATGCTATATCATAAAGTGAGGAAACTTTAATTAATTAAATTTTGTATGAGAACATTACTAACACGAGAGCAGTCCAGATTACCTCCGAGCCATAACTAAACGTAAAGATGTCATACATAGTAAGTTGATTTTGGCGTTGAATGCGAAAAAAGTTATAGTAAATCTGACTTTTATAAGTCTAGTTATTAACCCTTAGGTAGACCTTTATATCGGGCTGTACACCCTTAACATAATCAGATTACATTAAAATTGTTAAACTATTGACTAAAATTTTTTATTGTTGAAGGCTGGAATGGTAGGGAGTGCGTTGGATTATGCCTGCAAGTAATTCCTTTTAGTTAAAAATATAAATTGAAAATAAAATTTTTAACAGAACCGGTCAATTTGGCGCCTTAGACCTTATTGCGCAAGAATTAAATGAAAAATCGGATCCATCCGTGCTAACCAGAGCAGCCCAGTTTTTTTCGTCTAATCAACAAGACCGAACAGCTGTTCAGCTTTTGGTTTTTGCTAAACGGGTCTGAGGAGATTTCTCAAACAAAAATTCTAATAAAAAATTATTTTAAGTATAACGAGGCTGTACAGCTGTGTTTAAGAAAGAATGTAATTATTACTGAGGAATTGGATAATTTACTTACCCCGAATAATTTGGGTTGTTGTTATTTAAGTAACACCTAATTAATTTCTGAAAAATTTTCAGAAAGTCTCTCAGCTAAAGAAAGGTCATCTCTTTTAGAGCAAATAGCAAAGTGTTGTTTACAACAAAGCAATTATCACTTTGCAGCAAAAAAATTTACTCAAGCTGGGAATAAATTAGAAGTAAATTTTTTATTTTTTTAACAAGAGTTTAAGCTTCTGAAAGTAACCTTGAACAGAGGCAATGTTAAATTATTTAGTCCAACTTAGTTAAACGACTTAATTATGTCAAATCTTAATAATACCCTCAGAATTATATCAATTAGATTAATTTTAAAAAGCGAAAGAAGGAAGCCAAAAGTAATATTTTTGGGCCAGAAATGGATCAAATAACCCCGTCATTAATTATCACAGGAACGGAAAGAAAATTATTTTGATGTTTTACCAACAATTATCGGACTGATTCAGATTTTACTCGTTTAAAAAAAAGGCAAAATATCTGCATGATTACGTTTCCTGCCTGTATTTAAATCCCAAGTATACATATATCAAGGATGTCACGAAATATCCGAGTACCGATACCCAAAATCCGAAATCCGGACCATCCTTCTTTAACTCTCTTCCTTTATATTTTTTCTATAAACTACAAATAATTTTAACAGGCAATGCGTGCTTTACTCAAATCTGGAGATACCCAAAAAGTTATCCTTTTTGCCAATACAGCTAGAGATAAAGACATTTACCGAATGGCTGGCAATTATTTACAAAATTTAAATTGGAAAGAGAATGCTCAATTAATGAGGCAAATTGAAGCATTTTATTTAAAAGCTGGGGCTGTTGATTTACTTGCTAATTTTTATGAAGCATGTGCTCAGGTGCTGGACATTAATCGCTTATAAAATAGCCAAAAGAGAACCTAGAATTATGAAAATTTGCACAAATATCTCTAATATTGTCAACTAGCTTCTCTTAAAATTTCAGAATTTTGGTTTTGTATTTCGGAAGTTATGGTCGAATTTTTGAGAAATTTCGATCATTTCTGGGTTTTCGCCTATAACTTTTGAAATACACAACCAAAAATTCTGAAATTTTAAAATAAGGTAAATAACAGTATTGGGGTTGTCTTTACAAAATTTAAAGGCCATAGCTTCCCGTTAGGCTATTTTATAAGTGACTGTATCCTTCCACAAGCTACCCCTTTTACCCTACTTTTGAAGGTAGAAATTGAAGAATATCACGATTACGAAAAAGCAGCAGCTGCCTATTCTGAAGCTATACGTTGTTTAAATAAAAAAATAGATAAGGGAAAAGTTGATGTTAAAAAACAGCAACAACAACAATTTTATTTAACAGAGAGACAAGAACAATTGAGAGAAACTTTGGAAATAATACAGCGATTTTTGGATATTAAAATGTTTTTTGAGGAAAAAATATTCTCTTTAAAAATTAATTTTTTTAAAGGTTATATGAAAAGGATCCAGGCGAATCTATGAGGCAATTGGGTGAATTTTCTGAACGTCCAGACATTGATTCGATTGTTCGGTTAGGTGATATTTATGCTATTCTGATTGGACATAATGTTAAAAGGAATAATTTTAGAAAGGTGAAATTTTAAGATTGATATTTATTTTAAAGAGGAAAATATAACGTTTTAAAGGTAAATTTGAAGGGAGAGGTATTGAACATTTTGTGGCACCGGCTCCGGGTATTTTAAAAGTTTGGTTCCGGAGCTAGTGATTTTCGAAGCCGCTACATGTCGGTTCTAGGGAAAAGAACAAAAGTCTTCAGCCGTTAAATCTAAATAAAGCTACAGGCGGCGTAATAGGAAAATTTTGAGAATTTTGGAAAAACAAGAAGTTGCTGAACTTTTTGATAAAAACCAGATTCATTTATGTTAGTATTTTATATACCCAAATAAATTATTTTCCAAAATTCCCTCGTTATTCTAAATTAATTTAAAGGCTTGGAGCTTAATTGAGCATTGCGAACAACGTTCACGTCCACGAATAGATGTTAGGAATTATTTAAATAAAAATACTTTGGATCAAATTTGTGATAATGTTGGAGTGCCTCGTTTAAAGAGTGCCAAGTCTATAAAGGAAGAGGAAGAAGAAAATGAAAAAGAAACTGCAGATACTGTTGAATTTAGTCATTCATTAAGAAGGCATATTGATGCGGGATCACCATAAATTTTATTTTTATGGAAAGTTTTATAAAATATTTATTTAAAAAATTTTCTGGCATTTTTCAATAAAATAAAATTCCTTCTAGAAAGGAATATAAATCTCGGAAATTCCTAAAAATGAATTTAAAATTATTCAGAGACAATAAATTAAATATTTAAATTTATGGGAAATTTAAATTCAGTTTAAAATAAATTTAAGGTTGCTGTAGGACCCCAAAAAATGAAAAAAAATTTTTTTTAGATCATACCGGTCATAGAAAAATTTATAAACCCAAAAGAAATATTCCTAAATAATTTTTAAAAAAATTGGGCTCAGCCGGTGATCGAAACCGGGACCTCTTGCACCCTAAGCAAGAATCATACCACTAGACCACTGAGCCGACGAGAGGAATTTCCTAAAAGCTTTATTTAAAGTAAGAAAATTATATTAATTTATTAATTTAAGAAAATTGGGACAATACTAAATAATTAAAAAAAAGTTATTTGGTTTAAGAAATAAACACGCACGAAAAAATAATATTAAAAATAATATAATGAATTAGGTAATTATGTATTTTATAGTATATATAGAGGGAATACTGTGTATTTTATTTAGGGGTTTTATTTTGAGGGAAAAGATTATTTTGAGGGAAGGGATGAGGATATAGGATCTTAAGGAACATTCAACAAGAAAAAGTAATTAGTGGGGGGTGATTAGTGAGGATATATCCTGAAGTTAATTTTTCAAGATTTATGGCCTTATTTGTAACAAAACTTTTTTTATTTCTTAGTTGAGTTGAATAATTTTTATATTGACAGAAAGCTTTTCCTCACAAGTTGATTTGCTCAGATTAGTATATGAAAAGCTCATATGAAAGCTAGAGCCATTCGAGTTACAAAAATCACGATTGCGCTCACTTATCAGACTGTAACTCACAGAAGATTAACTAATAAGATCAATCCTTTCAGGAATATCAATCTCAAATTCAGAGCTTTCGATCGATATAAAGATTATCCAAATCGGCCAAGAGATTAGTTAAGGTCCAAAATCTAGCCTAAATCCTCCCGTCCATTTCAAAAATAACCAGCATTAATTAATTTTAAATATTTTTTCGAATTTTTAGAGATTCTTTTTCAAGCTCTTCAATGTATTCTTTAACAAACGACTACCTCCTCCACCTTTCGATTTTTCTTTTTCAACTGGTCCACCCGAGGTTGTTGGTAGTTGTTGTTTAATTGTTTCTTCGTTTGTTGATTCTTTTCGTGGAGAAGATTTTTCTCCTTTATTTTTTGTTTTTAAGGCTTTTTTAGGTGATGAAGTTTCGTCTAAAAATTTAATAAAATAGAAAATTAACGAGTAAAGAACACGTCAATACTAGGGGTGACGGTTCCTGGAAAATCTTCGGATATCCGGAACCGAACCGAAAAATCATCGGTTCTTCGGTTCGGCCCAGAACCGACAACCCTAGTCAATACAAATCCTAATAGAAGCATTGGACGTTTAATTCCAATAAATATCGTTGTATGGGCTTTTAATAGGGATGGGCTTAAATAAGGGATGAACTTCTATTAAAATTTTCTGTATATTGGGAAGACTTGGAAAAATTCTATTCTCGGAAATCTGATTAAAACCTTAAAGGTGACTAAGTTCTCCGAACATCATTAACAATCTCAGAAACTCTTCAGCTCCCCTCCAAACAACAACATTTATATTTTACCTTTATTAGAATCACGAGTAGCTGCAGACGCAGCAGCATTCTTAGCTTCCCTTTCACGGCTTTCTAATTGAGTCAATTCATTTCGAATGTGTAAAAGTTGGGCTAATAATTCGTTTAATTGTTGTTGTTTTTTAGGTTCTGTTTTAAAATTTTTTTAATTAATATGTCCAATATTTAAATTTATTTACCAGTTAATAAAACATTTTCCAATTGAATATCCAATTGAGAATGTGTTAGACGTAAATAAACGTCCATATACCTTTTAAAAATTAATTTTTATTTGAAAAATTGAGTAGTTTGTTGAATAAAAATTCGAAACAAAAAAGATTTTTCAAAGTTTCCTTTTTTTGTTTTGAGTTGGTGGAACAGACTCTCCCTCCCAACAGGACACGGCAGCCGGAAAAGCTTGAAAAAGAATCTCTAAAAATTGCACAGACTATGCATTTGAAACGGACTCTCTTTCTCTCTGAAACGGAAATGTTGTAGAGATGGAGAAGTGTAGAAATTAAAGGGAATTTTATGTATTTTGTTTGGTTCCGTGACTTTTGCGCCGAGAACATTTGCGCCGCGACTTATGCGCCGCGACTTTTGCGCCGCGACTTATGCGCCGAGCGACTTTTGCGCCGGGGGACTTTTGCGCCGCGACTTTTGCGCCGGGCGACTTTTGCGCCGCCACTATCATTAAAAATATATCAATAACTACAGCCGGACCTCACTTTAGTAGGGTTTTCGAATAGTTGGAAATCTTCGGATCTGATATCCGAACTGAAAATTTCGGATATCCGGCATTTTTCGGATCCGGATTTTCTAAACAATTGCGGCGCAAATGTCGCGGCGCATAAGTCGCCCGGCGCAAAAGTCGCGGCGCAAGAGTCGCGGCGCAAAAGTCGCCCGGCGCAAAAGTCGCGGCGCATAAGTCGCGGCGCAAATGTTCTCGGCGCAAAAGTCATGATACCTTTTGTTTACACATCATCTAATATTTTTAATTGAATAACCGCCAGTTATATATTACCCCAAAAATTATTAGCCATTGTGAACCACCGGCTGCCGTCTCCTGTTAGGAAGGAGAGAGTCACACTCTCTCTGAGATCTCTCCCATTTCGTGAGGGGAGGGAATGCAGGGTCAATCCCTCTTCCTGCTCATGCATGTAAATTATGATTTAAACAGAGTATCCACTTTGTTTAAAGATGACTGATTTACATTGTCTCCCCTAGCAGTTGTATTCGGAAGGAGGGCCTGGTTTTCTCTTTATGAGGGTTCGCTAATTTTTTTATTTTTCTAAAAGTCAAGTTCATCATCAACTACCAGACAGATTATTTTGCCACCCAACATCCCCCGATGTTGGAGCAACTTTTTCCATGGTAAATAACCCTTCACTATGTCTCGGGAAGAGTTGCGAGTCAACCCAAAATTTCCCGAGTTGAAAAAGGAAAATTTCGTTTGGAAATGACCCTAGGCTATAAATATCTTTGATTTGAATATTAAGAAAAGTAAGAATTGAAATTGAAAAATGGAAAGTATTGCAGATTTTGGATATTCAGACATTTTGACTAATTATTTAAACAACCAACTTTTGGAAATTTAGAAAAAGCCGAATTATGTATAAAAAAATTTGAAAGGCTTAATTTATTATTCACCTTCTAACCAAAATAGCCTCCATTGCCAAAGCAGCACATCTTTGCTCGACAATTTTGGCATATTCACTAGCCAACCTTTTTCCACTTTTTCTCCAGATTTGGCAATCCTCTTTATTTAATTCTCTAATAATTTGCCCTTCCAATCTTTCCCCAGTAATTTCTAAATGATCAAGTTGTGCATGTAACCTCCTCAATTTTGTGTCTAATTCGTGCAAAAGTGAATGATCTGAAGACGAAGATTTTTCGTCCTCCTTTAAATTTAAAAATTATTTCTCCTTTATTTTTGGCTTTAATAAATCTTACAATTTTATCAGAAAAATGCTTAACTTCAACACAAGTTCTATATGGCATCGGTCCAAGAGGGGGAATGTACTAGAAAAAACACAAAAAATTATTTAAGACATTAAACATCAAAACAAACAAAAAAGCTCTATCTTATCCCTCTTTTTGGGTATCCCGACCCTTAGTAATGTTTGGGTATCCCACCCCAACTCACGTTTCCCGGAGTTTTTTCTTCTCCCGAGAATCACTAATGAGCATCCACAACTCAGGATATCTGGGAAACTGAGACAGATGGTATTGTATAATGGAAGGAAGCATGAGACCATACTGGGATAAGTTGGGGATATCTTTATAGTTGAGGGGATAGGATAAAGCTTTGATGTCTAGAGGGAAGATAAGATGGAGATTCTTTAATAACCACCCACCTGAAAACATTTTGGTTTCTCGAATAAATTGTTTGGCGATTTTTGAGGAATATTCTGATTATTATTTGATTGGAATGCACAACTTGTAGAAGAAATAATTTCACTTGTAGGGCGATTTTGAGGTGTAAAAGAAGGTGGAAGGGGAGGTGGGGGAGGTGAATGAATATTTTGTTGCTGTTGGCGTTGTTTAACTTTTGGAGGGCACTTTTCTTCTTCCCCCTCAGTTTTATCATCGCTTTTATCGAAAGGATTAGTAGGTGATTGAAGATTTTCTTCTTGTTCTTTGACTTCTTCAATTTTGGGCAAAGGTGAACTAAAAATTAAAAATAAAGGTTGAGGTAGGAAATAGGTATATTGTAATAGACTCTCGTTATAATCCCGTTCTGAAAGACTTAATGTTGGATTTGTATACGTGTAGGTTTTAGTTATTTCGTTTTTGTATTGGGAGCCATGTTGTTTAAGCAACGGGCCGAGATTCTTGTTTCTTCAGAGAAATTTTCTCAACATCAATCTATCCCCTAGTAAAACTATAGTCGAGAGTCCTCACTCCACTAATAAAACTCTCACCAAGATAAAGATTCATTCATTTCCTCATCTTCCTTTAAATCCTCTTCTTCATCAGTATCATCAAATGGATTAATAACAGAAACTGGCCTTTTCTCTGTCTCTTTACCATTTTTATCACAATTTTCCTTTTGAGATTCCTTGGACTCCTTAAGAGAATTGTCTTCTTCTTTTTCTTCGTCTGCTTCATCCTCTTCATCATCATCAGAACCAAAAGGATTTAATTCTGAAGGGTATTCCAATATCTAGATTTTGGTTGGAATTTAGAAATTGTTAAGGAAATTTTAAGAAATTCTCGTAAATTAAAAAAAAAAGATTCACTATACAATTCATAACTTTATTATAAGAATACCCACTCATTTGTCAGAGCTGAAAAAATCGTGGGTTGTGCCCTGCCAGGCAGACCTAGTTTTCCACGAAATTTCAAAAAAATGCTTAGTATTTTAATGTATGTATAATTCTGAAAAGTAAATTGTGTTCCCAGATTAAATTCACATTATCCCACATATTTTATTTTTCGATATTAATGGATTATTAATGGATCACATCCCAACTTTTAATATATATTTTTCAAGTTTCGCGTATTTCAAAATTTTCCAATACCCATTCTTTACATATTCCCCTATCTCTTAAGGCTAACTGAGGAATAGTTTTCTTTTTAAGTTTATATTTTAACCTCCCAAGTCTTTTCCCCATTTTTTTGTTGTTGTTGTTTATTACAAGCTTGTTGCAACGATACACGAGGTTTGGGAATTGGGGCATCATGACACGCAGCCGCAGCTAAAGCAATTTTGCTTTCAATGCTTTCTTCTTCCTCTTTTGAAGTAGAAGAATCCTTCAAAAAAATTTTCTTTGAGAAAAATTAAAAATTTTTTCCAAAAACCTTCAAATCTTTTTCTTCTGATATGTTTGATTTTGTATGTTTTTTGACTGCATCGATGCTTGGTAGACGTGGAGGTGGAGGGCGGGGAGGAGGCGAAGACAAAGAAAGTAGTGATGAGGCTCTTTTATTTAACATATTTTCTGATCCAATAAATGATAAACGTGAAGAAGTGATTGGAGGAGGTAAGGGTGGTGGTAATGCTAGTCTGTGCTGAAAAAAATTTGTTAGAATCATTAAAAAGGCACAAGTTCACGGGACTGAACACACTCAAGCCTCAAAAATATTTGATAAAGTTTTCAATTAGGGACCGAACCTGGAGTCGTCATACGAGATAAAACGATTTTTGTTCGAGATCTCGTTTCGATCCTACATAAATTTTTAATGTCTAATAAAAATTTTATCTGTTATCCTTTTAATTCAGGAAATATTTAATTTGACTGAATTTCTCTATCTTGCTTAAATGTCTCTATTAAAATATTTTTTTCAAAAAAATACTTTAGGGTCCCCAAACAAAATAGTATTAGCTCCATGTTCCACACATTCCATACGTATTGAGGCATCGGAAAAATGAAGTAAATAGAAAGCACCTTTTTAATTTAAATTAATTTAAATAATTTTCAAATTTTTAAAACCCCTATAAAGTTGTCGACCACACAAAGAGCATTTTAAACATGCTCTATGCCATATACGTCCAATTAGTGTTACTCTTAAATAAATTATTAAGTTTTTTAAAATAATGTTATAAAAATATTTTTATTTTAAAGAGTCACAGAAAGATTGAGGATCGGAATAATTTAACAGTTCGTTAGGTATTTATTATAGTAGAAGACCGAACCCTTAGAAATTATATTTTCCAGATTAAAGTAAAATTAAATCCATTGTTCATATCCCCTGAATATTATTACTAAAATTAGTAATAATTTTTAACGAGGAGAACGTTCTAATTTTGAATTAAAATTTTCAAAGTTATAAATATGTATTTTTTAAATTTTTCTACAAAAATTTCTTCATTTTTCAATATTTAAGTATTTAAATTAAAATTTATTTTAATTAAAATTTAGTCAATTTATCAACCTTTCAATTAGGTGAACAATATTACCACAAGTATTACATTCCCTTTTACTTCCATCCAAATCCATATTAAAATAAATACGAAAAGTAAATTGAAAATCATGTATAGGCTCTTAAATAATTTTTAATTTTCAATTTTTCAAAAAAAACCCCAACTAGTATCAACATGTTCAACAGCATATCTCAAAGCACAAAATGAAACAAAGAGTGCTAACTGATCTTCAGCCAAACTTTTTTTCATGTCTGCAATCACAGTAAATTGAGGAACTCCTAACACTTTTTCTGCAAGTTCTAGGGCCTTAAATGCAAAAAATCTTTTTTCCTTAAATAGAATTTACACTAAATTATAATAATTAAGTTTCCATAAAAATCAAGGAACACCAATTTTTAAAAAATTAAAAAGTTAATCTTCACGTTACTTTTGCGAACTACTTTTTAATGGATCGTTAATTAGGCTTATAAAAAAGCATACTTAAGTTTGCAAACTTAAGTTTTATTAAAATTAATTAAGGTTTATAAACTTGCTAAGAAACTTGCTTAAACCGGACTTTTCCAACAAAATTATTATTTGAGAAATTACTGTTTTAAAGTCAATGTCAGAAAGTTTTTTTATTTTTAAAAATTTCAAAAGTATTTCAATCCCACATTTTTAATAGTTCTAATTCTTTTAACAAAATATTATTTAATTTATCTGTCACATTTCCAGACAATATAAACCCCCAATACATTATTCCCCTTCTCAACCAACTCAACATCAAATAATCGGTAATTCTTCGGTTTTCGCCCCCCCTCCTTTTTCGTTCATCAAAGTATTAAAAAATGGTCAGTCAATATTAAGTTATACAACTCGTCGAGCTGTGTCGAATGACACCAAAATCAACAAAATCCGACTTGATTGGACCGAAATACAGACCCTGAAAATTGAAAAACCATAGGGGTGATTTTTTGAAATAAAAAAAAATTAAGCAAATGATAGCTCATTCGAAAGAGCTCGTCGAGCTGAGTCGAATGACACCAGAATCGGATTGATTAGACAAGATTTGACAAAGTTATGACATAAGTTGCCGACTTCGATAGGTATAATTAATGTCATAACTTTGTCAAATCTTGTCCAATCACTTCGATTTTAATGTCATTCGACTCAGCTCGACGAGCTCTTTCGAATGATGTATCATTTGTATGAATTTTCGTCCACATGATTTTTCGCCCCTATGGTTTTTCAATTTTCAGGGTCTGTATTTCGGTCCAATCAAGTCGGATTTTGTTGATTTGGTGTCATTCGACACAGCTCGACGAGTTGTATAACTTAATATTGACTGACCATTTTTTAATACTTTGATGAACGAAAAAGGAGGGGGGGCGAAAACCGAAGAATTACCAAATAATCAGATACCTCTTGAAACGGCAGTTGAGTGCCCGGATATACCGTTGACGGACTTCTCAATAATTTTTGATGGTCCTCCTCTTCCTCCTGACGTGAAGTAGATTCTGATTCTTCCCTTTCATTAATCTCTTCATCCTCCTGATTTTCATTATTTTTTATTGCTTCTTTTCGTTTTTTCTCTTCTTCAGCATTAATCCTTTAATTTTTTTAATTCTCAAAATATTCCATTTTTCCAAAATTAAAACCTAAGTTCCAACGTAGAATGTAACAATCTCGTTAATAAATTTAATAAGGTTGCCCAATCGGCTGGATCAGAAGCCCAAGGGGTTTGGTTAAGTCCACAAGCCTCTAGCCACTGACTTAACTCTTTTGTGCTGCGCATTTAGAAATAAATTAAATATTTTTTTAATTTTTTGGCATAAGAGGGGTTAATTTAATTTAAATTAATTTTTATTTATTTTTATTGGAATAAGGCCATAATTGAAGGAAGTAATTAATTTTTGTTTGTTGTTTCTTTTTTAAAAAAATTATACTAAAAAATATTCTTTTTAATTCCCATAAATATTAATTTAAAAATAGAATGCAAAATGATTAATCGTATGATTAATCACACAAAATTTGATCAATTTGAACAATCAAAAAATGATCGAAATAATTATTATTTTAATTAGAAATGTCAACTTATGTAGAGAAAAATAATAAAGGAAAAAAATAAGAAATTGAGCCAAAATTAATAAAAGAATAATTTTTAGAAGTTGTTAGTTTTGTTAAAATTTATAATAATAATTTTTTAATCAAACAAAAAAAATTTTTCCTAACAGTAGGATCGAACTTTAAACATTTAAAGATTCAAAAACAGCGAAACACAACACTTTCCAACTTAACCACAGCCAACCTCCACATGATTAAATTCACAAGGTTTGTAAACTTAAGTTTTCCTTCAAGTTTATTTTTTTAACAATTTAATAAACTTAAGTTTTAAACTTAAAAGTTTACAAACTTAAGTTTTATGCTCTATTTATTATTTTTGTATTAGTCATGAATGAATTACCCTTAAGTAGGGGCTATCCAAGTTTTAGTTAAATTGCTCAAAAAATACTCTTCTGTTATAAGCATGCGAAAATTGGTTCCAAATGGTTTTAAGAAAAATCAATTTAAGTAAAAATAAAAAAAATGCAGAAAAAATCTTCAATGAGTGTAAGAGGAAATGCAAACAACCAAAAAACTAAAAGGCAATGGATGCAATTGAATATTATATTTTCTACTAACTACTAAAAAAAGTGAAAAACAGCCAACAAATATGAGGGAGCAAGTTAGAAAAAAAAAATAATAATTCTATATAACAAAATAATATATTAGAGGCCCCCATGTGCTCTGATTGACAAATTGTCAATAATAAAATAATTATTATTATTGCTTTGTTAGTTGTTGTCTATCGTTTAAAGAACTGGATATGTTGAATTATTATTTGTTAAATATTTATTTTGTTATCGTTCTCTTTAGAATCAAAAAAAAATGAACTAAATACATATTTATTTTTATAAAAGATTACCAAAATTAATCTGTTTACTTGGAGTATTAAATTACTTAAATTAAAAATAAAATAAAAAAATAAGATTATAGCAAATACTCAAGTTTGCAAACTTAAGTTTATTTTAAGTTGTAAACTTAAATTTAAATAAGTATAAACTTAAGTTTAAACTTGAGTTTAATTTATTAGAAAGTACTTAATTAATTTAATTTCTCTAATAATTATTTTATTAAAGGGTTGCCTAGCAAATTTAGATTTTTGATAGTTTTGTCCAAATTAAATTTTGTTTTAATTTTTATAATTTTATTTAAATCCTTAAATATTCGAACATTTAGTATAAAAAAGATTGTTTAAATATTCAAATTTTTTGGAGTTTTTCAGATTTTTTTTTATTTTTTCCTCTCCAGGATTTTTATTTTTACGAATATTTTTTAAAAATAAAAATTAAAGTCCCCCCAACAATTTTCTAGTTTAACCACACAAAAGACTAAAAATCATTCGATATTTGCACCAAAAACTATTCGAGAATACAAACAAAAAAAAACTCTCGTGGTTATTTTTACATGGATGAGTAAAAATAAAAATAAATATATATTCTTATATATAATCGTCTAATCCTTAATATTTGCAAAAAAAGCAAAGCAAGCACGACTACTCTTTTGCATAAAAATATATTTTTTTTCTCTAAAAATAAAAAAAAATATTTTTATTTTTAGCTAGCAGGGATGGAAATTATACTTCAAAAATCCTTTCATATTTTTATCAACAAAAAAAAATAAAATTGGTAGATCCAAATAAATAAAACCAAAAATAGACTTTAGAGCCCTGCTAGAAAGGTTTGATAGGCATTTTTAGATTAAATATCAAAAAATAAAATCGAGACGGGCTCTAAAAAAAAGAAAATATTCATAAATTAAAACATTTATGTTTTGAGATAATCATTATTGAAAAAAAAATTGTGTACCTCATTGTAAAGTTAAAATATCAGAAGTAGCACGTTGAACACGTTCAAGTAATGCATCTAAAATAATATTTTTAAATAAAAATTCACACCCCTTATTCACCCGTTTTTTTGATTAAGGGAGTTCAAGAAGAACTGTGTTTTCTGATTGGGAGGTTAAAAAATTACTATGGAGGTGGGATGGCTGAAATTTGCGGATCCTCATTTGCACCCGACATTTGCGGATTCAATACATTATTTTAAAATCTTCTACAAAGTTAATAAAAAAATAATAAAATTTTATTGACTTAAAGTTCTATTTATAAAAAAAATTATTCGAATAATAATTAAAAAATATAGTAAATTTTTGTCTGCAAATGTCAGTCCGAAAATACAAAACCGCAAATGCCTTTTATTACCGCCAGATAAAAGTTTAAAACAAAAAAATAATTTAAAAGAAAATACCAGAATGTTTATCCACCCAAATAAGACTCTCCAATTGTGAACGCAAAATCTGACGGATTTGATCAACCGAAGTTAAACGATTTTCAAGTTCCTCTGCCTTTTCTTGGTCATCCTCTGCAATAGTTGATGAAGAAAGACCGGCAATACGTTTAAGATCCGAAATCTAAATTTAAAAAATCTGAATAAAAGAAAGAAAATTTTAAAAATAAACTTGTCCACAAAGATTTCCAACTTCGTCGTCTAAAAGCTTCAATTGTGCATTAATATTAATTTGTAACTGCAAACTATAAAATTTGAAATTATCAGAGTAATGTTTAATGAAAAAAATACATGTTTTTTCGTTGAACATCCGCTGGTGTCGCACTATCAGAATTAGCAAAAAGCTAAAAAAATAAATTAAAAGGAAAAAAAGGTTGTATTATTGTTCGCCTATCTTTCCGTTTTATATATTCTTGTTTGGGTTTGACAATTCTGGTTTTGAGAAATAAGGGTCTGGAGATACCCGCTTACTTATTAGCACAATTTCTGGTCAGTTATTGATCAATTTTAAAACCAGGCAATCCAAGATGGTACTAATAAACTAAAACCCCACAGACCCATTTTACGTAGGTTTCGAATGCTGCCAACTCCAAAAAATAACCACTAACATAAAACCAAATGTAATAAATAAAGGAACTATTGCCAAAAAAATAGAAAAAACCTGTGATCCCCCAATAATTGTAGAATCTTGCTGCGTCGGCAAATTAAATTGACTTTCGAATGATTTAACAACTTGCTCTAGCTCTTCTTGCTGTTGACCGAGAATGTCAATTTCCCAACAAAATCTATCCTTTTCTTGTTCTAGCTCGTCAACATCCTTTTTTACATCGATTAACTAAAAAAATTAAAAGAATTTAACTTTTGCAGGCCCATGTGCCGAAAATTCCTCCAAAAAATTTTTGGGCGCATAAAAATAAAATTTAGTTTCCGGAGGCATCAAAAATTGGGCAAATAAACAAAAAATTATTTTAACAACCTTGTCTTGAGCTTTACGCAAAACGACATCAAAAGTATTCAAATCATCAACTTCGTCAAGGAATTGCTTCTCCTGTTGTTCAAAATCCATTCGCATACGTAAAAGAGTTGTTGAAAGATCACGGAAATTGGGCACTTTGGGCTGCTGAACAGGCCCAACCGTAGAAGGCATGGTTGTAGTAGTCACAGAAGTACCTAAAGAGTGATAAAAATAAGACAACCAGACTTGTACAACTTAAAAACTAGATACACAAAAAAAAGAAAAAAATTCAGAGTGGGACGACCTAACAGTAAACTAGCCTCGGCAGTAAATCGTTGGGAGGGTGGATTTATTTAAAAAAATGTTCGGTACTTTTCCGTTCTGCCACACCCCCCTAAATTAATGTTCAAAATGTCATATATGGAGTAAATAAAGGTGCTGAATCGAACAGTACCACTCTTTTTCCCCGGAGATGCCTCTGGACCAAAATATTGTGCTCGAAATGGTCAAAAACCATAGGGGGAGTAAGCTCAATTTTGAAATAAAAAATTTAAATATTTAAATAATACCTCATTCGAAAAAGCTCATGGAGCTGAGTCGAAAAACACAAAATTAACAAAATCTGATTTGATTTGACCGAGATACAGGTCTCTGAAAATTGAAGAACCACACACATTTTTGTATCGTAACTTGGTTTAAACTTGTTAGACCGCGGTGATTTTGGTGTCTTTCGACTCAGCTCCATGAGCTCTTTCGAATGGGATATTATTTGCATATTCGAATTTCTTATCACAAAATTGAACTTACTCCCCCTATGGTTTTTGACCATTTCGAGCACAATATTTTGGTCCAAAGGCATCTCCGGGGAAAAAGAGTTGTACTGTTCGATTCAGCACCTTTTTTTACCCCATATATGACATTTTAAACATTAATTTAGGGGGGTGTGGCAGAACGGAAAAGTACCAAATGTTCTTAGGTGCCTAATGTTTCTAAACTATCTTTAAGTAAATTTAAAGAAATACCAAATAATGGAGCAGAAGTTGTGGTTGATGGCAATGAAGTTGTACCACCAAATAAAGAAGTTGTCAACGTGGCCGTAGTCGCAGGTGCCGAAGAAAAAGTTAACGGCATGGAAGTTGTCGTTGGTGCACCTCCAAATAAAGTAGTTGTCATTGGGGCCGCCGAAAACAGAGAGGCCGTAGTCGCAGGAACTGAAGGTAAAGACAATGAAACGGAGGCTGTCGTTGGTGTACCAAAAAGAGTTGAAGTTGTTATTGGAGCCGACGACATTGTAGGAAACAAAGAAGCCGTAGTAGCAGGTGCCGAAAATAATGGCGCGGAAGTTGTCGGTGGTATACCGCCAAAAAGATTGGAAGTTGTCGTTGGGGCCGTTGACGTTGTAGGAAACAAAGAGGCCGTAGTCGAAGGCGCCGAAAATAGTGGCACGGTAGTTGTCGTTGGTGCACCTCCAAATAATGTAGAAGTTGTTAATGGGGCCGCTGAAAACAAAGATGCCGTAGTTGCATGCGCTTTATTTGGTGCCCCACCAAATAAAGTAGAAGTTGTCAATGGAACTGTTGGCGTAGAAAACAAAGAGGCCGTAGTCCCCGGTGCCAAAGAAAAAGACAATGACCCGGAAGTTGTCGTTGGTGCACCGCCAAAAAGATTGGAAGCTGTCAATGGGGCCGCTGAAAAAAAGATGGATAATACGGTTTATACCTCCTATTTTCCTGTTTCACTTTGCAACTTTGTATTTTATGGCAATATGGCAAATTATATATCGTTCGAAAGAAGCTTCGAGCTAATGTGAGTCCCTTGCAGCAACAGTTTTTCCAGCGTGGATCTAGCTCCATAATTTTGCTTAGAATCAAGAAATCTAACCTATCTTGCTATTAGTCGGCCCAGCTCGAAGATCTCTTTCGAATGACATAAAAAATTATAGGTCAAACAAAAAAGCTCAAAATGGTCAGGGAAAATAGGGGGTCTAAACCAAAGTATTACTCAAGATATTACCCGAAGATGTAATTGGTGCACTACCAAATAAAGTAGAAGCTGACGGCGGGGCCGCTGACGCTGTAGAAAACAAAGAAGCCGTAGTCGCTGGTGCCGAAAATAGTGGCACGGTAGTTGTCGTTGATGCACCGCCAAATAAAGTAGAAGCTGTTAATGGGGCCGCTGAAAACAAAGAGGCCGTAGTCGCCGGTGCCTTATTTGTTGCACCACCAAATAAAGTAGAAGCTGTCGATGGTGCAGCTGATGTTGTATTAAACATAAAAGCCGATGTCGCTGGTGCCGACGAGAATAAATTAGAAGTTGTTAATGGGGCTGCTGACGTTGTTGAAAATAAAGAAGCTGTAGTCGCCGGTGCCGAAGGAAATCCAAACATTTTTATATTATAAATACTAAAATTAAACTTTAAAAAATTGTAACGAACCCATAAATCATCTTCGAAATAAAAAAATCCTCACATTGAGGGCTTTCGAAAGATAAAAGATTTATTCTAATTGGTTAAAAAACCAGAAAGTTATAGCCCAAAATATGGCACTGGGACTCAATGATCCTGTTCCGTTCTCAACGCTTCTGGTCAGTTGATAGCCGCCGTTGAGTGTCTATCCTAAATGACCGATTGAGTGCCAGAATTAAGAAATTAATTACGATGCCGTGGTACGGGAAGTTTTAGGAGCGGTTCTGGACATGATTACAGGTTTTTAAGTTACCATGATTAAGGTTTTTGAAATTACTGTCTATTTAATGTAAAAATAAATAACAAAATAAATAAATAATAAAGTGCAATTGCTAAAACATTTATTGTGAAATTCTTTTTAAAAATTTTGTTTTTGTCGGCATCTTACTTGCCCTTTTAATTTATTTTCCGGCAATAGATTTCATAAGATTTTGAGGAGTAAAGTGTATATTTTGCTTATCACGTGAATATCAATATTGAGGGATCGGGAGTGAATAAATAGCCGCTTCCTTTACCCTTTAATTCATTCCTCTTCTCGTCTCTTTTATTCATTAAAAAATATTTTTCAGAATGTCTCGCTCAAAGCAAAACCGCGGAAATCGCACAATCCTTTCTCCCTTTTTGCTTCTTCTTGTGCTCGGATTTCTTTTTACTGTCGAGAAAGTGATGGCTATGGAAGGTGTGGATAATGCTCCAACCGGAGAGGGAGCTGTTGAGAGTCCTAAAAAAGAAGGAAATGGTTCGTCTAGTGCTGGCCATTCTGTAATTATGGATGTGCCAATTGAAGGTGGTGAGGAGGAAGATGTGAAAGATGTGCCTATTGAAGGCGAAGAGGAGAAAGTGCTTTCTCGCTCTCCAAGTAGTTCCTCTTCATCTTCGAAATCTTCATCTAATGGATCATCCAAAAAAGAAATGCCCGAACCCAGCGATGTTCAAGTGGAGGAGGATGTTTTGGATACAGGTGAGAATTATATAGAAATCTTGACAAATTCTGTTTAATTTTTTTTGAATGGGGATTAAGAAATCGACTATTAAATAACAAAATCATTTTTTAAATTTTAAAAATATTTTATCATTTTTAGAAGAGCCTTCTAATATTACTGAAGCTGAGAATGAATATGATATGGTAGAACATGAGCAAGAAAAAAGAAGTGAAGAATTTGGGGGAGATGATGTTGAGGAACACCCTTCATCGCCAAAACAATCATCTCCAAAAGCAACCTCTCCTCATTCGAGTCCAAGTAAATCACCGAGAAAGATGGAAGATTTAGAGGAACAATACATCGAGGAACACCAATCATCTCCAAAAGCAAATTACGACTCGGAAGGTTCTGATGAGGAATTACCACAACAATCCTCGCCAAAAGCAACCTCCCCACATTCAAGTTTTAAAAAATTTCAAAAAGAGATCGGCGAAGTATTTAGTTTGGATGAGGATTTGCCACAACAATCGTCACCAAAAACAACTTCTCCACATCCGAGTCCAAAAAGCTCACCAGAAAAGTTTGACGACTCGGAAAGTTCAGAAGATTTACAAGTAAGTTATGGAGAGTATCTTCCTTCTGATGAGGAATTGATGGCAAGGAACAATAAAGGAAAACAAATTGAAAAGTCACCAAGTGTTTCGTCAACAAAAACCGAAAAAAACTCTGACAATGAGTTTGAAGAACCAGAGAGTCCTCAATTTACCCCTCCTCGACTTAGCTCGTCAGAACTTAAAAAAGAACTTGAAAAAAGTGAGATTTTTATTAAATTTTTATATAGCAAGATAATTAAATTCTCTAGACTATGGTTTGGTAGTTCCAAAGTGGAAACATCTAGATGAAGGGGATGATGGTCTTAAAAGTAAAGGAATGAAAAAGGCAAAGAGTTTGCCCGAATTATCTCAAAAATCTGAAGATTTTTCACCTCTAAAATCTGAAAAATTGTCAGCAAGTTTTTCCCATGATATTCGTGAGAATAAAGGTATAGTGGTATATTTTTGAATTGGTATGCTTTCTCACCTGCAAAAAGATGGGAGATGGAATGGAACCAGCGGTAAAAAGCCCAATCCAAAACATAATTGGTACTATGCAACATTCTGGTCAGGACGAAACTCCATTACGAATTTTAGGATTTCGGAACAGTCGGATCCGTATTACAACAAAACACGATACATACCTATAGGCTTAAGGAGAAGGCCTTCTAAAAAGTTAAAATAGTTGTTTGTATGGCCTTATAAGGAGCGTGAACTATTTTTTTTTATAATTTATTTTTCTAGCCTATTCTCCCAAACATTCCGTTGTAACTGAGAAAATTCCCTCTCCTCCTCACGTTGCACATCATCAACAAATGAGTGGAGGTGACGAAATTACGGAAGCAAAAATATCTGAAATTGAAGAGAAGCCTAAGAATGATGGAGGAGAAAAGACACCTGAAAAACTACATACTCCACCTTCTTCTCCTCTTACTCCGCATTCTTCTCCTCTTCCTTCACATCCCACTCCAGTATGTAAACAGGAAATTTTTCTTTTACCTAATTAAATTTCTATTCAAATTTTTCCCTCACCTTCAGATACCCTTTAGGGCTGAAGAAATCGTACCTTAAGATTCCTTAAATTGGTTAAAAGATTCCTTAAATTTATTTGGGAAGAAAAATGAAGATCCGTGACATCCCTAATGGGGGTATAGGCTAGACAGCTACTCCACCCAGTGGAAGTTTAAAAAAATTCGTATCTTAAATCGAGGTATACTCGTGGAAAGGTTTTCTGGGTTTAAAAATTTTCTTCAACAAGGGTTCTGATCCGAGCTTCGAGTAGTCCGTGACATCCCTAACACCCCTAATGGGGGTTCCTTATAGTAAGGTTCAACTGTAAAAACTTTATTTATATTATTTTAAAAGATGAAGGACAATCATCAAATGGTGCGTAAACCCAGCATTAAGGATCATTTTAATAACTTCGGTCGTAAATTGTCGGAAACTGTGGCGAATCATCCAATTTTCGCACCGGTTAGATGGATTGGTGGAAGATTGAATGCTTTAAAAAGTATTTAATTTCTAGTTTCATTAATTTTTTATCCAATTTAAGACTTATTTGGGAAGAAAAAGGAAGATTTAAAAGCTAAGAAAGCCCTTACAATGAAACCTATTGGAGGAGAAGAACATCATCAAAAGGATCATCCGAAAGATAAAGGACCTAAACATGAGGAACAACATGGAAAGGATCACGGAAGCCCCAAAAAAGGACATGAAAGCCCTAAAAAGGAACATGGAAGCTCCAAAAAAGGACACGAAAGCCCCAAAAAGGAACATGTAAAAGACCACGGAAGCCCCAAAAAGGAACCTGGAAGTCCTAAAAAGGTAGAGGAACATCATAAAGGGGAAGCAAGTGGCCATCCTCATCAAAAAGAAGGAAAACCGGAAAAGATTGGTCATTGAATTGGAGGAAAAATGATAGTAAATAAATAGAAGAAAATGAAAAAAAAAGTTTAAAATCAGAAAAGTAAACTAAAATTGGGAAAGAAAATATATAATTGTTTTAAATTAAAATTATTTTTTTAAATTTAGTCCGTTTAACACACTCCCTGGTATTTTAAACTTGTAGTTGTGCTTGTAGTTTAAAATTTTTTTTGGGTTTTCTGGCGTTTTGTGTATTTTTTTAAAATTCCGTACTGTACTACAGATTGGAATAGCGATACCCAAAAGGACCGACGGTCCCATCCCTAATACTGACACTAGAAATAACGAGAATCATATTACAATAAGGAGCTTTTCCTCTGTCCTTTGTGTTTGTTATATTTCATTTTAATTGAGATAATTAGTTTATAAATTAAATTAAAATTATTCAAATAAATATTAAAATAATTCTGAATATTATAATTAAATATCCAAAAGGGTCAATACCAGAAATTCCTCTTCCTCATTTTCCTCTAAATAAATTTCCAATTCCACTTAATATATTGCCAGTATCACCCCCACTTTTCTGTTTATACTCGCGTACTCCTTGTTGAAAACGTTCTTCTTGTAAATTCTCAAATTGTTGGCACTTTTTGTCTTTGAATATATTCGGTAACTTTAAAAAGATGTTTCAAAAAAAATTTTTTAAATAAATTTTTTACATTCCCAGCAGTTGTAGCAGCTTCAAAAAGAACGTTAGTTTTTACTTTAGAACCTTCCAATTCATAATCTATAACAGCATGATCGCAGGCCAAAAGTCTGTCGGGTGCACGCCTCGATACCCAAAATTCGAGTAATTCAGAGTTTGTAGGTGTGTAGCTGCCTTGCTGTTAAATAAAAAAAATTAGACATAATTTCTTTTTTAGCTTCTTTTCCAAAATAAACTTTAAAAAATTAAGAATCTTGTCCCAAAAATATTAAATTCTCGTTAGCAACTTCAACTCTCGTTCAGCAATTAAGCCAATGGAAGAAGTTTTTTAAAAGCGCAGTTCTGGACGAAGCCTAAGAGATTTCTGTAATTAATAGGGCATCCATTATAAGAGACTTTCACTATTTACGTAATATTTATGTCGCTATTATAGAAAGTTTCCGTAAAACAAAATTATCGAACTTCCGTAAAACAGTAATAAAGGCGGGCACTAATTGGACTAGGCGGGGTTCTAATTCAGAGTAGGGCTCTACTTCAGTAAACACACTATCCTAGCTTTATAAATAAATTAATTTTTACATCCAAACTATTAGCAGCTAACCACTCCCCAATAATCGCCAATTTAAAAGCTTTCCCCAAAAGAGGATTATCCAATTGAGAGAAAAATTCATGTTCCAATTCAGCCCTATTTTCAGCCCTTTCATAAAATTTCATCCAGATATCCAAAGCTCCCTCCTTTTGCCAATAATCTTTTTGCCAAACACTTTTAGTGAATGTTGTACATAAAGTAAAGTTTGGATCTTCTGGGGGAGGGCACAATTTTGTTGTTAAACGATAAGTCCTCTCTTCTGTTGCTCTACACAAATTTCCGTCAGTTCTCTCCAATAATTTTAATTTTCTGAAAGAATTTTGAAAATTTTGGCAATTAAATTTATTCAATTTAAGGGGGTAAATAACTACCCCCAACTCCAAAAATTGAATTCTAATATAAATATGACGCTGATTAAACAACGAATTGATATTTATAAATAAAATAATTAATTTATTTTTGTATATTATGTAGATTGAATTGGGTAAGACCTGAATTTTTGTTCTAGTTAATGTCCAGACATTTTCAGTTCCCTCAACCAAACTCAACCAAAACTAGATGCGGAGGGGATTTGCGTTTATTACAGGTCAAAACTCTTACAGAAAAGTTTTAATAATCTGTGTTCAATACCCCTAATACTAAAATCCACACACCTGCTTCCTCTACACCAATCACAATAATAACATTCTCTGCCGCATGTTGCTACATCCATACATCTAAGTTTCCCTATAGGTTGTATATGTACATCTAATTTCATTGCCAAACGGTTAATATGTACATCTTTAAAAAATATTTGATGAAAACTTTTTATGAAAAAGCCTCTATTTAATGGAAAACTTCTTTTTTAAGGTTCAATTTTAAATAGACGGTTATTAAGTAGCGTGAGCATGCTTGTCTCTTCGAGATACTCTTTATTTCACATACTCCCCTATCTAAATGTTTATATTGTTAACAAAGAATTTTCACTCCTTTATCATAAATACCTTCCTCCGTCCCTTCCCTTTATCAGAGACAATAATAAATGTCCTTATCTCCCCGTCCCTTATAACAGGAGATATGATTTTAGGTTTTCATAAATATAAACATACTAGGCGGAAGTGTAACATCAATAGACATATCAAAACATTCTGGCCTATATTTTTTATTTTATAAAAGATTTTAATTAAAATTAAAGACCAAGTTAAATGTAAGTTGCCATTTTCATCTCTCTCTTGTGGATGACTAAATTGTGGATTAGCTAATTTTATCTGTTCAACACAATCATGGCCAGTAAATTCTCTACAACAAGGCCCTCTACGTGCATCTTTTAATCGTGTAATAAATAAATTTTTGCTGATTACTGCCTTAAATTGATTCGAGAATTAGAGGAAGCTTAATCTCATTCTCAATATTTAGAGGGCCAAAACAAAACCCGAGGAATGTTGGAAGGTGATCATACTTTTTTGGAAGTTTCAGGGTTGATCAGGTCCTTATACTAAACCCTACGAACACCAGATAGAAACTGTTATTTTGATATAAATGTCTTTTTCTTTGGTAACTACGAGTCCCTTACTGTATATTGGGATTTAATCTCTTTAATTCAATTGAGGTAAATTTAAAAAGTTATTTACCTCATAATTTCTTTCAGAAACCTTCCTTACGGATCCAGTCCCTATAAATAAAATTTATTTTGCCTTAAAAATTTTTATTGTCCACCTATAGGAACATCTTTTTCATTATAAACAACAGCATTTCCATTTTTATCAGCAACAACTTTACCAGCACTTCTCCCTTGTGCATCATAACATTGAGAAACTCCGGGGGTCTCCGCTTAAATTTAAACTATACCTTTCTTTAATTTCTCTATTTTTACCTGTACAAAAATATTTTTCGGATCTTCTTCCAAATAAAGAGCCCAATAAATCATTTCTATTAGAATAGGCATCTTTGGAACTAAGTTGGGCTTCGACATGATTTTTGTCTTTGTGCACTATTGCATATTCATATGAGCCTTTTTTGCCTTTTTCCTTTAAATTATTTTATGGCTAGCTTTTAGGCTACTAGTTTTATAAGAGGGAAGGCAAGTTACCGTCCTGGTATCTTAATCGGTACGTGGTCGGCGAATCGAGTAGGAATAATTGCCAATCTAGACTTTCTTTAAGGAACATATATCATCAAGCTATTTTTTGGGAATTAAAAAGGAAGCTTAGGGTCCTCGAGCCTCTATAACTCAGTCTATAGAGCCCCGATGTTTACCCCAGGGTTGAGCCTTTGAAGATTAGTTAAGTAAGGACTTAAAACACTTAACTTTAAAATTTTTCACTTTTAATTTAAAAAATCAAATTCTCCGCTCACTTACATTATCCCCAAAAGAAAGCAATCCATGCCCCTGCTTCTCATTTTGTTCAGCCGGCGTTAATCGAAAATCGAAGCGATCATTACGAGCTTGAAATTCTTTTTCCCCATCTTTATCATCTTTTCCTCCTTTCGATAAAGTATCCAACTCGTATTGACCATCAGCTTTTAATAATGCATGTTTGCCTTCTCCGTCTTCTTTAACTCGAAGTTGCCCACTAAAATTAATTACTTGAATCTCCTTCTCCGTTGAATATCCCTCACAGAAGGAATTCCTCCTGTTTAATATCAGACAATAAGTTACCCTTACTTAACCCTCTTTTCTTCTCTCCCATTCCCCATTTTTAGGTTAGAATTAATTTTTTTTAAATTTATTTTGCCTGTGTCCTTCAACTTGAGCAAGCCCTCCTTTATCTCCAAATTTTTGGACTTGTGCTCTCTGTCCAGGAACACTCGATTCTGCTATAGCTACATTTCCATGTGCTGAAGCACTTAATTGTTTTTGTTCAGTAATTAAATCTACTATAGCTCTTTCTTTATTGCTAGCATCTAAGCCAACCTTTGAAAAATTAATTTTTGAAGAAGAAAATTTTTGAAATTTTTTTTTGAAAATTTCTTTACCTTTTGAACTGTTTGACCAGTCTTTTCTTTATATTCTCTATCTAACCACCTTGTATCAACATCTAAAATTTTATTATTTCTTGTTTTGTTTAATATTTTCAAACATAATTTAGAAAATATAAAGTTATGTCTTCTGGTACTAAAATATTCGGATAAATAAGATGCTTATAGAGGGGCTGTTTGGTTGATGAAATTTTTTTGGATTACTCGAATCTGTTATCATTAATAGTCTAACATAGATAACATCAACTTAGAGTCCATTTCTAAAAGTTGATTGCCCACTAGGTATGGGAGGCTGCCTAAACGGGCACCTCAATTTAAGATAGCTTAGTTCAAAATACAATTTTAGCTGCTCCAAAATGGCTATCTTATGATGAGGCAAAAACAATCTTAAATATTTATTTAACAAATAATTCCTAACCAATATGCTTCCTTTGTTCATTTAAAGTTACTTTATTAGGTTGCCATTGATTTCGCCATTCTTCTTGAGCATTTAATTTTACCCAAAATATAATCGAAAACAAAAATAAGCAAAGATTTATTTTAAACATAAATTCCCGGATTTAATTTAATAAAATAACGGGAAAGAAATTTTTGTGTGATGATTATTAGTTGTGTGTGTGTGATCGAAAAATTATTATTTTTTCCTTTTTGTCATTCTTCTTTCCTCCCAAATTTATCCAATATATTCACCAAATCCATCATTCATCTATATCTGTTCATCTTTATATTTATTATTTCCTTTTGCATAATAAAATTAATATAAATTGATCAAAAATGACCAAATTATTTATTAGAAAGAAAGAGGAATGAATCAGCGATATTTGCGGACAGAATTTGTGGACAAAATAAAAACCTATTGAAACAAAATAAGCATCCATTAGACGACACAGAATCAGGGACGGGTCAGTTCGAGAAAAAAAGTCAGAGTCGGGTTCGAATTCAAAAAAATCCGGGGTTTTAAATTTTGAATAACCTAACCTAACCTCAGCATTTGCGGAAGGATATTTAATGAAGAAAGGTTTGTGGATGTCCGCAAATATCCCGAAAAATGATGAAAACGAAAGGGAAAAAAATTAATAAATAATTTTTTGTTTAATTGCGTAATTATTTTTTATAAGAAAAAAAATAAAAATCTTGATTTCTTGTGATTGTTTTATTTATTAGAAAAATTAGAAAAAAATATTTTAAATTTATCTTAATAAAAAATAAAAATATAAAGATAAAGCTGTACTAACAGAAAAGTGCATTTAAAATTGTTTTTAATTTAAAAAAAATATTTTTATTTTTTTCAACAAAATTCAAACAAATAAATAAATATTTTTTTAAATTTGTTTACTCAATTTTAAAATTATTTAATAGACTTTTAAAAAATTAATTTTTTTTCTCTAAAGTAAACAAAAATTAAACTTTTATTCACTAAAAATTATTTTTAAAAATTTTCATTTAAGCCAGAAAAATAAAATTAAATTTTATTTACTTTAATTAGTACATATTTTTAATTAAAAATATACTCATAAATATTTAACTATTTGTCCAACAAATTTATTTATTTTTAAGGAAGTAAATAAAATTTTATAGGTACATTTTTAAAAATATGGCATATATAAAACGTTAATAAAAAATAGTTTTGTGAAAACTTTAATTTTATTGTTTAGTAATTTTATAAAAAATATTTTTCCATTATATTTTTATTTATTTTTACTCCTTATTTATGACATAATCATTAGCTAGAACGCTTGCTACCAGATGCCTCTGTTGGACATCGAAGAATAAACATAATACAAAAAACTCGGAGGCACTTAGGTTAAAGCAATATCCCCAAAAATTTTAAATCAACTTCAATTCTGTATAAAATTTCTCATTCCTAATAACTTTGTCGCATCCGGATATCCGAAGATTTCCAACTATCCGGCGACCTTAATTCCTAAGGATAACTTTGTTTACTTTCCAAATGATTTACAGGTCCATTTCCGAGTTCCAGGTCAATATTTAATCAAAAATACCGATCGAGACTTAAGGCCGAGCTTTAAATTTGACATACACTAACTTAAAGCTAATCAGATCCTTTGAATATTTTGACAGCAAAATTCTTAATTAATAACCTTTTTTCTAGTTTAAAAATAAAATAAATGATTAAATTTAATTTTTTAATAATTTTCTCCATTATATTTTTATCAATTTTTCAATTCTTCGATAATGGACCAACTTTGACTTTGGCTATACTAGCTCCATTAGATCAGCAAGTAATAAATGTTGGAAGAAAGAAGAGACAATATGCTGATGTAAATGGAGGAAATGAGGAAACAAAAATTAAATCTGAAAAGAAAAATTTTATATTTGAACAACTTGGACTTAGAAAAAAGAGACAATATGCTGAAGAAAAAGAAAAGGAAAGTTTAATTGATAAAACTTTGAAGAAATTTGGATTTGGAAAGTAAAAATGAGAGAGAAGACATAGATATGTAGATGATTTGTTAAAACCTCTAAATCAAGGGGTGTGCCAATTTCGCCTTTTATTTTTTTGTTTTTTAAATTAACTTTCGTTTTTTACATAGTCCTGGCATACTCCTTTATAGAGGTGAGTCGGAATTCCAATTTCCGACACCTCTGACTATTCCGACCCACCTCTGTTCCTGTCTTAAATGTAAAAAGATAAAAAATAAATTTTTTAGTTATTTTCTGGATTACTTTATTGGGCTATGTATATTTCCAATTCAATTAAATAAATAATTTTTATATTTCCGTAACTTAAAAAATATCAATTTTTAATACATTTAAATTTTTGTAGTTTGTATAAAATAGAAATTAAAAATTTTTATTTGTTCAAAAGATTTTTTAGTCACACTTCAAAATCTAAAATTTTTCAAAAGAACGGAAGTCAAGAAAAAATTAACAAATATAAAGCATTTAATTTTAATTTATAATTTAATTCGTTTAGCTTAAATTTAAAGATTTATATTTCATTTTCTTCTTTTATTGTTAAAAATTGTAATTATTTTATTTTTAATAATGGGAATTTTTCTTTGAATAAAGTTTTAATACTTGATTTTATGTACACCTTTGGGACTGAAAAAATTTTGCCTAAAATTGCAGGTAGACACAGCTCTCCCTTCAGTAGTGGCTACTCCTAAATTTAAATAATTTTATAATAAACTGAGGTTTAGGTAACTCTAGGGGGCTGCCTGTATTAGGGATACCCTTTCTAAGACAATTCAGCACACCGTTTCGGATTTTATAGATTCTTTTAGTTATCTAAATGATCCTTCAGTCGAATCTTTCAAGCCTCCCCTCCCACACGACTAATTATTATGAGGATTCTTTTTCCCCATTCTATAATTAATTATGAGAACATTTTACCGTATTTCCTTTAATAGCTATCCTGGGTAATTATTGTTTCGACCTTCTGCTGGAGGGAGTAAATACTCGAGGGAGGGTTTGAAATTTGAACATTTGTTTGGGGTAATTATTGTTTCAATCTATCGCTGAATGGGGTAATTAAAGGAAGTGGGGTAATTATTTAAGGGAGGGAAATTAATACAGGTATACTGTTTATTAAATTTATTTAGTAATTTTTTAATAAAAAATTACCAATTTTAGGTAATAAAAATAAAATGAATTTTAATTTCTTTTTAATTTTCTCCATTTTATTTCTTTCAATTTCTCAATTTTTAAATAACGGGCCGACTTTGACTTTAGCTATAATAGCTCCATTAGATCAGCAACTAAGTGTTGGTATTAGAATGAAGAGAGATTTAATTGAGGGAAATGATTTTTTGTTTGGACAATTTATATCTCGAAAGAAGAGACAATTCCTTGTTGGACAAAAACATAAAAAACCACATGATTGAAGAGATAAAAATTTTAAATAATGAAAAAAAATTAATTTTTCTAAGATTGTCAAGACCTCAATTTGATAAAAAATTCTTTTTTTAAAATTATTCGTTTTGGATCAGTATCTGTCTCATTTAGAATTAAGAAATTTCTAAGAAAAAATAAATCCTGCCAAATCCGTCCGGCGTTTGGCACTTTATTTTAAAGTCAGTTACACTCAGAGTTAAAAAATTTTTTTAATAAATTTTTTAATTTATTAAGTGGGGTTTATCCCCATCACAAAAATTGTGAAAACAAAAATATACCACTGATAATACAATTCACGAATGTGGGGGGGGGGGGGGGGGGGGGGTGGATTAAAGTTGGAGATTGGGAAAATATAATAGAGATTAAAATGATTTTGAGATCCACTTTCAATTACATCCCCAAAATCGTCACCCTGCATATATCACCATAATCCCCTATATCCTGCGGCGCTAAAAATGGATGAAATCAAGCTTCCTGGTAATCCATACTTTCTCTTGGGTACAATTCTTGATCTAGTAGGACAAGTTTTGGGCTCTTTACTTATTCGTAAAATAAGTATTTGTCTCAAATCCAAGTCTTAGTATTTATTAATGATTTAGATTTTTTTGAGATGAAAAATAAATATTGGGAAGGCGTGGTCGTTGGAAAAGTTAAATTATTTCTTTTTCCACTTGCAATAACCAAAAAGATAATTTTGATTAAATCATGTTAAAATTATTTCTTAATCTTGTTATTATTTTCATTATCAGAGAAGTCCATAAATCAGGAATTTTGTAACAAAATCATGATTTTCCGGTTTTAAAATAGGAATTTACTAAAATAAATTCTAAAAAATAAGGTAATATATTTTAATTATAAATTATTAACTTGCTTATAGATAAGAGTAAATTTTACAAAAATATTTTTTAATTACAAATAATTGTTCTCATTTTATGTCTTTAAATAAATATATAAATAAATTTAAAATTTTATAAAATAAAAAATATTTTTAATCAAAAAAAAATGAATTTGTTTAAATTCTCAATTATTTTCTTTTCTTTTTTTATTTTAATTAAATCAAAAAATATTTCGACTAAAAGCTTATTTTTAAATAAAAATTTAAAAAATTCTTCTATAAATAAGGGAAGTTTTGAAATTATTTATGCAATGCTTGTTTCTGATGAATTAAGTCAAGCACCCTTATATCATTATATGTCTATGTGTTATTATGAAAATAAATTAATTGAAGAATATTGCCAATTGGATAAAATTACTAGTCCAATTAATGCTGAATTTAATGTATTTAATAATTATTTTTTAAAATTTATAAGATGAAAGGGAGAGGTGAAAGAATTGAACAAATATAAAGGGGTACTTTAAATCGTAACAATTGTGAATAGCGTTCAAGCAGCCCTCCCCCCCCCCCCGTCTTTCAGTTGGAAATATTTCGTAACTACATGTATTAGGGTAGTTACTCCAATTTGAGTTCCGGTTCCCAGAACCGGAACTTTAAAAAGATTTTGCTAGCAAATTTTTAAAAATTTGTATTTTAAGCAGGGTTGTCGGTTTCACCTAATTCTTCGGTTAACCGAAACAGAACCGAAAATTTGTCGGCTGATTAAGAGTTATACCGTAAATGCTCTAATTGTATCTATTTGAAGCACGGTCTCTAATAGAAGCACACTCTAGTATGACTTAAATCAAAGGCGCCCGCTTCGATTTTGCGACTTTTAAAATTCAAAAGAATCCATCCCTACTATCTAAATTTTAAAGGATGATGTCCTCAATTTATTTATTGATGAGATTATTGACAGTGAGGGCAAAACTGTAGTCAAAATTGGACGTAAAACAGTAATATGTCTCGATATGTGGTTTTGTTGGAAAATTATAAATGGAAATAAAGAAGATATTGAAAAAATTGGAAGGGGGTTAAATGCTAAATTTGATGATCATATGTCTGAATATTATGTGGATGGTTATTGCGATGATAATAAAAGTGTAAGGAAAGAATTGGGGTTATATTTTAAGGAAGGAAATATTACTTTAAATTTTGATGGAAATGATTTGGCTGAATATGATGTAAGTATGGGGGTTAATATTTTTAAAATCAATTTTATATAATTTTATGGAGAAAAACAATTTAATTAATTGGATTCCTCCTCCTCGTTCTCCTCCTCCTCCCCGTTAGTCACCAAAAATTTTCGAAGATCTGATCACTAGATCTTCTGAAAGTTGCTCATCTACTGAATTTTGGTCACTAAGATATATTAAAAATTGGAAATTATATAGAGGCTGTTTAAGCGACATCTATTCCAGTTTTATATACAAATTAAATTTTGTGAGTGTCTACTATTTATTCACAGGATATATCCAGTTGGTCTTGGCTAGAGCTTTTACGAAATAAAACATTTAAGGGATGTGTTGCTTACCCTAATGCCGTAATAAAAATTGTTCTCTAATTGTGTTTGTAGAATTAGAGGTAAATTGCTTAAGCAACCCTCCCCTCTCACAATCAGTCCAAACCAACCGGACATTCATTGAAATGAAAAGAAATAAATAATTTTTAATTTATTAAGTTAATTACAAAAAAATATTTTTAAATTATTTCAAGCAATCCTATAAATGTTATATTCAAATAAGTGGACACAAAGAGGATATACCATTACAATTTGCAGTGCCTATTTTTAACAAATATTGTATTTTAGTGGACACAAAATTAGAACAAGTTGCTTTTGCTCCTAGAAAAGAGGGGAAGAAATTAAAATGGAAGGAATGTTTTCCACTTAGAGGAGGGAAAAAAGTTTAAATTTAAAAAAATAATAATTTTTTAAATTTTTAATTGTTATTTTTTAAAATATTTTTAATTAATTTAAAGATAAAATTCTTTCGATTGTCTGCTTAAAACTAGGTTTGAGTTGGACCGGGATCTCGACAGAAAATCGGGGGATTTTGGAATAATGGCCCTAATATAGATCCTGACTGCGAGATTGGGATTGAAAATTGGTATCAGTAGTTACTGGAAAATGTTTAAAATGAGAATAAAAAATAAATTTGTTAACCTATATAAAAATAACGGGTAATTGTGTAGTTTCCCCCCCCCCTTACCCCTAAGTAACTAGATAACCTGATTAAATTAAAGTATTTTTCAAATATTTTTATTTTATCCATTGAAAAGCTATTAAAAATCAAAATGAGAATCCCTTATAGGAATAGATGGATAAAGAAATTTAAAAAATTCAGGATTGAAAATCCTTTTCCTAAACAAATATGTATTGGGAACGGAGCAGTTCAACTGAGTCCGCACGATTGAGTCCCCACGATTGAGTCCGCACGATTGAGTCCCCGTTGTATATACCTCAATTGAGTCCCCGTTAAAAATTCCCGGTAGGGGACACTTGTGTACCGCCGTTTGTGTACCGCCGGTTGTGTACCCACCCAAAGGGGGACGTTTGTGTACCCGCATTATTTTCCTAGATTTTTTTATTGTTTTTTTTTATTTTTTTTTCTTTTGGGGTTTGCAACTAATTTTGTTAATTAGTTGACCGAGCATCCACTCAAGTCCATCCGAGCACTGAATTTTCTCAATGAGGACGAGAGGGAGGACGAGAATCTTGTGTAGGTAAAAGTTTAATTTTTATTTTTTAATTTTAGATTTTATATTTCAGGTTGGTCTAACTTTGCTCATCATGTGTCGGACTTCATCCCACGGCTGCAACGATGGGAAATTTGAAAAGGTTTGGAATTTTTATTTTGTTTTTCGTTTTTATTTTTAAAATTTTTTAGTTGATTTTTGTCAGTTTCTGACTGGCGATTTTCAAGTTCACAGTTTCTGAAGGAACGAAGGTGGTGAACTTAGGAGAACAAAAAACGAAAGAAAGGCCCTTCTTTGGCACAATAATTGAAGCTAGACTTTGGTTTTTTTTAATTTTTTTGATAAAATTTTTAAAAAATATTTTTTTATTTTTTTTTTCACATTTTGATTTTCTCCCGTATCCAGGTAGATTCTGCCGGAGTCCGGAAATTAGGAAGGAGTTTTTACGTTCGTAATTTAGATAGTTTCCCCTACCCTCCATAGCAGCACAAAAAGTTTTTCCAGCGAAGATTCTGTTGGTCAAAATTTGTTCAGAATCATTCAATCAACTTGATTTTGGTCTTATTCAACTCATCTCGTCGATCCCTTTCGAATGAGCTATTTTTTGTTTATTCGAATGTTTCGCAACAAAAATTCCCCATGGAATTCCACCAAAAAATCCACCATTTCGAGCCCCATATCTCGGCGAGAACTTGTTCAACAATGTTGATTTTGGTGCCATCTTAATCTCTCCGAATTTGTTGATATCTGCCTTAATTCAACCGATATCCCCGCTTAAATCTACTTATATCCCTTGATATTCACCAATATCCATCTTGATACCTCGATGTCGCATACAAGTCCCCTGATATTAACATTAATCCCTCCAAATCCCCAAATATCCCTCTTAATCTTTTTTAATATAATTAAATCTAGGGGACTCAATTGAGGTATATACAACGGGGACTCAATCGTGCGGACTCAATCGTGGGGACTCAATTGTGCCGGGACTCAATCGTGGGGACTCAATCGTGCGGACTCAATCGTGGGGACTCAATCGTGCGGACTCAATTGAGGTGTACCGTATTGGGAAGCTTGAGCGGAAGGAACTCTTAGAACCGATTCTGGAAGGATTCGGCCGTTTTACTCTAATTAAACAAAAAATATTTTTCCAATATTTTTATTTTTTAATGCACTTCTTTAAAAATATAATTGCAATAAAGAAGAGAAATTTTATCTTAAATTTAATTAGTTATTCTTCGCAAAAAATTTTTTTAAATTCTTCTTTTAAAAATTCCAAAAAATTTATTTTATTGTTTTCACTCTTCCTCCTCTTCGCCTTCTCCTTTAAAAATTTTAAATTTATTCTTTGATTAAAATCGGTAAATAAAAGCCTAAAAGCCTCAAATTTTACAACAATACACGGGAAGCTCTATGCAATGCTTTCCCTTCCCTAGTCCACTCTTACGTTCACTTAATTCGGTCATGAAGTTTAGTCAGTGCATGGTATAGCTCCGGGAACTAGTGACTTGAAAAAGTTGGGACTGGATCCACATACGTCCAATACCTAGCACTGGTTCTATCCTGATCTGACCTTCCCATACTCGTCTCACTTCCCCTCGTACGTCTAAAAAAGTAGTGACGTGGGGTCGGTCAATTTTAATCGGCCTCTCCCAGAAATATTTTAATAATTTTTTAAATTTTCACCTTCATCCTCAATTATCTCCTCCTCTTCCTCTTCTGGAGGTGGAGCTGCTTGTCCAGCAGTTAATTTCTTAGGTGATGGAGGGGCGCCCCCACCAGAACTGGCGGCACTTGCTCGTCGTCCGGCACCCTTATCATCTCCCTTCTTGCTCCATTCTGGCTTTTCGGCTTTGCTTTTTTGCTTAAAAATGAGGGGAATTGATTTAAATATTTTTTGAGGAAAATTTTGAGAATTTTCCAAAATTCCCCCTTCTCCTCATCACCTTATTTTCAAGCACTTCCATAACATTCTTCTTCTCTACAGCTTTAAGTTTAGCTCTAAAGTCCTCTTTTGGTTTAGTTGATGTAGCTTCTCCTTCCCCAGCCAAAACTTTACGGAATTTATTGTCGTATTTGGAAACTTTCTTTAAAGTTGGTTTTACACTTAAAAATTAAAAAAATATATTTTTAAAAATTTTTCTTTTAAATTTACAATTTGCCTCGTAAATCGTTAACATTGATGGTCATTTCATTAATCTATTAATTAAAAAATGTTTGCAGAATTAAGGATTAATTATTGCTTTTAATAAATACCCCCCCCCCCCATTTAGAGTTCTTCAGTTTGAACCCGAACCGAGGATTTTTGGTTCGAGACAGGATATCCGAAGACTTTACAGGGACCGACAATCCTCTCAATATAAGGACCCCTAACTAATAAAAAAATCTTAAAATGATATTTAAACTCTTCAATCTCAACTAGAGAACAATCAAGAATATCGTCTATCGTTCTACCATCCCTCAGGTGTTATTATCTTATTTCCAGTCTCAACTCATAATATTTGTTGAATATTACTAAAGGTTGTAGGTTTTGGAAATTTTCTGATCAACCGAAAATTGAGGAAAATTTTCTGTTCGGTACGAAATCAACAGTCTAAACGATCATAAGCTTTTTTTGAATTAAAGCGAATCCATAAGATTTTTAAATTTATTATTCCTCTTCTCAAATTTACCTCAGAATCCTTTTGACTAACAGCAAAATTAATATCATACTTTTCTTCTTCCAATTGTAACATTTTTTGGAATAAATCGTTATATATTTTAGATAACTGCCCAACATCATCAATTTTATCAACATCTGGGCAAGCACTAATTCGTTTACTTAAAACACTTTGACGTTCAGAATCTAATTGTTTTTGTTGATTTTTAAGGTTTTCGGCAGCTTTGATCATCAACAATTTCTGAAAACGGGGAAAATTTTTTCGAGAATTTTATATAAACTCGTTACACGAAGTTTCTTCTTGCGCTCAGGTGTCAAAAAACCCTTCTTCTTTTTGCCCTTCTTTCCAGCCTCCTCAAGACGTTTACGGACTTCAGCTTTTTTGGCTGCCAAAGCCTGACGTTTGGCTTCCTATTAAAAATTATTTAAATTAATAATTGATAGAAAAAAATTATTTTTAAATATTATTAAGGAAATTATTAAGGAGATTATAAGGGAATAGAAAAATATATTTCAATAATTTTTCCAAAAAAAATTTATTTATTACCTCATCAGATGCCGGCTTGGCAGCTGGAACTCCTTCAGATTCTGCTACTGACATTCTGAAAAAACTGAGAGTTTAACTGTTCTATTATTCTATAATTTTATAAAGTCCAAATCAATCTCTATCCGATCTCTTATAGATAAATTGAATTAGGTATTCCGTTCCAAGATATCCCTTTGAGACAACTTGGAGATTGAGATAAGGATTCTAAGCTCGAAAACCCATCAGTTATTTTTTCTTTAAAAATATCACCTGTTTAGAAGTGCTACTTTAAGTATTTAATATAAATTCTATTTAATGTTCAGGAAAGTATCTGAAATAAAAAGAAGAATATTTGAGAGAGGAACAGCAAGTATAACCAACAAATGTTTAAGCTTTAAGAAAATGAAAACAGATGGACATGGACGTCAATATCTCCCCCGGATATTGAAAAAATGAAAAGAATTAAAGGGATTTAAAGGGGGAGAAAAATGAGAGAATAAAAAAAGTTGATTGAATATATATCCAGTTATTGAGCTGGACTTTTTATTTACAGGCATATTTAGCGATCAGTAAATGTGTGGGAAATGGCTAGAGAGCTTTGGACAACATTTGTTCATTAAAGAAATACTTTTTTGTTTTAAATTGATCGGAGAGAAAGGAAAAAATAGCAATCGGCTTTAAACAAATACAAAACTGAATCTAATAAAATTGGCATTTGAAAAAAGTGCCAAATGTGTAGGTGACATTATTAAAAGATAAAGTCTGGCAATTATTTTTCTTATTTAAAATAGTTTTTTAGTATGTAACAGAGATGCCACGTGTTATCTGAAACCAGAAACTGACTTTCTTTTCGACCCGACCCGAATCTCGATCCGAAGAAAATTTTGAAAACCCGATCTGAAACCCGACATTTTCTCAACCCGTGACATCCCTGCTATGTCGTAATAATATGTATAAGCTCCATGTATAACGGACATTTCCTTTGTTCTCTTTAATGGGTTGACTGTAATTAGATAAAAAATATTTACAGTCCAAATAGGTGTATGTATTAATAAAAACGAGAATAAATAGGGGCAGAAAATTAAAATGTCCAAGCTCTGAATTAAAGCTTATGATATATTTATTAGATCATTTTATTATTTCTATCGATTATCAGACAACTAGTTGAAGTATAAACTCTTTATCTAAAGCTTGATCCTATACTGCAACAAAAATATCTAAAGCAATTGTCCTCACCTCTTTTTTCTATTTATCCCACCAACTTTCTCTGATTGGAATTTTCAGTTTATAAAGTTTTATTGCCAGATGCTAGAATAGGAAAAAATAGCGAGTGGGCGTAGAATATACACAAATGACTGGAGGAAAAAATGTAAAGAATAGAGAAAAATCAGAAGTTTTTTCGGATAGGTATTTTATCTTAGTTTAAGTCGGAAGGTAATTTAAATAGAGGCTGGACCGATACGAGATCTCAAACAAAAATTTTGGTCATCTAGAATAAAGACTTAGAAATATCGACTTCGCTTCTCGTAAGCTCCTAGTCCGGTCTAAAATTTTAAACGTTTTAAAAAAATTTAAATGAATAAAAATGAAAAAATCTCAATTGAAATCAATTTTTAACACACTCCTTAGCCCAGGGTATGTAGTAAAATTCGAAAATCCCCAAAAAATCTTTTAAATATCTGCTGATAAAATATATAACAAATCGAATTTATTTTAGAAAAACCGTAAAAATACTATAAAAATAAGTAGTAAGTGTTAAGACTAAAATAAAAAATTATCCTAAATTAACAGTACATAAATGTCTAATTGTAGGCCTTCCATGTGGACAATTCCACGGCTGTTCAATTTTTCCCATATTTTCAATAATTTGTTTCATTTTAAATTCAGAAAGGGGATGTCCAAACATTACAGATTTTCTACAAGCTTTTGAAGCAAAAATAGACCTGACTTTTCGAGGTCTGTGTAATTGACCGGGCATTTCAGCAATCATTGAAAGGATTTCATCAATGTCTTTAAAAAATATTGAAGGAATTAATAATTTTAATTAATTCACCATGCTTATCAAAACTGTGACCAACAATATTTGGTAAGGCAACAAGACGGGCCGAAGAGTTTTGAGTGGTGGCGTTGGTTGTTGTTATGTCTAAAATTAGTAAATTTAAGAATTTAAAGACAAGTTGAATAAAGAAAATAAATACTCCTAATCTAATGTCAGAAATATCAAATTACAGTCATAAAATTTAGAGATTCCTAAGAGGTAATAAAAAATTCGTAATAAAAAACTAAACTTAAAATTTTTATATAAAACGGGACTTGATGATCGATCTAGACTTTAATCAAATACATATCAAGTAAAGTCTTGATTTTTAAAGAAGATTTTACCCCCATCATTTTGACCGTCCTCCTCCTCACAAACATCATCATCAAAAACAAATTCAAACCCATTTTTATTAAATAAATCCAAATTGTCTCTTAACAAAGCAAAATCCATCGGCCCAAAATTCAATAGTTGAGCTTTAAATAATTTTTGTGATTTTATTGTAGTTGTTAATTGAAGCATTTCAAAATTATATTTTTCATCGGCAGCGTGTTGATCAATCATAAATAAATGGGGGCCAAATCGAGTTAAGATAAATGCATTGTTAAATTGTCCAATTAAATGCATTCGTTTAAAATCTGATTTACTTAAAAAATTTTTTTATTCAGAAAATTATTTAATAGAAAATGCCGTATATTTTATATTAAAAATTATATTTTACTAAAATTATTTTTATTATCAGCCCATCTAAAAAACCCCCATACATATTTAGTAGTTGAATTTTCAACTAAAATGTAAAATACCTAAATGACTAAACCCAGCCGAAAAAAAAGCAAAATATTGGATAGGACTTAATTCTGCGAGCTCTTCGATGCAAGGTTGTTAACCGGTTAAATCACACAACGGATTGATCGTTGTTCCTCTATATTTTAGGTTGGGAGGAAAATTTGCCGCCCAAAATTCTATAAAAAAATTTTTTTCAATTCCACCTCAACATTAAAGAAAGCCTTCTTTCAATTTCATTTTTAACCAACTCGACATTATTTTCATCAAAATTTAATTCAGCATCTTCTATTGAATTTAGACAATTTTCTTTTATTTTTTCTCTATTTTCTTCCCTTCTCTTCCTTTTAAAAATTTTATTTTTTAAATCTTCAAAATTTATTTTAATTGTTTGATGAGGACGGTAAATATTATTATTTGAAGAAGAAGAGGCAACAATTATTGGTTGTTTTATAGAAGTTGGAGAAGAGTTTATTGGATGTAAACGTTCAGAAGATGGGGAAGGGATTAATGTTGAATTTTGACTAATTGTTGATTGGGTTGAGCTTGACGAACTGGCAGATGGACTAGAAGATAGTGATGATATTAATGAGGCAGAAGGTACTGATAATGATGATATTGAAGATAATGAGGATATAAATGATTGTGGGGAAGTATTTGAAGATAGCGCAGATATTTCTTGTTTTATTGGAGTTTTTGTCGTTGTTTGAATTTTATTTTGAATTTGGTTTTTAGTAATTGATGACAAAGTAGAAAGTTGACTTAAAATATTTAAAAATAAAGCAATTTTTCAAAAATTAATTTAAATTTTCCTGGGATATTTTAGGCAAAGAATGGGAAATCAATCAAAGTAACTTTGAACAAATAAAAAGATTCTTGGGTCGAGCCGACTCCAAAAATAAGCAAAAAAATTCTTTAGGACTAAATCTTAAAATCTAACGAATTATTTGAAAAAACGAACCAAAAATCATCATCAATCTGAATAACATTCGTGGACCCACCACTGTCAGTTCTTTCCAATTTTTTCAAATTATTTAAAAGATTAGTAGACGATTTAAAATCATAAAATAAACGTTGGGATTTTGCTAATGAATAAGATTTATTTTGGACTAAATCTTCAAATAAAGTAGTTGAACATTGGCCTTGGACTTTAGAAAAAGTGGAAATGAGTGTTGAATGGAGTTTCGCAAAAAGCTAAAAAAAATTTTGGAAATTAAAAAAAAAGAAAAATTCTTATTAAATATCCGATTAGGTATTTTTGTTTTGAATAAAGTCTTGCGACAGAAAAGATCAAGGGAGAGGAGAATCAGGGAAAAGAGGACTTTTTTCTCCCTTTTTGAATATTCTCTGTCGCAAAACGCTAACAATAAGCGCTTTTTTATAAGCATATCATAAAAAACTAAACCCCCAACTTAGAAAACTAAAGAAAAATCAAACATTTATGGGACGGAATGGAGAAAAGCCCAAAGTTAAGTACAGAAAAAAATAAAAATTTAATTAAATCTACTAGCTTTCCCCAAAACCCTTTAAAATATAAAAAATTAATTTAAAAAAACCTCTTTTTCAAAATGTAAAAATAAAGTTTTCTTGTCAGGAGTAACATTCACATCCAAAGTTGATGAAGGAATAGAAATAAAAAGAATTAAAATACAACGTTGCCCACATTTATTGTATTGACCATACAAATCATTTGCAATTTTTGATAACTTTAAAGAGTTTTATAGAGAAATCTAAAAATTAAAATACCCTTTGTGATTCAATATGCCTTCCATTAACATATACAAAATGTTTTTCTTTAACAATTTTACAGCGTCCATATTCAAAATTGCTAATATAACCAGATAATCTATGAGAAATTAATTAGATGTTAAGTTTTCAGAATATTGGAGAAAGTTCAGTCTACAAATAAGTCTACATAATACAAATAAGTCAAATAATCTACATAATTCAGTCTACAATTTCCCTTTATTAACAAGGATGATATCTCAAAAAACATCTAGGTTATCAAAAAGATCGATATTTTTCGAGATATCGCACTCGATCCTTCACTCATAATTAGGTCTCTAGTTTCAGGTATAAACCTGAACAAATACAGATTAGAAAAATATTTTTCTGAGTAAACCGAAAAAGTGAGAGAATTCCTACCTACAGGAACTCCTTAAAAGTTCACTCCCCAAAACATTTTTTTGTTAAATCGATTATCTCAAAAAACGCAATTTCCCTTTATTAATCCCCTCAAAAAATTCAAAACAAACCTTATTTGTTTAAATATATTTTCACAATTTATATTATTAATTTTATAAATTTGTTGAATATCTTCTTCTGGAATTGATTCAGACAATTCAAGTAATTCATTTTTTGGAGTTCCAAGTAAATTAGTAATTACATCAATTAATTGAGTATTTCCACCTGGCGAGGAAAGTAATTGTGAAGGTTTTCTGAAAAAAGAATTTTTTAAAATAAATTTCTCTCTAAAATTAATTCTAGGCAAGTAATTTTAAATACATGACAGAATAAGGAACAAAATAATAAAAAAAAGTCTAGTAATATTTGCGGACAAAACTTGCGGACAGAATTTTTATTAAAATAACTTTGTTAGTCAAATACTTATTTTAAACATAATAAATTTTAAATTGAGGTAAGATAAAGTGAAAAGGAAAATAAAAAAGCTTCGCAAATCCAAGAATAATTCGGATTAAAATTAGAGAAAATTAGAAAAAAATTATTCAAAAAAATTCCAAATTACCCGTTAACTACATTTGAGCAATTAAAACGACATTTTGGATGTGAAATAGCAAATGCTTGAACACAATCAATTAATTTCAACAATTCCCGTTTTGAAGAACGTAAAAGTTCTTGACGTCGAACAGGCAAAAATTTAAAAAGATTGGAAATGGACACTGTTGTTCCTTGCTGGAAATGAAATCAAAAATTATTAATCCAAATTGAAAATGAGAATAAAAAACATTTTCAAAAATTTTAGAAAGTTCTAATCCAGATAGAAGAGAAAAATAATTCCTAACCCCCAAATTGAAATAAAATAAACAAGGATAGGTCAGGTTGAGAAATTGTCCAATTTTTCAAAATTATCTTGAAATGGAAATTTTTTCAGTTTCGCACCGAAAAAGTAAAGGCTCCAGGAAAAAGTCCAAAAAGCGAGAAAGTCCAGGCTTCGGACAATCCCTCCATAAAGTTAAGCTTGTAAAGTATAACCCGACTGGATTATCCAAAAGAAACAAACAAAATTAAAAAAACCTTGCCTGTCTCGAACATTGCTCTTTTTGCAAAATTTCCCCATTTCTATCAAAAACGAGTTTAAATGCACATCTCGAGTTTGCATCCCTCGTAGTAATGAGTACTTGTCTGAATTAATTTTAAAAATTAAAAAGAAATAATTTAAAAAAAATTAACGATGTATTTGTTAATGCATTTAAAGCCTCCCCTCTAAATCCAAAAGTATTGAGAGAATCGAAACTTTCAAAACCAGTTAATTTTGATGTACAATGAGGTTTGCCTAAAATTAAAAAAAATTATATTTTTAATAGAAGTTTAAAAAAAATACAAATTTTATCAAAATCTTCAGGCAATATTCCACTTCCATTATCGATAACTTCAAGTAATTCAGTTCCATTTTCGACTGTTCTAACCTCTAAAATACAAAAAGATTTTTGATCTGACCTACAAATTAATTAAATAGCCAAAATAAAATTAAATGTAATCTTTTTGGTTACAAAGCAATTTTATTCCACTTTTTTCTTCTTCTCCTTTTCAAAAAAAATGGACAAGCGCTTTCATTACGGCACGTTTTATCTCGCCAAAAGCTTGTCTTGCCAAACCCCCAAAAGCTGTTGACTCGCCAAACCGTGGAAAAAAGCTTGTCTTGCCAAACCCCCAAAAGCTGTTGAATTGCCAAACCGTGGTAAAAAGCTTGTATTGCCAAACCCCCAAAAGCTGTTGAATTGCCAAACTGAAGAAAAATTTTATAAAACTCCTCTTTGTGTATAATATAATCCTCCTCCAAAATCCTTCATAATACAAAATGTGGAAACCTCTAACATAATGCCTACGCGGAAAAAAGTTTTTGCCGCTGCGGAGGAAGCCGGGCATGTCGAGCGGAACGACGGCCGCCGCTTCGCTACGGTCGCCGCGAGCGAAGCGAGCACGACCGCAGCGAAGCACGGCCATCGTGTAGCGAAGACCATGCCCGGCCTACCCTCCGTAGCAGCACAAAAACAGTTTTTCCAGCGAAGATTCAGTTGGTTATAATTCGGTTCAGAATCATCCAACCGAGCTGACTTTGGTGTCATTCGACTCAGCTCGTCGAGCACTATCGAATGAGGTATCATCTGTATAATCGAATTTTTGAACCCAAAAATCAGCCTGGCACAAAAACAGTTTTTCCAGCGAAGACTAAAAACCAACAGGCTAAAAGCAACAGGTTATTCCGCCGCGAGGTAAATAATAAAAAATTCCACAGTTTTATTAACAAATTGAATAATAATAAGTTTTGGTATTTATTTGGCAAAACAAGCTTTTTTCCACAGTTTGGCGATTCAACAGCTTTTGGGGATTTGGCGAAACAAGCTTTTTTCCACGGTTTGGCGAGTCAACAGCTTTTGGGGGTTTGGCGAAACAAGCTTTTGGCGAGTCAAGCTTTGGCGAGTCAAGCTTTTGGCGAGATAACACGATACCCTTTCATTATAGCCAAAATAAGTTTGTATTTCTATGACCATTATTCACCTATATCCATTTCTATATTAGAGTGAAAAAAGAAAATGTGGGCAGATAACCAAAAAGCACCCAATAATTCATCTTAAGTTTTTACCAAACACGGAATTCGAACCGAGACTTTTCTCTCACAAATTGAACTTTTTAGGTTGTCAGATTTTTAAACTTTTTGGATTCTCAGAATATTAAAAATTAAAGAGAACCTATATTTGTTGAGTTAACATCCAAAGCGTTATCAATTAATTCTTTACAAGCCCCAGCTAGATCAAGAATTACTAATCCAGTACAAATTCTTTGACAAACATCTTGTGGTAATTCAGAAATTCTTGGTAGTGAATGGATATTCATTGTAATTGTTAGAATATTTAAATGAAGTTAAGCCTAAGAATTTTGATTTTAGAAAATAAAAATAGAAAAAATTTTTAAAAAACTTTTACCTTAAAAAATCAAAAGCCATTTTTGTGTCTGACCATTTTATAACTTTTTCCACTTCTGACCATTTTTCTTAGTTTTAACAAAGACATTTTTGGCGAAATTATTAATTTTTGAAAATGAAGTAAATCAATCATTTCTAGTAGTGACCAGTGCTTCGAAATTTCAAATTTGCTCGTACTCGTACTCGTACTTCGTACCACCTCTTTTTTTGGCCTCGTACTCGTACTCGTACCTCGTACCACCTTTATTTTTTTGCTCGTACTCGTACTCGTACCTCGTACCACCCCTATTTTTGGCCTCGTACCTCGTACTTACTCGTACTTAAGAAAAAAGTAAAAAATCAAAAATTTTTATGATTTTTTTAAGCCCGGGCATCTATTTTTAAATTTTAAGCGTTGTATGCGATAGTTTTTGAATCTTGGAAGGCTTTGAAGCCATAAATCCTCCGATTTCATCCATTTTCTGCGCCTCAAGCGAAGCTCTTAAGTAAGATTTCTTTCATTTTTCAGCGCCGCAGGCGAAAATTTTGAGAATTTTGAGGTCCTTAAGCCAGATTTCTTCCATTTTTCAGCGCCGCAGGCAAAAATTTTGAAAATTTCAGAAGGCCGTAGGCGAAAAAATCACTTTTTAGTGTTCAAAGTAAAATATTTTAAGAATTTTAGAGTTTCAAGATCTCATAATTACTCCATGTAAAAATAAAATAATTTTTAAAATAAAATTAAACTTATAAAATAAGTTATTTATGAAAAAAATATTTGAAGCTTTGAAGCCATATTTCATTGTCTAGTGAATAGGAATCGAACCCAATATTAAATCATTAAAGAGTCTGTTGCAGCCAAGGACCTTCACCACTCGGCCACTCGCTCATATAATGGCGAATGAAAGGAATTGAATATATTTCTTTAATTTTCCTTTTAACACCAAGTACGAGAAGTACGAGCTCGTACTTAGGCCTCGTACCTCGTACTTTTCACTTTTTTTGGCCTCGTACTCGTACTCGTACTTCGTACCTGCTCCAATTTTTTGCTCGTACTCGTACTCGTACTTCGTACCAGGTACGAGTACGAGTACGAGGTACGAGTACGAATTTTGGTACGAGCTTCGAAGCACTGGTAGTGACCGACAAAATCGAGTTTTCCTCACCCGAATTCCGGTTGGTAACCTGATCTGGACGGATTCGGCCGAATTTCTCCGGATAAATCCGGTCCGGTTTTAATCCGGTAAAAATAATTTCCTGAATCCGGCAGAATTACCCAGATTCCGGACTAATTTTTTTAGATTTTTAAAAAAAATTTTTTTATTGATATTTTACGTTAAAATTTTATACTAATTTCAAGAAGTCACGAAATTATTTATAATTAAATCATTCAGAAGGGAGATATTAAATATTTGGATGGATATCAGGTAAGTTAAAGGGATATAGTGGGATTTGGGGGGATATAGACGGATTTGGAGAGATTAAGGGAGATTGGAGGAGGATTCGAAGGAGATCTTAAACCATTAAAGCATGTTAAACCAGTCTAATGATTCACACAAATTGTTCATTATTTTAATCATTTTTATGAATCATTCACAATTCTTTAAAAAATTTAGAAAAAATAAACACATTCATGATTAAGGACTTGAATATAAATTTAAATGAGAAAATATTTGATCATCTTTACTTTCCTACAATTTTATTTTCTAAAGATTCTCTTAATCATTTTTTTTTCATTTTTATTTCTTTAACATAATTTCTAAATAAAAATGACAGAATTATTTTTAAAAAACATATTGTTAGTGGGGTTGGGGTTTTCGAGTCGGGCCATTTTTTCAGGCTTCATTTTTATCGGGCCGACCCAGCCGAGTCTTTTTCGGGCCAAAATCGATGCCCGATTCGATCTTTCGGACCGGGCCCCATCTAATTATTAGTTTATGAAATTACAGGTTTTAAATTTGCATAAACTTAATTTTCCGGAAATAGTCAGAATTAGAATTTACGGGGAAGGCAAAAAATAAAAGATTTCCGGAGATAATTAAATACATAAACGTTTCTGGAAATATTTGTTTTTAAATAAAACAAAAAATAGTAAATATGTAGATATTTAAAAATAATTTTTATAGTATTTCATAAAGCTTGGAAAATTTTTCTATTAAATAAAATGAATTATCACTATTTTATTTATATTACATTTATTTTTGTTTTACTTTCTTCTGTTGATAAAGTAATTTTTAAATTTAAATATCTTAAAAATAACAAAAGTACTTTGAAAAATAGAAGAAATAATTTTTCTAAATATTTATTTAGACAAACGGATATTGCTGTACAGTTAACGGATTCCTTGGATTCCCTCCACATTGCAACATTTTTGGGTGTAATTGTGATTGCGATAAGTGTGATGAAGGTAAATATTTAATTTTTTTTAAATTAAAGAAATATTTAAGATAAAGACCGAGTATGCTGCAAAAACGAAAAGCTTCTTGGTGGAGATTGTTCTAAATACGATGGTTGGAAGTTTTCTGATAAACGGAAACGTAGCTTGCACTAAACGCTTAAATAATGAAAGTATGACTTTTTTAGTAGATCAGAAGGGATGGAACGGGTCAAGAAAGAGTCATTTAAGGTTTCGATACAACGTTCAAAAATTTCTCGGATCGTAGTAGGACAAAAAAAGTCCGGATTCCCCTGTAAATTATTTTGTTAGATAATTTATTGGAGAGGGTCTGGTCGGATTTCCACGATAAAATTTTTCAAAACTAAAGACTAGTAGAAGATTTTATTCCATAATTACGATACTGACACGACAATAACACCAAAAAGTCTAAGAAAATCTAGAAAAAATTTAATGTTCGTTTAAAACGATATTTTAGATAAAATGCTTTCGCCCTAAAAATTAAATAAAAATTTAAAATATTTTATAATTATTTACTATTTTAGTTTGAAGTAAAAGATGAAGGCGATGATTTTGATATATTTTGAGTAATAAAAATTTCAATTATAAGTACTTTATAATTTTTATAATCAAATATACATAAATATTAAAAATAAATTATTTTTAATTTCTTTATTTTAAAAGTTTTTCATTGAAAATTAGAGTGTTAGCAACAGACTTTATTTATTGCAACAGACAGGTAAAATTGAATTTCGTCCCCCCTCCCTCTACTTCTACAAGTAAAATGTGTTACAAAACTTAATCTATGCCGATAAATACCCGGTTCTTATTTTTAGAACCAGGCCAACTCTGGCTATGTGTACCATCTACTCCCCAGAATATACTCTCACAATACCAGACCATAAATTCTAAAAATCAGAGCTTGTCTTACGTTTATTTTAACAAAAAACAATTTTATTTTAGTCAAAGATTTTTACAAAAAAAATTAATTTTTTGTGTTAATTCTCTCCTTCAATTTTCTCAAAATAAGAAATTAAACATCTTGAAGTTGACGGCTCTAATTTATATGAAATAATCCGTCTTGGCTCTTTATTTATTGGATGATCTCTGTAACCAACAATTTTTATTTTCCTAAAAATTGATGAAATATTTTTTTTAATTAAAAAAATATTTTACAAAGTTTTGCCTTCACTAAATAAACGGATTCCATACATATTTTCATTAATTTCAATTTTATTTATTTATTTATTTATTTATTTATTTACACCACTAGGGTGTGACAGTCAAAAATAAAACAATTTAAAGTGAAATTACGAAAAATAAAAATGCTAATAAAAAATGTCCTTAAAATAAAAATCAAAGCAGCTTAGCAAATAAAATTATCTCATTTGTCATTTAAGATATTGGAAATATCCAACTGTTCAAGAAGTTTAGAAAACATTTTGGGTGTATTTTTTTTAATTTCTATAGGAATTAGTGAATAAATTCTAGCAGTTCGAACAAAAAAGGAGTTGTACCGAATCATGGTTGAACAACGTGTTGGTTGTATTTTATATTTTTCGCCCCTAGTTTTTGTTTGTTTTATGATATAGGAATTATTATGGTTAATTTTAATTTTCCCAAATATATTTTGATGAAATAGCTTTAAATCAGCTTTAAGTCTTCGACTTTCAAGGGATTCTACTTTGAAATGTTGTAAAAGTGTTTTGTATGGTGGAATATCTTCTATTTTTACCTTTGTGATTCTTTTGTAAACAAATCTTAAATATCGTTTTTGTATGTTTTCTATTAATTTAATGTTTTTCTTAGTTAAAGAATTCCAAACCGGTGACCCAAATTCTATAATTGACCTTACGTATATATTAAATGCTTCTATAAGAATTTTAGGATCTTGTGATTTTAGAGATTTAATTAATGCATAGCAGTTTCTATTGGCCCTTAGAGATATTGTTTGAATATGTTTATTAAACTTGAATTTAGAAGTGAAGAAAATTCCGAGATCCCTATTCTTGTCTTCATTACTAATTTGGAATATTTTGTGGTTTCCTATTGAGTATTGTAATTTAGGGTTTGATTTACCTATATATAATACTGAGCATTTATTTAATGATATGTTGAGACCATTGGTGTTACAATATTGAATGAATTTATTAATAAATAATTGTAAAGAATTGTTAGATAAATCGGTTTTTTTTAGAATTTGATAGGCTTTGATGTCATCGGCAAATAATTTTATTTTTATTTCAGGAGTGTAACAGAATGTTGGTAAGTCCGATAAGTATATATTAAAAAGGAGCGGGCCTAAGATAGATCCTTGCGGAACTCCACTAGTAATAGAGAATTGTTCAGAATATTCATTTCCTATTTTAACAACAGATTTTCTGTTGTGTAAGTAATTAGAGATCCATTTTAAGAGTGATTTTTCAATTCCTATTACTTTTAGTTTTGTTAAAAGACGTTCATGGGGTATAGAATCAAAGGCTTTAGCTAGATCGAAATAAACTATGTTTATTAAATTTTTATTATCCAATGCAAATGATATATCATCTTGAACCTCAATTAGTTGGGTAGTGACGGATTTGTTTGGTCTGAATCCATGTTGACAATCTGGTAATATACCATTTTGTTCAACATAAATTGATATATGGTTTGCAATAATTTGTTCAATTACTTTTGTGATTGAACATAGTAATGAAATTGGGCGAAATTCTTCTATTTTGGGTATCTTTAATGTTTTTGGTATTGGTATTATTATACTTTGCTTCCATATTTCAGGAAGTGTTGAAGTCATTAATGAATAAGAAAAAATATAATATAAAGGATAATAAAGACTTTTAGCGCATTTTTTAAGGAATATACATGGTATTGAGTCATAAGAAGAGTTAGTTTTTTCAGGTAGCTTAGAAAGAAGATCAAAGATTTGAAGTTCATTTATGATTACGGATTGACATGTATTTTGATTTGTTATAGAGTTTAGATCTGCATTGTCTAATGAATTTTTATTAAATACAGAACTAAATTGGGTACTTAGAATTTGTGCTATTTTATTATCAGCGTATACTAATTGATTATTTTTATCCAAAATTGAAGTTATTTTCCTGTTTTTGGATTTAAGAAATGAAGAGATGTATGAGAATTTTTGACTGATAGTTTGTGTTTTATGCTTTTCTCTATTTTTTAAAAATTTGTTAGTTTCAGAATCTATTCTTTTTGATACATATGAGATTTTACGTGTTAGCTCTGGCGTGGATTTTTGTTTCCACAGATTTTTTAGATATAATGTCATTTTTTCAATGTGTTCGGGTTTTTTGAGATTGTTAGATTTTACTTTAGATTCGGGAACAAAGGAACAAATAACATTATGTATAATCGATTGGAAAGTGAAATATAGTTGATTTATATCAGAGCATTGTGTGAATACTAGATTCCAGTTTATTGTTGAGAAATGTGCATTAATTATTTCATAGTTAGCTTTACGAAAATTTGGATATGTATAATTATTATCTTGGTAATTGTTAGTAGAAGATATTTCAAATTCTATTGTATTATGGTCAGATTTACTTATAGGCGGATTGATTGTTATAGCCTTTATTAATTCATCCTCATTAGTTAATAGTAAGTCTAATATATTTACTCCTCTAGTGGGTTTATCAATTTTTTGTTTTAGTCCTAAACTTTGAATATATTCTAAAAATAATGTTTCTTTGGTATTTTTGGTTTGAGTACTATAATTTTCCCAATCGATATTGGGTAGGTTAAAGTCTCCTAATAAGATAAGTGGGTAGGATACAGCCGATATATCATACAAGATTTGCAAGATAGATTTAAAATCCTTAATGGTTTCTTTAGTGATTGATCTATAAATCAAAATAATACGAATTTTTTCATCTGGGGTTAATAAATCTATACAAGATATCTCTGATAAAGTTTGGGGGATTTCTATTTTAATAAATGGTATTTTATTTGATATAAATAAGCAAGTTCCTCCACCCCTACCATTGGCCCTATCAGTTCTGATAATATTATATGGGGTACCATGTAGTAAAAGATTATCATCAACTATATCAGTCAACCATGATTCAGTAACCCCTATTAACTTATAACGGTTTTCTAATAACAGAAAGTGTAAATTTGACAATTTGTTTTTTAAACTTCTTGAATTAAAATATAAAAAATTAATAGTATTTAATCTATTTAGATTATTTTTTTGAAGTCAGATTTTTTTATTTTTTCTAAAAATGTGAACCTCCGATCTTAGAATTACTGCTTCTCCATAAACTATCCAGTCCAATTGAGGGTTCTCCATTCTCTTCTTTTTGCACTCTTCAATTAGTTCCCTTCGTCGCTGTAATTGTTCTGGTGTCATTGAAGCACGCATATTGACTTGGGGGAAAGATTTCTTGCCATTTGTTTTCCATTTGTTGAGAAGTTCACGCTGAAATTTTCTGGATGGTAAAACAATCTTTAAAAGACGGGCATGACCATTATTGGGTGGGTTAGACTGACGTCCCATACGGTAAAAAAACCTGGGTGCGCACTCAACCCCCACCGAGTCGAGTAAACTTGTTATTGTTTTGGAGTCATCCGCCATTTTCTCTGATGGAAGTTTTTTTGTAGATTCCGTCAAACCAGTCACAACAACACTTCTTTCGCGCTCTAGCTCCTCTGCTGAAATAGTGTTTAATTTTGTTGTTCCTGAAAAATATCCATAAGGTTTTTCTTGTTGTTTTTCTTTAAGTGAATCGATTGATTTACTAAGAAGGTTAAATTGTTCAGTCAGAGTTTTAATAAAGTTTAATAAAATCGGAGTTTGCTCTGTTGTCATAGACGGAATAAAAGTATTGATTGTTGTTAGTGTTGTTTTCACCAAATTGACTTGACAATCAATAAGAAAATTAAGAGAATTTGGATTTTCGTTGTTGTTGCTATTATTGGAGAGAGGCGAAAAATTGGCCTCTGTTGCTGTCCGTTTTGCAGAAATTTTATTTGTAGACATTTTTCCATCAATTTCCATTTTTTTTAATCTGGTCGGATTTCCACGATAAAATTCTGGTCGGATTTCCACGATAAAATTTTTCAAAACTAAAGACTAGTAGAAGATTTTATTCCATAATTACGATACTGACACGACAATAACACCAAAAAGTCTAAGAAAATCTAGAAAAAATTTAATGTTCGTTTAAAACGATATTTTAGATAAAATGCTTTCGCCCTAAAAATTAAATAAAAATTTAAAATATTTTATAATTATTTACTATTTTAGTTTGAAGTAAAAGATGAAGGCGATGATTTTGATATATTTTGAGTAATAAAAATTTCAATTATAAGTACTTTATAATTTTTATAATCAAATATACATAAATATTAAAAATAAATTATTTTTAATTTCTTTATTTTAAAAGTTTTTCATTGAAAATTAGAGTGTTAGCAACAGACTTTATTTATTGCAACAGACAGGTAAAATTGAATTTCGTCCCCCCTCCCTCTACTTCTACAAGTAAAATGTGTTACAAAACTTAATCTATGCCGATAAATACCCGGTTCTTATTTTTAGAACCAGGCCAACTCTGGCTATGTGTACCATCTACTCCCCAGAATATACTCTCACAATACCAGACCATAAATTCTAAAAATCAGAGCTTGTCTTACGTTTATTTTAACAAAAAACAATTTTATTTTAGTCAAAGATTTTTACAAAAAAAATTAATTTTTTGTGTTAATTCTCTCCTTCAATTTTCTCAAAATAAGAAATTAAACATCTTGAAGTTGACGGCTCTAATTTATATGAAATAATCCGTCTTGGCTCTTTATTTATTGGATGATCTCTGTAACCAACAATTTTTATTTTCCTAAAAATTGATGAAATATTTTTTTTAATTAAAAAAATATTTTACAAAGTTTTGCCTTCACTAAATAAACGGATTCCATACATATTTTCATTAATTTCAATCAACTTAATAACACTAAAATAAATTAAGTACTATATTAAATATTTTATTTAGAAGCTGCTTAAGTCTTAAGGTTATATTCTGGATTTGAAGATTACTGATTTGATCAGATAGAAAGAGTTTAGTAAAAGTTTAGCCACCGGGCAGGATTCTAACCTGCGACCTCCTTGCACTTATTGCTAGCCGACTTCGCTCACCACATAAGTAGCTCTACCACTGAGCTACCGGGGAATCACTAATGCTTGCTCCTTTATCCTTTTAGATCGTTTAACATCCACCTAAGCGTTTTAAATGCTCTAGATGAATCATCCTTAGAAGATCTTCCCAAAAAAGTTACAGCCAAATAAATATCAAAAATCACGATTGCGTGCATTTACCCGTCTCTAATTTTTTCTAGTATAATCTGATCAATTCACTCCTGCTAGATAAAATAATCCTCACATTCAGGGCTTTCGATTGAGATAATAATGATTTAAAACGGTTAAGGATTAAAAAAAGTTATGGCCCAAAATATACCCTCGAGACTGAAACAGCGGGACACGCCCAAAACAACGCACGGCCATAAAAACGCAAAGCTATAACTTGCTTCAAAATTTCCAAATCTTAACAAATCTAGTATTAAACGATTCCACTCATCGAGCTAAAGAGATTGGTACCAAAATTGATAAGTGCCAAAAAATTTTCAGCTAGTCCTGGCCTTGCGTTTTTATGGACGCGCGTTGTTTTAGGCTGTATCCTTAAAAGGCTTCCGAAACGCCCACTATCCAGAATTTTTTGAATTCGAATTAATTCGAATTAAAAATTCCTCTTTACAAATTTTAACTCAAAAAAACAACTAATTAATTAATTAAAAAACCCCCAAACTCTTTAAGTATTTTGCCTTCTTTACAATATTTTCTCATTTTTGTTAAAAGGTTAGCCCATTCTTTTGTTGTTAAAGGCCTATTCTAAATTTAAAAAAATAAAAAAATAAATTTGGATAAATTAATTAAACCTTTTCCCAAATTTTTTTAATAAATTTTTTATTTACTAAATAAATATTAGATGAAATTGTTATCAATAAAATTGATTTTCTGATTGGCAAAAATCTGAAAATATCATTTTTTAATTCAAAAGGTAATTGTTTCTGTAATTGTTTCTTCATTTTTTTTAGAGAATAATTTTAAAAGCTAAAATTAAAAAAAAATTATTTTATTAAAGAAAATTTATAAATTTTGAGCTTGTTTTTTGTTGTTTTACTCAAGTTGGCAAAATTGTATTTGGCAAAATGGGTACTGGCAAAATGTCTTTTTTTGCCTCTATTGGCAAAATGTCGTTTTTGCCCTTAGTGACAAAATGTCTGTGTTTTGCTCTTACAATTAACCTGAAGATTTTAATCAGTTCGAATCTAATCGAAAATGAATAATACACAAAATGATATTGCTGACAGCCGGGCACGCAGTCAAACCGATACAGCTCTAATGTTGTCAAGATTGAAATATCCAGAACAGACAGGCCAGGCTGATTCAATCAAAGTTCCGATTCTTCCTTACAAGTTAATTTTCTTAAATAATTAACTGGAAATTCCCTCATTATTTAAGGAGACGTCTCTATGAATTATTTACGCTTATAGAACGGGAAATGGACTCTATACATTTGGAAAATTGCGAATGTTTTTTTAATTTTTGGTTAAATTTTCTTGATTTTTTAATTTTCAGTACGTCTTCGATTGGGAGAAGTTTGTCCAAATGAAAGAATTGTTAATGAGAAAGACACGTCAATACAGAGAGAATTGTCTGAACATGTTAGCAATACTTCCTTTCAAAAAAATGAAAATGATTATTTTAACCAAACGATTGAAACTAGCATTAGTGGGAAAAGATGTAGGCTTCTTTTTATGCTTAATAAATCGGATATAGTTTAGTCGAGGGCCCGCTCCAAACCGGGTCGAAACATATACCATTCGATTCGTCTCGGCGAGCTGAGTCGAACGGTACCACTCCCTAGGTGCGGAAATGCCTGTGGACCGAGATATAGGTCCTTGAAATTTGAAAAACCATAGGGGGGAGTAAGCTTAATTTTGAGCTGAAAAATTCGATTTTTTGAATGATAGCTCATTCGAAAGAGCACATCGAGCTGAGTCGAAAGACACCAAAATCACTGTGATTGGTCAAGCTTGGGCCGAGATATAGGGCCCGAAATGGTCAACGTAAACCTATGGAGCGTCGGCGAGGCGCTTGTGCAAAACTCCGCGCTTCGCGCGGAGTTTTGCGGCACGCGCCTCGCGGGGAGTCTACGGGCGCTGGGTCTGGGCTCGTAACTTAATCCTATTCCTTTTTACCGATTCTCAGCCTTGAATGCCGACCTACCCTCCGTAGCAGCACCAAAACTGTTATTCAAGCGAGAATTAAGTTGTTCATAATTTTGTTCAGAATGATCGTATCGAGCCGATTTTGATGTCATCCGACTCAGCTCAAAGAGCTCTTTCGAATGAGCTATCATTTGTAACTTCGAATTTTTGACCCTAAAATCTCCCTATGACTTTTGACCATTTCGGGCCCTATATCTCGGCCCAAGCTTGACCAATCACAGTGATTTTGGTGTCTTTCGACTCAGCTCGATGTGCTCTTTCGAATGAGCTATCATTCAAAAAATCGAATTTTTCAGCTCAAAATTAAGCTTACTCCCCCCTATGGTTTTTCAAATTTCAAGGACCTATATCTCGGTCCACAGGCATTTCCGCACCTAGGGAGTGGTACCGTTCGACTCAGCTCGCCGAGACGAATCGAATGGTATATGTTTCGACCCGGTTAGGAGCGGGCCCTCGACTAAACTACAGCCAATAAATCGAAAAATTCAATTAAAATTTAGCAGGAAGACAACAAAAATGGAAATCTGCATTTAAAAATCCGTCAGGCAAACTTGCCTTGAAAGTGGGATCAAGTGTCTCAGAATCCAAGAATCGGTATGTGCAGAATTTTAAAGGACATACAGATGGCATTTGGGATGTTTGTACGGCAAAAGTTGGGAATTTTAATGTTTTGGCTAGTGCTAGTGCAGGTTTATTTACTTTTTTGGTATTAATTTAATGAAGTACTCAAATTTAGATCAGACTTCCAAAATTTGGTTAGCAGAAAATGGCTCTCAACCAATTGTGAATTACTCTGCCCATAACGGTTCTGTCAATTCTGTTGCTATTAGATGTGATCAAAATAGTTATTCGGGCTGCCAGCCAACATTTCTTACCTGTAGCGGGGACCGTTCTTCACATATTTGGCGCGTCAATTTTGATCAAATTTCTGAAAGATTGCATGAAAATGATTTTCAAAACGGTATATATTTTGTATTATAGTATAAGAGTTTTTAATTACTGTTAAATTTCTTAAAAAATCGGTGAAGTTTCATCGAGGCTTCTTTTAGAAATAATATGAATTTTTGGAGTATACTCGGACGCCGATCGTGTTGAATTGTGTCATTCAATAGGGGTCATTGAGCTTGTGAGTCACACTAAAATTAGCCTTCTGACTCAAGAATTGATTTTTTGGAGTCATCATTCAGCTTGATGAGCTCCAGACGCATAGCCAAGGGACGCATAGACAAGATTTTTGGGAAAGGAGAAAAAATGAATTTTTTGGCCTATGACATTCTAAAATTCTCAAAATTTTCGAATGACATCTTATTTGAAATGATCGGCGTCTGGGTGTGTTCATAAATTTTCCTAAGATTCTTTTATAAAAATTTTAGCAGAACTTCCGCCTTTGCAACAAATACACCAGCCTTTGCTTAAACTTACCGGTTTTTAAGTTTCTTTTTTTTTTAAATTTATTTTCTAATTATTAGGGCATTCTGATGTTGTGACGGATGGAGATTGGCTTTTTGGTGGTGACGAAATTATTACTGTCTCTTGGGATCGAACTGCAAATTTATTCGATGCCGAAACTGGAAAAATTGTAAAAACGCTTTCTGGTATAACTATTTAAATTTTTTTTAAATTTATGCCGATTAAATAGGACACGATCAGGAATTGACCAAATGTTCTGTCCACCCCTCACAAAAATTGTTGGCTACTGCCAGTCGTGACTTCACTTTTCGTCTTTGGGATTTTAGAGAGCCTATTCATTCTGTTGCTGTCTTTCAAGGGCATAATGAGTTTGTTTTTTGAATTTATTTTTTAAATTGGGGTTAGGCAAGGTGGGGATCTAGCCGCAAAAAATAAATTCTCGATTTGCGTGCATTACGGCGGTTAAATCACTGATGCATGTACCGCCACCCACCAACATTTTCTTCTGTTGGTTAACTAGAATTTTAACCTCAACATTAGCTATCAATATTCTAAATATAGGCAATCCACGCAATTTTAAACAATTATATTTTTTTTCCAGTTCCGTAACATCCGTTGTATTTTCTCATTTACATCATATCGTTTCGGGTAGCGATGACAAAACCGTAAAGGTTTATATTTTTATTTTTTAAAAATTCCAAATTTATTTTTCAGGTATGGGATTTGAGGAATATGCGAAGTCCAATCTCCGCAATTCGATTAAATATTGCGGTTATATTTAAATAACTTTTTATAATTTCAAAAATTTTAATTTAAGGTCAATAAAATTTCAATATGCAATTCAAAAAATCTGTTGGCTATACCGTTGGATAATCGAAATATTTATATTTACGATATGAATGGAAGTCGGATGACTAGAATTCCACGAAGTGCTGGAAAGGTATTTTTGATTTATTTTTAAGGTATTTTTTACCGAGGAAAAAATTTCTGAAGGGGTCTATAGAAAATGAAATGGGTGATAATTTTGGGGATGAGAGTGAAAGATATGGGGTGAAAGCTGTTGTAAAATTTTTATTTTTGGTCATTTCCTCAAATTATTTTCCCCAAATTTTGTGGATACACTCTTGTCTGTTACTCAATTTATTTTAAACAATTATTCTATTTAAGTGTCATCATCGACTAGTTAGTGCCTGTACATGGCTTTCTGACAATCTTCTAAATAATTTAATTACTTGTGGATTTGACAAACAAATTATTGGATGGAGAGTTCATTTACCTGCTTCCAACTTTCCAAAATCTTAATTAAGAAATTTTGGTCGGAAATCGGAAGAGCCGGAAATCGGAACCAGCTCAAAAGTCGGAAATCGGAAATCAAAATTTTTTTCGAAAATCGGAAGGAAAAAACGCTTGAAAGGGAATTCCGACCCACCTCTGCACATAATCGTGAGATTAGAATTTTGGGACCTTGCCTATTTAATTTATTTGGACTAAAATCTACAAATTTATTTTCTTTAATATTTTTAAGCTCTTCATTTTCACTTTTATTTAAATTATATTGTACAAAAAAATTAAAATCAAAAATAAAATTTAAAAAATCCTCTAAAATCCTTTCTAGCAAGCAGCGGCAATTGGATTAATATTTGGTTCAATCACAAAATCAAAGTTTGAAAGAACACGTGCGCGCTGAACTAGACCAGTTATGAGGTCTTGTTTTTGAAAATCAAAACGTTCCAAAGAGGGAAATAAACGGGATAGAAAGTCTGAGCGAACTTCCATACTTCCAACTAATTCCAATATTTTTAATTCTGGAAGGAGAACACGTGGGGTAGGCGGGTCTAAAATGGCTGTTCCACATTGCATTGTCAGGCGTAGGGATTTTACCTAGAAAAATTATTGTTTAAGAACTGTTGAAGCTAATAATAATTATTTTCTACCTTGCATACACGAAGCATAAATAACACAGGCATTCGAGTTATTTCAAATCCGGTGTAGCAAGTATATGATAAATGGTCAAAACAAGCTCCCAATCCGGCTAGTCTGCGAATATAAAATCTGGATGTTAAAGCCAAGTCTGCATTGTCTAATTCTGAATGCTCTTTGTCGACTAAATCAAAGTTGATGAGGGAAAGACGTTTTAGTGCAATCTAAAAATAAAATATTGTTAAAAATTGAGACTTATCCTTTAAGTTATATCTCTTTCAAATTTTGGAAATATTCTTTTCGAGAAGTTTAAAACGAAAATATGGGTGGAAAATAAGCCTGAATATTTTCTTCTGCTTTCCCCAACCCCAATACCTGGCATTATTTCCAAGAGTAACATAAAGGATATTTGTTAAAATGAGCGGATAATAAAGTAAAAAGCTCTTACGTGTTCATTGAAACCTTCAATAGCTTCAGTTAGCCCAATTTTGCCTATAACGCGCAAAGTCTTGGCATTAGCCGTAATTAGTTTAGCCAATTTTGGGAAGTATTGTCCTATATAGCGCCTGAAATATTTTTTCAAAAATATTTGGTAGGAACAGGGGATATAAATATACCTGCGTACATACAACTCTTCAAGACGGACTTTTTCTAAAATTATATTTTCGTTATTATATTCAAAATAAAGGATTACCGTGGCCAATAAGTGGTGCAAGAAGCGATTCTACCAGTCCCGTTGTTGACACCTGAACATTGAGATTGATACGGCGGATGCAGCGAGCTTGGTTTAAAACGTGATTGAGATATTCTAGAGCCTTAAATGACAAAGAATGAATGATTTAATTTTGGAAAAGATTGGTAATTTTAAATTTCATACCCCCACATTTTAATTACTCAAATGACCATAATGGTCAGGCTTACTCAATTTCACTACACTCCCTCATTTTAAATGAGAGGAAGCAAAAACGAATCCCTTTATTGACTGATAGAGTGCTATGTGGAAATAGAGTGAAATTGATAATTGACCATTATGAGCCTTTTGTGCAGGGATATGAAAAATTTTTCTACCTTTTCCATGCTTGGAATTTGTGTTCGTTGTATAAAAATGGCTTCAGGATTGGAAGAGAATCTATTTTTGCTCCAATGAAGTTCAATGTCAATACAGTCACAGAACTCATAAACATTCTTTTCGAGTTTAGGAGATAATTGCCAGTTTGTTGAGCGGAGGGCAACTGACAATCTATCAATTTCCATTTTGCAAGTAGTTAAAGAATTAATTTAATTAAAAGTCAATGTGCAACTGAAATGTTAAATATGAAATTGGATACTATGGAAACTAGGGAAATTTGTTTATCTTTGAGTGGTTGATTTTTGATTTGTTATTTTTGTAAAAGGAAAGAACAAACACTTAATGAGTGTTGGTATTTTTGAATTATACAGGAAATACATATCAAAGGCGGGCTTGTACAAATAAGCGAGGGGCCCTTCCCAGGCAAACTAAAAATATCGACGGGTCCAAAGTTTGCTTTGATAAAGAGGCAAAAATAGAGTCAATAAGCACCTCGTGCTTCTCTTTTAAATAATTGACCCTACCAATGTTTATTATTGCCGGTTTGGTTTTAATTTTATGTAAGCCTTTGACATCCAAAAAAACATTTAGTCTCGAAATACGTCAATACAGCCCTATCCAAAAAAAAAATTTAGGGGATAATGCAAGCTTGGCCAGCAAGATGCTCTCTAGTATTTGGGGATGGCTTTTCTCTTCGAATGCCTCTCTATACTTGAATTCCCAATAAATTTATCTTTTATACACATGTGACAATGAGTAAACAAATGGCTATAGAGTTAAAGCTAGTATGCAGCACACTCACTTTTGCTTGAGTCACATGTACACATATTATGTATAGCTAGGCATTAACGTCACAACATTTATTCCTTTTCATACAAATTTTTTAAAAAAATATTTAAAGAAAATACCCTAAGCGATGAATTAGGGAGTAGCTGTCTTGAAAAACAATTTTTTTCATTAAAATAAACAGTGAACTATGTACTATAATCACTCAAACAAATAATATGTTGAGTGATTATTAAAAAAATATAAATTATAAAAAACATAATTCAAAATTAGGTAGGGATCTTTTAAATGAGAAATTAAAAAAACTGTGCTAGTAAAAGTTGCGAGCCCGGGAATGTGATTTTGGCGTTCTGCCATTTGGCGTGTTTTAAAAATTTGAAAATTTCCAATAAGACGTCAGTTTTATTCATACGTCAGCTCATTTCGGTCCTGGTGACGTGAAAAAATGAAACTGATTCATTCCACTAAAAAGTATATTACCTAACTTGTTAACACAACTTCAATAATTTACTTTAACAATTTTTTTTAAATTTAAATTTTATGAATTGAAATGGCAGTAAATATATATTTTTATATACACATTAAAGATCGAAATTTACAAGATTATTAACCTTGAGTCAAGGAAAATCTATTAACTCTGAAAGATCTTGACCTTGAATCCAAGAGAAATCAAAATCTAAATCCACATCTATTTCGATCTCATACACATCCAAAATTTAGCAACAATAATTGTATTATTTTCTCCCCCACATTTTATCATTCTTCCAGCTCCTTTTTGGGACAGGGAATAACACATTGGCGTTGTTCTAATTCTGCCGCTTGGCAATTTCTGTCATCCGGGTCTATCTAAAATATTTTGAGAAAATTTTTTAGAAAATAAAATCTTTTTTTTGACCATTCCATATCGATAAACCCGTCTCCTCCTTGTTTGGTAACCCTCACCACAATTGACTGAACAGGGTGACCAAACAGACCAACGCCCAATTCTACACGAATTTGGAGCTTAAAAATATTTTTATTAGGACTGGGAAAAATAATTTTTAAAAAGCTAACCGCAAGGCCTATTTTCACAATGCCTTTCCTGGATACGGTGCTCTCTCGGTGGACATCGATTTCCTCCATTCCGGGGAAATGTCTGATTAAAGAAAATTTTTTTAAATTTATTTTTCAACATTTCAGTTTCTTTTTAAAATCCACCTTAACATTTCTATGTCGATTCCGTTTTCCTCTCCCACAGGTCGAAGAACATTCAGTCCACGGACTCCATTCACTCAGTTCACAATCCAATGAGGGGCCTCCATCATTTTGTTGTTCTTGTTCTTCTTCATTATTTTCTCCAAAAGGACTGAGCAAATCGGCACCAGAAGCTTTAAATTTGGGAAGGTCTTGTGGGGAGATACAGGGATTGAAAATAAAGCGATTTTTGCTTCTAAAGTTATTGTTGAATTTCAAGAAATACTAAATTTCTGAAGATTTTTGAACTAAATATATCCTTCTAATACTAACACAAAAATTCTGAAATTGTTGGAGTAGCTAGTCAACTCTAGTTATTAACACTAAGCAAAATTTTATGCTTACTGGAGCCCTTTTGACTATTTTATAGGGGTAGAACTAGCCCTAATCATAACCAATAAAAATCAAAATTAACCAATAATTGGCCGATAATTTGGAATACAAAATTGTTTACATTCCTCTTCAGATTCAAATTGATTTCGATTTCCTTTACATCCACTATATACAAATCGCTCACATTGTGAAGAATTTATATTAAACCAGTAACGGGGAAATTGTCCTAAACATTGACCCGTTTCTTTCTCTTCAGCACAAATTTCTTCAAAAGAAATTTAATTTTTTAAATTTTGTATAAGGCTCGAACCGTCAGAATGTGCACTATGTAGACGGCGACAGTCGGCCACACGGCAACGGTCTTTTTCCATTAAACTTTTGGATTTTGAACATTCCTTAAATGATAAATTGTCGGACTGCTAGAATTTTGAATTAAAGCCTCGCTTTAGGCTACAATCATCGTTAAAAAAGCAGTTTAAACCGGAGCTCTACTTTAAATCCCATCTTTTATCTTTTGACTTTGGGCCCTACCAAATTTCTAATACAAGTATTGGGTCAATCCTTTCGGTCAATCCTTCGAAGACCTATATCTATGTAGGTCCACAGACGTCTCCAAAAAAGAATAGTGGTCCGTTCGACTCAGCACCTTTCATTACCCTATATATGACATTTTGAGAATAAATACAAGGGGTGTAACAAAACAGAAAAGTACCCTTCAATCCAGGATCCCTTCACTCAAAATCTCTGACTAGTTTTTCTGAAAAAATTTTTTACTTGTTCATGTTCAGCATAATAAAATAATCTAGTCCTAACACGCACACCTTCATCACAACTAGTACTACACGGACTCCAATCACTCCAACTTGTTGTTTTACAAAAAGGATTTGCTTGTATTGAACAATCTTCTCCATCCTCTCCTATACATTCCTCTACAGAATTTAATTCAACATTACATTTTATAGTGGTGGAATTATTTAATAAATGGCGTTCTCTGCTGCGTGTCCCACGGCCACATTTGACTGTGCTTTATTTAATATGAGATTTTATAGAGATTTTAAATGTGTAAAACCCAGCTTTGATTTTAAATGATAATTGACTCCTGTTAGGTATTTTCCAATAAGGCCTGACAACAGATGGAACAGGGAAAAGTCTCAAATTATTCGAGTTTCGTGGATTGAGCATAACAAGCATAACCATGGTAACGAAAGATAATTTCCATTACCATTCTGTCCAATCAGTCCAACCACCTACTAAACAACGAGAATTAAAAGCATCAGAATCCGATCCGCATTCGCTTTGTTTGGCGTTACAAAATTGTCTTTCTGTTGTTTGTCGATGACAATGGAACATTTGTGCTTTTACTGGGAATGTGTAAACTCTGTTGGAAAATAAAAATAAAGAACAATATAATTTGTTTTTTAATTACCTAGAACGCATTCGAATGCCTTTTCCACATGTAGCGGAACATAAAGACCACGAGCCCCATTGACTGACAGCACATTCTCCTTGGGGAAATTAAGTTGGGATAAATATTTAACAGAAACTCAGCTCCCATCTGATAGAAACTAGGGATTTAATGATCGACCTATGTTCTAGATATCCTGATTACTGAGATGCCGAACGACAATCTCGTCGCGGTCCGAGCTCAATAGAAATCCTTTTCTTTAAGAACCCACTTTAATTGAAATTCTTTGGAAAAGTAACGGATTTTAAATAGCTGTATTCTCTAATTAGAGTCCGCCCTTCCATTTAGCGTTATAAGCCCTCTCTCTAGAAAGCCCAATCAAAAGCTTTTGGGAGAATAGAAATCCAGATTAAAATTTTGAAAGTTTATAGGTTTAGAAATTTTTTCATGATTTTCAGACTAATCTTTAGCTCCAGACTCACTTCTATCTTTATATTCAGCATCTTCAGAAGTGCTGCTACTTATATTTTGTGCCTCTCTTCTATATTCTTCTATAGGCCTGCACTGTCCCGGCACTATCCGTTTTCTTTTAAGTACTAGCCTTGCCAATGGAGCAATTTCCTCATTTTGGGTGTCATAAAAAGGTGAACGAGGGTCAGATTTTGTGGTGATTGGAGAAACTGGGATGCGAGGTTCTGCTGGCTCGTTGGGCGACTTTAATGAAAAAATTCTTTTTTCAGCAAAAAAAATTTCTAATCACCATATAAGTATATCCATTATCTGTCCCAGCATCAAATGGTCGCAAATCAAAAGCTCTTTCATCAACCCATGAACAATCAGAAAGACATAAATTAATTGAAGAAACACCTACACACCAATCCGGCGAAGGCCCAAACATTGAAACTAACGAAAGCAGATGGTGATAACGATTAACGTGGAAATGACCGGTGCTTTTGCCTTGAACTTCTAAAAAATATTGAAGAAATTAGAAGAGTTTAAGGGCAGGAAAAAGCGTCGGATTTTGTGAGATACGGCTCCCGCAATTCCGCACTTAGAATAAGATCTAACTAGTGGTATTTAACTTCAGTTAAAATTTCAAACTTCTTGGTTGGGTATTCTGAGAATTATGACTAAATATTATAACTAAGAGTAATCAACTACAGCCTTCTAAATTTTCCATAAAAATTTTTTTTTATTAAACCTACCAGGATACCAAAGTCCTTTCATCTTCAAAATTGTACGTATTTCACTAGCATTTCCCCTCATTTCACTTTCACCTTTATAAGTATTCCCCCATTCTGCAATTTCTTTTACCCCGTCTGTAGCTATTTCTCCATACCTCCAAAAAGAATAATTTTTGCTGTGAGAAGCCCCTAACATATCCGTAAAATGAGTTAGATGTTCTACTTTAATTTTAAAAAAATTTGACAAAATTTTTCTTATTTATTTACAAGTTGGATAATCCTTTGGGTGAGTTTCTCTAGACCATATACCCACAAATAGGGTGTCGTATTCTGCTTCATCACAAGCACAACATTCTGCGTTTGGATCGTCTTTGGGTACAGCAAGTTGATGGCCCTCTAATATGTATTTTAAATTAATCTTATAAAAAAATAAATTAATCTTATTTTAAATTAACCTCTTATCTCCCACGTTATTAAAAAATTCACTGGGGGTGGGATATCTGAGGAGGTGGGCCTTGATGGCCTGTGGCGTGGTATGCTGAAACGGATTTTAAATCTAAAAATGAATAAATGGCATACCCATATACATATAACAGTCTAAAAGATATGAGAGATAAGAACTGCAAGAGCAAGAATACAGGAGTGTATGGGATATACTCTAAAATCCCCAAAGTTCCCGTACCTGCTGGACAAAATTTCCTCGTCATTTCATTTTCTAACCAATACCAAACTTGTCTTGATTGAATGACACTCGCTCTGAATAAAATACAACCCCCAGCATCAGTTTCCGGTGCTCTCCAAAGTATTCTAACTTCTGTTTTTGGTCTTAAATGTGTATGTGAAACACCTGCCTGTCGACAATTTGGAGCTATTCTAACATCTCCACGTCGGCCTTTCCGATTCTTTTTTTGAAAATTCTTTTTTGAAAATTAAAATATTTCTAGAAACTTTTTTGACATCAAAATGTCCAGCAGCTTTACCAGTATCTTCAAATAAGGCTGTTAACCCAAAACCGCGAAATGTTTGTACAATAAATTGTGTTCTCCTAAAAAGTTAGGGTAAAAAATATTTATGAGGTAAATTTTTAAATTAAGATTAAAGAATAATGGGGGATTTTCACGATAATAGGAAATTTTTTAATCTTATTGGAGACTACCTTAATATAACACCTTAATATAAAATACCCACCCAATTCTAACTGGATACACCTTAATTTAAGATACGTTGTTTTCTAATTAGTCGGTCACAAACTGAGGAAGCTGCCCGAGCTATATCTTCTATTTAAGATACACTCGTTAAAAGGTACAATTTTCAGACCTAAGAGATTCCTATAATAAGGTCCAACTTTACAACGTTTACTATTTTAGTGTTTAATTACCAACCATCCACGAACAGTAAGTACATAATGTTTGCCAGGAATGTAACCGTCTGGTTGAATCCCGCTACTATTCCATTTTAATCCCTAAAACAAAATTAAAAAATCTTTTTAATTTTTTGCTTCCTTCACCTCCAGCCCATCATCTCCATCATCATTTAATTCATCCAATCCAGGAGGGGCATCATTAACTTCAACACTAAAACCATTAGAACCTGGGGCTGGATTCCCTTTTGCCTCAAACAAGCGTTGACTACATTTTGTAGAGGCTGTATTAGAAGAGTGACGATTGGCGGTGGAAAGAATATTTCCAAATTGTGACACCCACAAGGCTCCGAGAAGTAAATAAAGCATTAGAAATTTTTATAAATGGAAGGGTTATTATTACCCTAAAAGTGGTGAAAAGAATTAAATCTTTGAAAAATTACTGTTAAACCATATTTAATAGAAATTAAACATTTAAATAAAATGTTAAGAAGAAAAAAGACTAAAGACCGTTAAGCATGGAAAGGAATTATGCTTATTTAAAGAGGAAGTTATTAATTGCAGAAATTTTTCAATCAGGCGAATAGAAGAATTTCAAAGGGGAAAAGGGAGACACTGAAACTAACAATTTTTTCTAGATCATATTTCTAAATGAAAAGGAAAAAAATGAATAAAATATTGATGATTAAAGCTGCAGACAAATCCTCTATCCCCTCTAGCTATGGCCAATCGATCAACTCTCGTTGGGAAAAGACAGGCGTGGCAAAAATAAATAATTTTTCCTTTACTTGTTTAGAGGTTCAGGGAAAAATAAAAAAAAGTGGCGATACCACCAACTATTTTTAATCTTTAATCCTACACTTTTATGGGATCCTATCTTCAACCCAAAAATTAAGTTAAAAATTTTCTAATAGATTTATTAAACGAATACAAAAAATTATATAAAGCACCGAATTATTTTAAAAATATCTAAAAAATATAAACATAAATGTTTTAAGTAAATTGACTATCTGAGATATAGGAAGAAGGGATATATGAAATTTGAATCTAACAATATCCATTAAATGGCAATTGTATTATTACTTGCAAATTCGGCATAAACATTAAATAAGGCAAGCATTAAACAAAGCAAAATTGGGCCAATCACAGCACCCTGCAATCCTAACCAATAAATACCTCCAACTACAGCTAAACCTGTTGCATATGGATGACTTCCTCTTAAAATTGAGAAAAATAGATTTACAAAGTTTCGAATGGTATGGAAATATATTTTAAGGCTGAAAAATCACAAAAATGCTGATAAAGGGTGAGATGAATGCCGGGTATTGTTTCTAAGCTAGCATTGAAGCGGTTCAACCCCGAACCGAAGCCTAAAGCCCAAAATTGAAAGCACTCTGAGATATCTATCCAAAAATGTTTAAGAATTCTACCGAGGTTAAAATTTACAGCTCCAAGTAATTTCTAGTTTTTTAAAGTTTGAACTAAAACCACCTTAAATTATTAATTCCAAAACTTACTTAACTTCCCGATAAAAAGCTGGATCAGCAAAAAATAAAGGAGCAATTGAACCACAAGCAAAAACTATAGCTAAAAAATAAAATTTCTAAAAAAAAATCAGAATTATTTACAAACCAGCAATAGGCTCTCCTCTAACTAACCACAATTCAACAACTCCAAATAACCCAACTATATAAGGAGGAAAAATAGGAACAGCAGCAAGTATTGCAGCCAACATAGATGGAATAAACACAACATTTAAGGTAAATAATGAATGGATAAAATATGTATATAATCCATAAAATATAGCCATTTTGGTCGAAAGTAAAAATACTCCACTAAAAATTAGAAAATATTTTTATAGATGTTAAATGGCACTTTTCTATAACAAATAGGTTTAAAAATCAGGAAAATTATACAGAATAATTATTTTTGGATAAGCAAAAATTATTTAACAGAAGGGATCCTGCATGGAATTTTGCGGGAGCCTGTTTTCTCAATTTTTTATTTGCGGGGTGATTGTTAATTTTGCTGGTAGGGAAGTAAAAAAGTTTTTTGATAATATTTTTAAATTAGAAACGAGCGTTTAGGTGCCGCTTCGCGGCACCTAAACGCTCGTACATTAGTTTTTAATAAAAAAAACCAGAATTTAAATTTATTGGTTTTATTTTTTAAGAAGTCAGTTTTTATAAGGAAATGAAACGAAATCTAAACATAGGATTTGAGGAAAGGGAGATATCTGGAAAACTTATACATAAATCTGAATGTATATGCCCCTAAATTATTTCGCACTTGTTCAAACCAAATTTAATATTTGTGGGATATCAGGGATTTTGATTGTGGTAGGGGAATTTGGAGGGATTAATTAGTATCGGAGTAGCGTTTGACAAAAACTCCATTTATTTTCTTTTTTTTCGTTGCAAGGCGTTTTGGCACTAATTATAGCCTATTTTTTCGTTTTTATGAATTTGGGAAATTGCTGTCTTACGACTTCGGTCCAAAAATGTGAGCTTAAAAAGCAGAAGGTTAACTTAAAGTTTTTAAAAAATTTTTTGCAATTTAAATTGTTTTGTCTTTTTTCTCTAAATTTAAATTAAAAGTTGTGTTTTTTTCGATACTGAAACGTTTTTTAAAAATTGAAAGTTTTGTTTCGGTCAGAAAATTTTATTTTCAGTGCATGTCTGCCTTGGTTTCACTCAAAATCTACGGTTATTGAAATTTATCCCATGAATTCCTTTTGAACTATCAAAACACACATTATCCAATTAATACAGTTTATTTTGCTAAACTATTAAGACAAATTTGCGATTTGCTTTCGATATTTTTACAAATTTTCGATAAATAAAAAACGATTTGCTTTGTTGATATAGGGTACGAAGGGCAACGTTTTTATTAAATCATGCACCAAAGATACATAAAATTCTCAACGCCGCTAGAGAGAACATCAAATAGTTGATAAATTTTTAACTGATTTTGTTTGGACAAATACTTGTTTGATGATGTATTAGATCAAATAATTCGGAAATTATTAGATTTTTCCAAAATACATTTTTTGGATAGAAAATGATGAAAAGCTATTTAACACCATATTTTTTAACAAATTTTGCCGCCGGTGCTAAAAGTTATATTTGATCAATTATTTGTATAGCGTTTTTAAATTAAAAATCTTTTCACAGTACAAACTACCGGTTTTTTAAGCATTTATCGATATAACTTTAAGCATGTATTTTGGTTTGTTTGGATTTTGCGGATTTTATTTTTTTATTATTTGGAGATTAAAAGATATCTGGAGGGTTATATGGGAATTGCGTGGGTTATATGGGAATTAAGATGGATATATGGGGATTTGTAGGGATAACAGTAGTTTAAAGGTGATATATGGTGGTATGGTTTCGGAGGAAAATCGGGGGTTTAAATGGGGTCTCGGCGGAGTTGAATGGATTCCGATGAATTCGCACGGATTTCAGTAGTTTTGAATGAATATTTTTTTAGCGATATCTGTCGATTAAAGATTAAAGAATAAGAATTCACATTGTTTTCGCTTGCGGTCCTCAAAATGAACAAATCGGGCTTTTTGCTTCTAAAATTCTCAATTTCCACCTGCGACGTATAAAGTACAAAATCTGCTGCTTGATCTCGTAAAATTTTAGAGTGCAACTGCTTAAAGTGCGGCTGTTTGAAGTAATATATTAAGTTGATTAAAGAAGTAAGCTTACAAATAACTTGTTATCTACCATTATTTGCTTCAAATCCATAATCTCCATACTTAACCCTCAAAATTACTTTCATCCTATTAAACATCCATGCATTCTTTTTACCCTTAATACCTCTAAAGCCACTCTTATCTTCAGGGACATTTATTCCCTTCAAAACCACTTGATCTCTGCAAAATCACTTATATTCCCAGATATATCCGTTAGTCACTCCAAATCCCTTTAATTCCTGAGAATTAACCAATATAGCCCGTGAGCGTTATATTTTTAGATATAACACTTTCAGCTTATTCACAAAATTTTACTCTCTGATTTATTATTGCCTCGCAGATTTTCCAAATTCAAAATAACTTAATGATCTAACATACCGTATTTACTCAAATAATTACCCTGGGTAATTATTGTTTCGATCTCTCGCTGAAGGGGGTAATTATTTGAGAGAGGGCAATTATTATTCCGACCTTTATATTTTTATTTTATCATAGGCATATGAACAGGAATATAAAATACGTTACCAAATACGGAGTAAAAAGTTGAGTTTTAACTTTATTATTCCTTAATATTTTCCACAAAACGGTATTATAACATCAATACCTCCGTCCTGGGATATATAAAGGCATCATGGACATGTATTTAAATACGTATATTTCCTGGTTAGCGGTTATAATATCTATTTTTTAATATATGCTATATAATGTACTCAAAATAGTACTATGCCAACAATAATTCCGTCTTGGGATTTATAAAGGCATAAAGTCAAGCGAAAATTTAAGGTATTTAGAAGGATTTAGTGAGATATAAGGAATAAGGCTTATACCCTTAAAAATCTTAATCTCCCATTATCTCACAAAATCTCTTAATCCCCTCGTTTTCCCTCTTAATCCACAAAATCCTCGATTTTCCCCTAAATCTTTTAATGCCTCGATTTATTTCATGATATTGATCGGTAAAATGTTTTATTATTAAATTCGATGATTTTCAATAAATATTTTAAAATCAGTAGGAAAAATAGGGGGTAATTATTTAAGAGAGGGCAATTATTGTTTCGATCTCATGCGGGAGGGGGTAATTCATAGGGAGAAGGTAACTATTTGAGAGGGTAATTATTTGAGTAAATACGGTAGTTTTATTACAGCCTTATCTCACATCAGCAGTTAGAATAATTTTCGCATAAATCAGAAATCTCTAAGCCTCCAAATCAACAATATTCCTCGAAATCCCTTGCAAATCCCGAAAGCCCTCTTGATACCACAAAACCCTCAATATCCCGATTACTCCCCAAGTCGCCAGATAGGCCCCTTTTTCCTCCCCTAAAATCCTCTAATATTCCTCATTACCCCATGAACCTATGAGTTTGGGTTACACAACTGTGTTAACCAAATAGTGTTCCATTAAAGTTTATATAGTTGCTAAAGTCTGATACAAAATGGCTGCGATTAATTTTCAAAAAATTAAATGTGTGCGATTATATGGCACGCGGCTGGTAATCCCTGCGATTAAATGGCGGACGGCTGGTTGTTTTTTGTTTACGGTTAAATTTTCAGCGAAAATTAGAGAAAAACGTCTTTCTTTGCGAAAAAGTGCTAAGTAAGAGAACACTTACGCGGATGTGTTAGAGAGGTTTATTCTCTTTATTATTCTCTTTTATTTTTATTCTTTTGTTTGTTTTTCTCTGAATTAACGCTGAAAAATTTTCGCTTCAAAAAATATTCACTTTTTAAAGATGAAA